GTACACTAGGATAGTTTCAGCACCTGCCTCTCTCCTCCCCCCCCCCCATAAATTATTATTATTTTCCTTTAAACAACATTTCCAACATTACAATAACAAACACAAAACAACCTTTTTGCTCTGCCGAGCTTGCGACTTCCTTCCTTCCCTTCAACAGGTATCCCATATCACATCGCAATTTAAATCTTTACTATGCATCCACATTGTAGGATTTAATTCAATCCTCCTAGTGTCTTCAGGTTTTTGCAGTTGTCGTTCAAATATACAATAAACTTACTCCAGTCTCTTTGGAATTTCTGATCGTCCTGGTCTGGGATCCTGCAAGTCAGTTTGGCCAACTCTGCAAAGTCCATCACCTTCGCCTGCCACTCTGCAATAGTAGATATTTATTGTGATTTCCATCAGCACCTGCCTCTCTCCTGTCTGTATAGGCAAGCGAAAATCATTATCAGAGTTTTAAAAATGCAGACTGCCTGTGTTGACTAAAGGTGAAGCCAAGTTTCCTTTTATTTTTTATTTCTAAGTACAGAAATGTCTGCCCAGCTGACAGACCTCACTCAGCTCTTCTTGTGTTCAGCATTTCACTGTGATCTTTTTGTTGTTGTTGTTTAGTCGTTTAGTCGTGTCCGCCTCTTCATGACCCCCTGGACCAGAGCACGCCAGGCCCTCCTGTCTTCCACTGCCTCCCGCAGTTTGGTCAAACTCATGCTGGTAGCTTCGAGAACACTGTCCCACCACCTTGTCCTCTGTTGTCCCCTTCTCCTTGTGCCCTCCATCTTTCCCAACATCAGGGTCTTTTCCAGGGAGTCTTCTCTTCTCATGAGGTGGCCAAAGTGTTGGAGCCTCAGCTTCAGGAGCTGTCCTTCCAGTGAGCACTCAGGGCTGATTTCCTTCAGAATGGAGAGGTTTGATCTTCTTGCAGTCCATGGGACTCTCAAGAGTCTCCTCCAGCACCAGAATTCAAAAGCATCAATTCTTCAGTGACCAGCCTTCTTTATGGTCCAGCTCTCCCTTCCATACAGCACTACCGGGAAACCATAGCTTTACTATACGGACCTTTGTTGGCAAGGTGATGTCTCTACTTTTTAAGAACCCAAAATTCAGGGCAGGATGACACCCTTTGTTCTGCAGCCCTACTAGAGAAGGAATATTTGCATGCTCACTAGAGAGGGGGAACAGCCACAAACACTGCTAGGAGGGTAGATTAGTGATTTGTGTTGTCACTGTTAATAACATTCACTGCTCTTATTCAGACAGAAAGTTTCATTAGTTCAAAGCACAAAAGGCACATTAGCGATCATGCTTGATTGCATAATTTCCCAATGCTAAATAAGGCTTTTAATTAATCGTGTGTGAAAAGACTTTGAGGATTACTCAGGAAGCCCAGAAACACTGCTTTGAGTTTTAGCCAGTACCTTTTTAAATAAATCACAGCTCTAAAAAAAAACACCCTACTAAAATTGCAGTTAAGAGGTACAGCTATCCCTGTGGCAAATGTAATGCTCAGCAACAGCAGCTGCAGCGTGATCACGTCTCCCCACTGCTTCGATCTGTGGAACTGTCATTGTCACAGGTGCCACATGTAATAAATGAAAATCTGCCCTTATTCCCTTATGGGGTATCCAAGAGCCCATATAGAGTCCTTACGTAGGTTCCCTATTGGTAGGAGAAAACAACAGAGGCCAACCAGAGAATATTGAGAAGCAAAGCAGCTAGTAAGCCTGATCTTTATTGATCTGTTGCAACAGGGTGCTCCCCTCACATGCAGGAGAAGGAGGAAGAACCCCAAACAAAGCTGTGCCTGCCCTTATATAGACATTTTAAATTGCCAGCCCTGGAGTCCAAGACCACCCCCAGAAACATCATACATACATCACAGAAAGGGGTGGTCTACAACAGAAATCTGAGTGCGTTGTTTCCTCCTGTCTGTCAGGTTACCTGTTAATGCTTACTTGAATGGATACCCTGGGGAGCCTGGCCAGTCTTTTGTAATGATAAATACTTAGTTGCTGAGCCAGGTCACAGGCTCACCCTATTCAAACACAGACATACCCTTAAGACAGGATTTGTGAATGAAAAGACAATGGGGAGGCTTTTCCATTTTCCTTGACCTTGCAGAGAAATCATTTGGTCAGTTTGGGAGTCAAAATGGTTTCAGGGCTGTTTTCCTGTGCTGCTTCAGACATGTGGTTTATATATTTGTGTACGTGTTTGCTTGGTACATTTATGAACATTTATTATATATATAAGACCTTAATTTTTTTATTTTACAACCTTTGCTGTCACCTGCTTATCTTGAACTGCCAAGAGAAAGCGCACTGTGGCAGTGGCTGGGCGACCAGGAATGGACAATAAAGAGGGGTGATAATCTAATTCTTCAAGTCTTTATAACGAGGGCAAGCCAGAAGGGCATGGGCCACCAATTCGGGACTGCCATCTCCACAGGGACATAACGTTTTTCGTATGGAGTCTGTTGGAATCGTCCTTCAAGTACAGCCGATACAGCAATACATTCAATCTTGTGAGAGTAAAAGCGTGTCTATGTTTTAGGATTGCTAGGTTATGCAGATAGGGTGCCAGAGAGTCGAAATGGGAAGGTGGAAAATAGTCATACCATTGGCAAAATTCACTTATTGTGGCCAAGTTGTTCTGACGCTCAATATCTCCAGCAATTTTTGTGCATGATCAGAGAGGACCTTTTAAACTATTCTCAGGATGAAATGGGGATTTCTTCCCCATCCCTGTTTTAAAGCCTTTTTTAAATAATAATAATTTATTTCCCTACAGCTAAATGCCAATAGAAATATTTGGGCAAGCCAGGGCAGCTGTAATACTAAATCTAGTCTATGTTATCCAAGGCTGATGTAGCTACTTGTTTGGATATTTACAGCTTGCAGATCTTGTAAAGATTTTGACTGTTTCCATGACGGTCTGGTTCCATCCTGTGACCAAAACCTTGTACTACACCAGGAATCCATGTCATCTAAGCCCATGGATATAATAACTCTGATCTATATATTCTTTCATATTTTTCTTCACATGCAAACTATCCATCAAAGCATATGCTACAATTTGTATGCCAACACCAAACTGAAATCTATGGATGAAGGAAAGTATACAAATTTAATAAATAAAAATAAAAAATGAGGCTGAACTCCCATCAATTCTGCAATTATCTGCAGAATAGATTATGTCTCTGTGTGTAGTTTTACTTCTATTGTGTTTTTTTAAAAATGTTTTCCCCTCCCCTATGTTTTTAGATGTTCTTATTTCATCTGTAAGCTGCTTGGAGTCCCTGTCAGGGAAAAAGGTGGGGTTTAAATAAAAATAAACCTGGGGCACAAAAGCCAAATGCTGTTTTAGTTTATATGAACAAGAGCCTAACTTCCAAAGCTCAGGTAGCCATTGTAAAAAGTTCATTTCACCTTTGGCAAGACGTCAACTGCAATTCTGCGTTTAGGTCTTGATGCCACAGGTTCTAGGAAAACATGGCTGTAACGACACACAATATGTGACGGCTGGAGCCCATATTTCTTTACGGGATGATGTTATCGCCACATCTGGCAGGGGTCCCTGCCTTCCAGCTGCGCTGCAGCTATCAAGTACTGAGAAGCTTTATCTCCAAGTCACTCTTTCCCAGAATCAATCAACAGATGTTTCCTGTGCTACAGTAGTTCCAGCTGGCTGATTCGTTGCTTTCCCCTCTTTTCTTATACGCTGCAAATTCTCCATGTTACAAACAAAAGGAGAAATGGAAAACAAATACAATCTGGCACATTTTTGTTTAGACAAGCCTACCTCTTTTATACATGATTACTACAATTTTTCCTAATTATGACTTAAAAAACCGCAAAGTCTCCTGCAGAAATTAATCAAAACAAGTCCAGGTGTGTATTTTGGGGCACTGTTAGGTAAAGTACTCTCTGCATTTTCCTCATTCTTTTTGAAATTCTTGCCAAGGTTGTCTCCTAATTGTCTCTGTTAATCTGGCCAATTCAGTATAATCTAATAATTTATCCTGCCATTCCTTTTTTGTTGGCACAAATTCTTTTTTCCAATTTCTGGGTACTTTCTTGTCTGTCTGTTTGGTTACACAAGGAAATCTTTAATAAAACTTATTTTTAAAAATAGGAACCTTGTCAGCACAGCCTAATTGAAAAGACCTCTTGGATTTTCCATTTGTGTTGCCAGAGTGACAAAGACTAAGTGGCCCCTTGTCTTCTGCAAATTAATGTTCAATGCAGTCTTCTTTACAACTGCTGTTCTGGCTGGACAGCTGACACCTCCTTTGCAGGATGAGGTCCCAGCAGCATTGATTTCCTCCTACAAATAGGAATTTAATCATGGAAAAAGGCAAGTTGTCAATTGCCTAAGTTATTCTAGAGGAGGGGGGTCTTTTCCTTTCGCTTGACAAATATATTGCTTCTAGCAGAAGCAACTTTTCCGTGTATTCCAAAAGACAAGCCACAATACTATTCAAAGCACGAACGATGATTTGGTTTCCTCTTTGCCAGAATTTGCATTGCCTCTTTGACTATCAACATGTAATATGTTTTTAAACCATCCCAGCGATTATGAGGAGTGCAACTGACAGGGGTACGGTTGTTAAATGGACGTTTTGACATTTTGTCTTCTGGTACAAGTCCCGTGAGACTACATTTCCAAAGCGACACCATAATGAATATTTACACTGTATTTTTAAAATAGCGCCTCCTAAAAAATCTGGAATTCGGAATAGCCTAATCAAAAGTGTGTGAGGCAAAAGCATTACATCAGAACTCTGGTTGATCTCAGTTGACCCAGCTGTGGGTTATCCATCATTATAACAATAAGGAGCAAACGGACCATCTGTGCTGAGTTGCACTCACAATTGGGAAGTCTGAGGTTATGATGGTGCATCCCCAGCTTTTGCAGTTTGCTGCGGTGTCACAAAGGCACCTGCCAGTTGCCTGGCTATAAAGGTGGCCTCTCCCTCTTCCCAGCCCAGACCTCAGTGGCACCAGCTCTGGGGGGGTCTCCTTCCTCGGGAGGCAAAATGGCAGGAGGAAGGAGGCACTCATCCTGCAATGGGATGCTGAAGAACAGGCAGAAGGCAAGTTCGCTTGCTGGGTGGGATCGCAGCTTGAAGGCAGCCGATTCCCAGAGTCAGAAGCTGGCTGGTGTCTGGAAACAGACCTGGCAGAAGCTGGCAGATGGAGTTTGCATGTGGTCGAAGAGAATGGCGTGTGTCTGCGTGTGTCAGTGGGAGCGTTCGGACATGGTCGAGGAGGATGGTGTGTTTCTGCGTGTGTGAGTGGGAGCATTCGGACGTGGTCGAGGAGAATGGTGTGTGTCTGGGTGTGTGAGTGGGAGCCTTTGGACGTGGTCGAGGAGAATGGTGTGTGTGTGTGTCTGTGTGTCAGTGGGAGCGTTTGGACGTGGTCGAGGAGAATGGTGTGTGTGTGTGTGTGAATGGGAGCAGCCAGTGGAGGGTCTGGCTGAGGCTGTTGGACGGAGGCCATCCCACTCACCATGTTGTTTGCCTTTCAGGAATCCGGTGAGGTTTTCCCCAAGACCGATCATGAAAGTAATGAAGAGAACAGCAGGACGGAAGCAAAGCAGTTTATATTCCTAAATAAATGACCTTTTTTTTTTAAAAAAAAAAAAGCAAAACTGTGTCTGACTTTTTAGCAAACAAATGCAACACTAAATAAACGTCTTTCAAAATACATCCGCATTTAAAGTAGTGTTCATTAGCTCCTGCAACTGCTGATGCTTCCCCAGTTGTTGCTGTTGAATATGATGTCATAATGCCTGTGATGTCATAAATAGACCTGATGACTAAGGGGAAGTGGATGGGGGGAGGGATAGAGAGATAAAAGATGAGAAAGGATGCCAGAGACAGAGTTGACCTGTGAATTGGGAAATTTTTTGAAAGTGATTTGCGTCGAAACTTCAAAGGACTGGCTTAGCATTTTGCACACCCCACACAGCTGACTTTTGCTGCCTTCCGAGCACAATTCAAAGTGTTGGTGCTGACCTTGAAAGCCCTAAATGGCCTCGGTCCTGTATACCTGAAGGAGCGTCTCCACCCCCTTCGTTCTGCCTGGACACTGAGATCCAGCTCCCCGAGGGCCTTCTGGAGGTTCCCTCCCTGTGAGAAGCCAAGTTACAGGGAACCAGGCAGAGGGCCTTCTCGGTGGTGGCACCCGCCCTGTGGAACGCCCTCCCACCAGATGTCAAGGAAATAAAGAACTACCAGACTTTTAGAAGACATCTGAAGGCAGCCCTGTTTAGGGAAGGTTTAATAGACTATTGTATTTTAATATTATGCTGGAAGCCGCCCAGAGTGGCTGGGGAAACCCAGCCAGATGGGCAGGGTACAAATAATAAAATATTATTATTATTCCATTTTGTGATGGCGCCACAACACTTTCAAACTCCCCAATGCGGCAATGGGCCCCTGTTCTACAGTGACCGGCAATAGCTTTCCAGCCAGCCTCAAATACACCTGATGATGGTCAGTTTTTCTTTTTCTTTTAATTTTTTATTGAATTTACTTGATAACATAATAATGAAACAGATTACAAAACAATGTCAATTCAAAATACCATAAAATTCACCATACACTCCTACATATATACACATAAGACTTCCCAACCCAACGCCTTTCCCTTTTCTATTTTCCTGTAGTATAAAACTTAACATTATACTATATCTTAAAGTTTCCTACTGATTTTTAGAACCTTTTCATTCATATATACAGAAAGCATTCAAATGCTGTCAAAGAAGCCACACCACTGTTATATTTTTTTTAAGTAGTTCTTGAACATGTCCCATTTTTCAGTAAATTTTTGGTTAACATTACCTCTCAGCCTGTTTGTCATATGAGCCAATTCAGCAAATTCTACCAGTTCTGTACAGAAAGATTTCTTTTACTTTTGTTGGGACTTCTCTGCCTACAATCCCAAGTAAGAACGCCTCAGGTTTTTTCGGAAATGTTGTTCTTATAATTTTTTTTAGTTCATCATATATAATATTCAAAATTCAAAATAGTCAAAATATTTTCAAAATTAACAACAAATAAAAAACAAAAACAAAACAGACTGACTTCCCTCTATTCCCTTCCTTGGTTTCATTATCAATATACTGCATGTCCAGTTTGAACCTTATTTAAATGACTTATTATCCATTCATAGCCAAATTACAAGTAATTTTAAAACCCTGCTAATGTCAAAATAGCTTCATCTTGGACTGGGCCTAGCAGCCTAGGGCTTGTGCGCAAAATTGGGCCCCGCCTCTATATAATATGATATAATTGATATAATATAATGATATAATATGATATAATATGCTACGGGACGAGAAGGCCGGGCGCCTGAGGCCTCCTGCCGTTGCCATAGCGACGCGCCGGGCCTAGTCCGCCGCGCGAGGCCTGCCCGGAGCCGCGGCTTTTCCCAAAGCTGAGGGGCGGAGCTGCGAGACGTGGCAGCGGAAGCAGGAGCCGGGCGGGTGCCCGGGAGGGAGGGAAGGAGGGACGGGCCATGGCCGGGGCCTGGCCTGGCTTCTCCGAGCAGGAGCTCCGGCGGCTCCAGGGGCAGCGCCGAGGTAAGCAAGGCCGGCGGCGGGTGAGGGGCGGCCGGGGAGGCGGGTTGCGGGAAGCCGGAGCCGGTTTGTTTCGCAGGCGGCCCAGCTGGCCTCGGGGTCTCTCATAGAAAAGAAAATGGTCGAGTTGGGACCCCCAAGGGTCATCTAGTCCAACCCCCTGCAAGGCAGGAATCTTTGCCCAACGCGGGATTCAGAACCCACGACCCTGAGATCGAGAGTCCCAGGCTGAGCTATTCCAGACCAGATGGGGAAATTACAAGTAATTAAAAAAAAAAATAAAATCATAGAATCCTAGAGTTGGAAGAGACCACAAGGGCCATCGAGTCCAACCCCCTGCCAAGCAGGAAACACCATCAGAGCACTCCTGACATATGGTTGTCAAGCCTCTGCTTAAAGACCTCCAAAGAAGGAGACTCCACCACACTCCTTGGCAGCAAATTCCACTGTCAAACAGCTCTTACTGTCAGGAAGTTCTTCCTAATGTTGAGGTGGAATCTTCTTTCTTGTAGTTTGGATCCATTGCTCCGTGTCCGCTTCTCTGGAGCAGCAGAAAACAACCTTTCTCCCTCCTCTATGTGACATCCTTTTATATATTTGAACATGGCTATCATATCAGCCCTTAACCTCCTCTTCTCCAGGCTAAACATGCCCAGCTCCCTTAGCCGTTCCTCATAAGGCATCGTTTCCAGGCCTTTGACCATTTTGGTTGCCCTCCTCTGGACACGTTCCAGTTTGTCAGTGTCCTTCTTGAACTGTGGTGCCCAGAACTGGACACAGTACTCCAGGTGAGGTCTGACCAGAGCAGAATACAGTGGCACTATTACTTCCCTTGATCTAGATGCTATACTCCTATTGATGCAGCCCAGAATTGCATTGGCTTTTTAGCTGCCGCGTCACACTGTTGGCTCATGTCAAGTTTGTGGTCAACCAAGACTCCTAGATCCTTTTCACATGTACTGCTCTCAAGCCAGGTGTCCCCATCTTGTATTTGTGCCTCTCATTTTTTTGCCCAAGTGCAATACTTTACATTTCTCCCTGTTAAAATTCATCTTGTTTGTTTTGGCCCAGTTCTCTAATCTGTCAAGGTCATTTTGAAGTGTGATCCTGTCCTCTGGGGTGTTAGCCACCCCTCCCAGTTTGGTGTCATCTGCAAATTTGATCAGGATGCCCTTGAGTCCATCATCCAAGTCGTTGATAAAGATGTTGAATAAGACCGGGCCCAAGACAGAACCCTGTGGCACCCCACTAGTCACTCTTCTCCAGGATGAAGAGGAACCATTGATGAGCACCCTTTGGGTTCGGTCAGTCAGCCAGTTACAAATCCACTGACCAAATTAAAACAATACCTTACTGTTGCTGTATGTAGGTTTTATTTTATTGGTTTCTTATCTTATATTTTGGGAATGTACATCCAATTTTTCCCCCCACCTTAAATTTTGTGGGCGTACGCTATAGCTTATTTAGTTTATATGTATTATTTAGTATATATGTAAATCTGGCACTGCTGGCAATGGCTTTCCAGGGTCACAGGCAGGGGACATTCTACCTACCTGCCCTACCTGCAAATGCCAGGGATTGATCCCAAGGGACCTTCTGCATGCAAGGCAGGTGTGGTGCTGCAGAGCTGTGGGCCCCTCCCCTAAACATAAATTTAAGTTTCCAGTCCTCATGGTTCTGATTAACGGGCTGGTTTAAATAAGTGCGCAGGAAGTTGCCTTATACCGAGTGCCTTTAGCTCAGTATGGGCTGCACTGCTTGGCAGCTGCTCACCAGGTTTGGCTAAGCAAATCAGTCTCTTGAGCTTAAGCCAAGAAAGGGTATTCTCTACAGTGGTGCCCCGCAAGACGAATGCCTCGCAAGACGAAAAACCCGCTAGACGAAAGGGTTTTCCGTTTTCCGATGCGCTTCGCAAGACGAATTTCCCTATGGGCTTGCTTCGCAAGGCGAAACGTCTTGCGAGTCTTGTGATTTTTTTCGCTTCCCCCCCTTTTCTAAGCCGCTAATAGCCTTTTAGCCTCTAAGCCGCTAAGCCTTTAATAGCCGCTAAACCGCTAATAGCGCTAATCCGCTAAGCCGCTAATAGGGTTGCTTCGCAAGACGAAAAAACCGCTAGACGAAGAGACTCGCGGAACGGATTATTTTCGTCTTGCGAGGCACCACTGTATAAGATTGAATAACAATATATGAATCAAGACTTTGAGATTAGACCACTGAAGAAGCCTGGAAAACTATCTTGGGGAGTGTGCTATCTGCAAGCCCCAGTCAAAGGGCCCCATCAGAGGCGAACAGCGGCCTCTTGATTACCGTATTTTTCGCCCTATAGGACGCACTTTTTCCCCTCCAAAAATGAAGGGGCAATGTGGGTGCGACCTATGGGGCGAATACAGGCTTCGCTGAAGCCTGGAGAGCGAGAGGCTCTCGCTCTCCAGGCTTCAGGAAGCTCTGCGCAACCCTCCGGAGCCCGGCGCGAAGCCGCGCCGGCCTCCGGAGGGTCGCGCAGAGCTGCCTGCCCTCCCGGGGTCCGCGCAGCTCTGCGCATCCCTCCGGAGCCCGGCGCCAAGCCGCGCCCGCCTCCGGAGGATCGCACAGAGCTGCCTGCCCTCCCGGGGTCCGCGCAGCTCTGCGCTCCCCTCCGGAGCCCGGCGCCAAGCCGCGCCGGCCTCCGGAGGGTCGCGGAGAGCTCCCTGCCCTCCCCGGGTCCGCACAGCTCTGCGCATCCCTCCGGAGCCCGGCGCCAAGCTGCGCCGGCCTCCGGAGGGTCGCGGAGAGCTGCCTGCCCTCCCATGGTCCGCACAGCTCTGCGCATCCCTCCAGAGCCCGGCGCGAAGCCGCGCCCGCCTCCGGAGGGTTGCGCAGAGCTGCCTGCCCTCCCGGGGTCCGCGCAGCTCTGCGCGACCCTCCGGAGCCCGGCGCCAAGCCGCGCCCGCCTCCGGAGGGTCGCAGAGAGCTACCTGCCCTCCCGGGGTCCGCACAGCTCTGCGCATCCCTCCGGAGCCCGGCGCCAAGCTGCGCCGGCCTCCGGAGGGTCGCGGAGAGCTGCCTGCCCTCCCAGGGTCCGCACAGCTCTGCGCATCCCTCCAGAGCCCGGCGCGAAGCCGCGCCCGCCTCCGGAGGGTCGCGCAGAGCTGCCTGCCCTCCCGGGGTCCGCGCAGCTCTGCGCGACCCTCCGGAGCCCGGCGCCAAGCCGCGCCCGCCTCCGGAGGGTCGTGGAGAGCTACCTGCCCTCCCGGGGTCCGCACAGCTCTGCGCATCCCTCCGGAGCCCGGCGCCAAGCTGCGCCGGCCTCCGGAGGGTCGCGGAGAGCTGCCTGCCCTCCCAGGGTCCGCACAGCTCTGCGCATCCCTCCAGAGCCCGGCGCGGCCGCGCCCGCCTCCGGAGGGTCGCGCAGAGCTGCCTGCCCTCCCGGGGTCCGCGCAGCTCTGCGCGACCCTCCGGAGCCCGGCGCCAAGCCGCGCCCCGCCTCCGGAGGGTCGCGGAGAGCTACCTGCCCTCCTGGGGTCCGCACAGCTCTGCGCATCCCTCCGGAGCCCGGCGCCAAGCTGCGCCGGCCTCCGGAGGGTCGCGGAGAGCTGCCTGCCCTCCCCGGGTCCGCACAGCTCTGCGCATCCCTCCAGAGCCCGGCGCGAGCCGCGCCCGCCTCCGGAGGGTCGCGCAGAGCTGCCTGCCCTCCTGGGGTCCGCGCAGCTCTGCACGACCCTCCGGAGCCCGGCGCCAAGCCGCGCCCGCCTCCGGAGGGTTGCGGAGAGCTGCCTGCCCTCCCGGGCTCCGCGCAGCTCTGCGCATCCCTCCGGAGCCCGGCGCCAAGCCGTGCCGGCCTCCGGAAGGTCGCGCAGAGCTGCCTGCCCCCCGGGCTCCGCGCACCTCTGCGCGACCCTCCAGAGCCCGGCGCCAAGCCGTGCCGGCCTCCGGAAGGTCGCGCAGAGCTGCCTGCACTCCCGGGCTCCGCGCACCTCTGCGCGACCCTCCAGAGCCCGGCGCCAAGCCGTGCTGGCCTCCGGAGGGTCGCGCAGAGCTGCCTGCACTAGGAAGCCTCAGCGCGCCCGGGCTTCGCACAGCTGTCCGCAAGCCTGGGGAGACCGGCGCGGCTCCCTCGGCTTGGGGATCGACGGCTCTTCTGGGGGCTGGGGTCGGGGGGAAGCTCGGGCTTCCCCCGTGCCAGCCCTGTGCCTGGTGGGGAAATAAATTTTTTTTCTTTATTCCCCCCCCCCCCCAAAAAAACTAGGTGAGTCCTATAGGGCGGTGCGTCCTATGGGGCGAAAAATACGGTACTTGGACTGCCAGGGCGAAACAGGTGCAAAATGCCGGTACCCTGTCATTTACAACTTCCATTAACATCTGTCTACAATTCCACTAGCATCTCTCAGTATTGTGAATAACACCGAACTTACCCGGTACCTTTTGTTGGTACCTTCATGAACTTATCTAAAAGACTGAATTAATTTATTGATACCAGACATTATAAGTTCATCTTAGGCTGGGTAGTTCGCAAGTCTCTGTGGCTTTGTTTAATGTTTTGTATTTTTCTCAGAAGGTTGATAAAGTATGTATAATTTATTATTCTGTGTATATTATTCGCCAACGTGTTGCATGAGTCGCACTACTTCTTTCAGCAGCACAGGTTGCGTTTTTCTAGTGCCAGGTTTTTCAGGCAGGGGACATTCCCAGCCCCTACATGGAGATACCAGGGGTTGAATCTGGAATTTTCTGGATGCAAAGCAAGGGCTCCACCACTGAATAACCAAACAACATACAGGATCACCTGCAGTAGAGTAAACCATGCCACCTAAACTGCATTAAAAATTATTTTAAATTGTTACTGTTATATTATTATCAATACTCACTCTTGAGTTCCAGAAGCCTGAGGTCTGTTCTAAAACGGTTCTGGATTAAAGTTTTGCAGTCAATTCTTTTAGGGGAGGGGTGAAATTAATTCATTTCTTTCTTTTTTAAAATTTATTTAATCATTTTTTTCGATACAAACAGCAACCGCAAAAGACACATACAACCAAAAGCATAATAACAATAATAACACAATTTGACAATTCAGATTTGAATACACGGATATACCTATGACTACACCTTTTAATCAATATTTTCCAACCTCTCTCCCCCCTCCACTTCCCCCCACTATCCGCCTTATCGCTTACATATTCATTCCAGATTTATCCATTCTTAATTTGCGTCGACATGCAATTCGTTCGTATGTAGCTAATCTGTCCATATTATCAATCCATGTGCTCAATAGAATCTTTTGCGGCTCTTCCAATTCATCAAAACAAGTTTTTTTTGCTTCTAATACAGCACGGTACATCCATTTTTTTGACCTCTTGAAATCTCCCACGTTTCTGGAATAAAAATTTAGAATTAAATTAAATTCCCTATATAACAATTTCTTTTTATTACTCTTGTTATAAATATCCTCACCTCGTACCAAAATGATCTTATCATCAGGCAGTTAATCATCATTTGTTCTAAGTTCGCATTTTTACTCCCACATCTCCAGCAGTTGTCTGCACTTGTTATTTTCTTCTGGAATAGTTTTGCTGGAGTCCAGTGGACTCTGAATAATATTTTCTGTTGAATAAGTCTTAGTCTTAGATCCATAGAGGCTATTTCTGTTGATTTTATACTTGACTCCAATACAGTATATCATTTGTTATCTGTACCCCTAACTCTTCCCTCCATTTTTGTCTATCATATTCTAAATCCTATTTTTTCAATTTTAATTCACTTCTTTATTTTGTAGCTTACCCTGCCCCATGATGTGAAAGCCTAATTTTTGTTTATTTGGGCCATTTAGATGCGCCTCTTGCACCGCAGCATCGGACGGCTCCTGTAAGCAAGCACCGCCTACATCTGCAGCGCAAAAAGCCAGTTCAGCAGATATGTGGAGAAGCAGAACTTCCCGATGGAGCAGCCTTGTCGTTACCCCTGGAGCAGAGGCTTTCTGTGCCCAAACCGAGCGCTCCTCTCCCCAGACGCCTCTCCCACCGCCCCAGTCTCCGACAGCGGGAGAGCAGCAAGATGCCAAAAGCAACAGGTTCAACCTGGAGTAGATAAAACGTGTAACGGTGACCCTCTACAGTGCCAAGTCATAAACCGGAGAAAAAGAAAATGGAATTGTTAGTAAGTCTGTAATGAAACTCTTAAGAGTTTTATCATCCCAAACGATCTAATTGCAGAGGGGGAATTCAACGTCGTACTAAGGTGACTGTTCCGTCAGGGCAAGCAGTTCGGTTTGTCAGGCAGAACGATTGCCTCCTCTCCCCACCTGCAGTTTTGGGGTTCTCCTGACACCCCACCCCTGAGCCAATTTCAGGGACATAGGGGAGGGATAAACCCTGATGCGTAAACATAAGCCCTTGTGTAGGGCTTCCATTGATGGGACTCATTAACTGAATCCCACCCAGAGTTGTACTGCATAGTAAATTGCAAGATACATGAAAAGTTGCAGTGCTTTTTAGGGTAATAAATATTGAGATCTTTTTCTACCCTTTCGTCACCTTGATCCCAGGCCCTAAGGAAGTCAGACTATCCTCCACCAGGGCCAGCGCTTTTTCAGTGATGGCTCCGACCTGGTGGAATGCTCTGTCCCATGAGACCAGGGCCCTTCAGGATTTAACTTCCTTCCACAGGGCCTGTAAGACAGAGCTATTCCGCCAGGCCTTTAATTTGAATTCAGCCTGATCTTTTATTTCCCTTCTCTTCCCTCCCCCTTCCCTTTGATGAAGATCACCTGCTCTGAGACCCCACAGCTAATTCTCCCCTGGCCTCCTTGCTGGCCCAAGTAGGACCAATTCAGCCAGCTAGCCCTGGGGATTATCTAATTGAGTTTTGATTTTATTGTTATTCATGTTTTTATACTGTATTTTATGCTGCTTTTATAATTAAGTGTTTTAAAGTGTTTTAAATTTGTTGTTAGCTGCCCTGAGCCCGGTTTTTGAACCGGGAAGGGCGGGGTATAAATAATTTATTATTATTATTATTATTATTGATGTGCTTTTATGTATAGGGCCAAATCTGACCAGCTCTCCAGTCTTGCTAAGGTCATGAGCATAGTTTTAGAGACCTTTGCTTTGGTGCAAGCAAAACAGCTAGAATTTTCCTCTTATGCAGAGAGCTCTGCACATTGCTTGTCAGTGCAATTGTACGAAATAGTTTCCAGGCTTCAGGGAACAATTTCCACAGTGGTGGCCTTTCTGCCATGAAGCCCCTACACGTTTTAGAGGATTCCAGGACATGTTGCAGAGTGCACACTCATTTCACGTTAGGCACTAGTCATACTTTATGGACGTCCTTGTTGCCCTGCGTGAAGTTGAGCCGAGGCAACACTCAAAACTTCTCTGTAGCTGCTCATGGCAAGGGAAGGTTTAGAGAGTATTCAGACAAGCTGTGGTTTATTATTTATTAAATTTATATACCACCCTCCATCTGAGAATCACAAGGTGGGTTGGACACAGTTTAAAAGGCACTGATACACAAAGGATAGAAAACATATTGAGCTGCCTTATAACAAGACAGACCTAGCTCAATATTGTCTCCAGAGGTGACTAACCTCTAGACCTCCAGATGTTGCTGGACTAGCTTCCATCATCCCTGATGATTGGCCATGGTTGCTGGGGCTGATGGGAGTTGTGGTCCTCCCAAGTTAGCAATCCCTGATCTATAGTGACTGGTAGTTGGACCAGGGCCCTTATTCATGCAAACCTTGAGCTTTGCTACTAAGCAACGATTCTTCCGTTCTGTGAGTCAATCAAGAACAAAGTTTTCAATGATATCTGTCCTCAAAGGATCAGTTTGCTGCAGGGGTTGAATAGCAGAGTTTCTGGTTTCTAGAACATATTTAGGGGGCTCCCGTAGAGAGGAAAGGGGAAGGAAGTCCCCTTATGCACAAATCCTTGTGCTGGTGGGACCGTAACTTCACTGCTTTAGATGCAACCTCAGATTCTGAAACCAGGCTTGGCGTTAAAGCGACTAGTGTGAATTATTCAAATATTTTTGAAGCAATTGCAGAATGCATCATGGACTCAGTTACCCTGTGGGCTCTTTTTGTGGGAAAGAGAGAAAGAAGACAATTCCTTGTTAATTCTGTTGCTTTGTCAATGTTCAGGCCAGAGAAGTCTCGGTGGGAGATCCTACAACAGGAGCAGAAGCTTATGGAAGAAAAGAACAAGCGCAAGAAAGCTCTCCTGGCTAAAGCAATAGCGGAAAGGTGTGAAGAATCTTTGGGTGTAATATTTGGGCAGGCCAGAGGAACACAATACCTATTTTCCCCGAATTGTGTTGCTGCATCTTAACAAACCCTGCCGGCCTTGTTTTCTCAGAACTACCACAAAGTGTTTTTCCTCTGAATATCAATAAGAATTCCAACCAGTTACAGTTTGGAAGGTGCAAGCTGGATTGAAAAGTGTTTGCTGTTCCTCTCCTTTTAACTTTTATTTTTTTTTTTTTTTTAAAGCAATTTATTGGGTTTTACAATAGGAATAAATGTAATAAACAAAATAACATTCGTCTTGACATAATTTCACATTTTCTTTGGACTTCCTCACATCTCCCGCTCCCACCTTCATCATTATAACATTTTGTCAGCAATTTATCATCTTATTTAAATTCTTGTATCTCTTCGATAATTCATAATCCTATAGTTCTCATAAAGAGTTAAACTTTCACAGTCTTACTTATTTTCTTAAAAACTTCTAAGTTAAGTGGTGGTCAGTTATTTAGTCAAGCATCTTATTCAGCATTCAGTCAAATCACAATGTTTTTGTAGATAGTTCTTAAATTTCTTCCAATCCTCCTCGATTCTCTCTTCTCCCAGGTCACGGATTCTGCCAGTCATTTCAGCCAGTTGCATATAGTCTATCAGTTGCATCTGCCATTCTTCCAGTGTGGGTAAATCTTGAGTTTTCCAATGTTTTGCGAGTAGTATCCTTGCTGCTGTTGTTGCATACATAAAAAATGTTTGGTCCTTCTTTGCCACCCCTTGGCCGACAATACCCAAAAGGAAAGCCTCTGGTTTCTTAGTGAAAGTATATTTAAATACCTTTTTCAATTCATTATAAATCATTTCCCAGAACGCCTTCACTTTAGGGCAGGTCCACCAGAGGTGAAAGAACGTTCCTTCACACTCTTTACATTTCCAGCACTTGTTATCAGACAGGTGGTAAATTTTTGCAAGTTTGACTGGGGTCATATACCATCTATAAATCATTTTCATTACATTTTCTTTCAAAGCATTACATGCAGTAAATTTCAATCCATTACTCCACAGCCTTTCCCAGTCCTCAAACATAATATTATGCCCAATGTCCTGCGCCCACCTTATCATAGCCGATTTAACCGTTTCATCTTGTGTATTCCATTCCAACAGCAAGTTATACATCCTTGAAAGTATCTTAGTCTTTGGTTCTAACAATTCTGTTTCTAATTTCGATTTCTCCACCTGGAACCCTAGTTTCTTATCATTTTTAAAAACTTCTTTAATCTGAGCATAGTGTAACCAATCTCGCACTTTGTCTTTCATTTTCTCCAAACTCTGCAATTTCCAATTGTCTCCATCTTTTCTAGTATTTCCCAATATTTTGGCCATTTGGCCTCCATATTGGGTCTTTTTCGGCCTTAGCTTCCAAAGGTGAAAGCCACCTTGGTGTTTTATTTTCCAGCAAGTCTTTATATTTTGTCCAGACATTAAACAGTGATTTTCTAACAATATGGTTCTTAAAGGCCTTATTTGCTTTAACTTTGTCATACCATAAATATGCATGCCATCCAAAAACATTGTTAAACCCCTCCAAATCCAACACATCAGTGTCTTCAAGAAGTAGCCAATCTTTTAGCCAGCAGAACGCTGCGGCTTCGTAATACAACTTTAAGTCCGGCAGGGCAAAGCCCCTCTTTGTTTTGCATCAGTTAGTATCTTAAACTTAATTCTGGGCTTTTTGCCCTGCCAGACAAACTTCGAAATGTCTCTCTGCCACTTCTGAAAGCACTCCATTTTGTCCAAAACCTGAAGTGTTTGAAATAAAAACAACATTCTTGGCAATACATTCATCTTAATCGCAGCAATTCGGCCTAACAAAGAGAGTTTCAATTTTGACCAGCTGTCTAAGTCTCTCTTAATTTCTGTCCAACATTTTTCATAATTATCCTTAAATAGACTTAGATTTTTGCTGTTATGTTAACCCCTAGGTATTTTACTTTTTTAACCACATTAAGTTCCGTCTCATTCTGAAACCGTTCTGACTCTGTATCTGTCAAATTTTTCCCCAGAACCTTAGTTTTCTGTTTATTTAATTTAAATCCAGCCACCCGACCAAAATCATTTATCAGTTGTAATACTCTTTTCGTACTGGGCTCTGGCTTCTGCAGGGTCAAAACCAGGTCGTCTGCAAAAGCTTTTAATTTATATTGTTTCTGACCAACCTGAATTCCTTCCACCAACTGGTCCCCTCTAATCATGTTCAATAGCACTTCCAGGACCGAAATGAATAACAAAGGGGAAATAGGGCAACCTTGTCGTGTCCCTTTTTCAATTTTGAACTCTTCTGTAACCACATTATTAACTATCAGTTTTGCTTTCTGTTCTGAATATATCGCCTCAATCCCATTCTCAAAACCCCGTCCCACTCCCATCTCTTTTAAGTTTCCCATCATAAATTTCCAAGAAATGTTATCAAAGGCCTTCTCCGCATCTATAAAAATTAAAACTGCTTTTGTATTTATGTCAGTTTGAAGAAGTTCCAAGATATCAATAATGTTCCTTGTGTTAGCAAACAAATGTCTACCTGGGAGAAAACCGGCCTGGTCCTTATGAATTACTTAATTTAAAACTATTTTTAAATCTACTTGCCAAAATATCTGCAAATATTTTGTAATCCACATTTAAAAGGGAGATGGGACGGTAGTTCTTCAGTTGTGTCTTTTCAGTTTCTGACTTTGGTATCAATGTGATAAACGCTTCCTTCCACGAATCCGGTGCCCTCTTCCCTCCATAATTTCATTACTAACCTCCATCAAGGGTTGTATCAAATAGTCTTTTAGTGTCTTGTAATACTTGGAGGTCAGCCCGTCTGGCCCTGGAGATTTGCCAAGTTGCATGTTCTGAATAGCTTGTTCAATCTCCTGTCGTGTTATTTTAGAGTTCAGGATTGTCCTATTTTCTTGTGACAGTTTAGATAATCCGTTTTTTGCCAAAAATTGTTTAATCTCGACTTCATCTTGCGGCCCTTGGGTATATAATTTTTTAAAATATCTCTGGAAACACTTTCTAATGTCCACTGGATTCTGAATGTTTCTTCCATCGATCTCTAAATTTGTAACCGTATTTAATCTTTGTCTTCTCTTCAACTGCCAGGATAGCAGTTTTCCGCATTTATTCGCCGACTCAAACGTTTTTTGTTTCATTAATTTAATCTTCCATTCAATTTCATGATTTATCAATTTAGAATATTGTGTTTGATACAGTTTAATTTCTCTCAGAGTTGGCTGTGACTTTGGGTTCACTCTTAATTTCTTCTCTAATTCTTTTATTTTGTCCAAAATCTTATCTTTTTTCTCATTTTGTGTTTTTTTCTTCACTACATTCTGTTGTATCAGGAATCCCCTCATGACAGCTTTGCTTGCGTCCCAGACGATTCTTTTTTCCACCGAATTGTTCATGTTTATCTCGAAATAGTCTTTCAAAACTTTTTGGGCCTTCTTGGTAATTTCCTGATCTCTAAACAAATTGTCATTCATCTTCCATCTAAAGGATCCAGTTGGTAGTAGTGTCATATCCATCTTTACTGCATTGTGGTCAGAGCAGGTCTTTGGGCAGATTTCCACTTTTCTAACCCTAGGTGCCAGGCCTCTAGAGATCCATATTTGGTCGATTCTTGTCCAGGTCAGTTGGGCTTCAGAAAAGAATGTTCCTTCTCTACCTAGTGGGTTCTTTGTTCTCCAAATGTCGATCAAGTCCATATTGTCAGTCATTTCAAAAAAGGTTTTAGGTAGTCTGCCGTCTTTTGTAATATTTTGACTTTGCGACTTGTCCATGTTAGTTGACACAACTCCGTTCATGTCTCCCATCATTATGATGTTGTTGTAATCCAGATGATCCAGCATTGTCCCCTGCAACTTCTTGTAAAATTCCGATTTCCCTTCATTGGGCGCATAAATTCCTAATATCAGCAGTTTCTCTCCTTGATATTGTATCTCAATAGCCAAAATCCTTCCATGTTCATCTTTAAATAGAAATTTAGGTGACAGGCTCTCTTTTGCATATATCACCACTCCTCTCTTCTTCACTTTATCCGACGAAATAAATTCCTTTTAACTTTTAACTACAGTGGTACCTCAGGTTACAGATGCTTCAGGTTACAGACTCCGCTAACCCAGAAATAGTACCTCGGGTTAAGAACTTTGCTTCAGGATGGGAACAGAAATTGTGCTCCGGCGGCAGCGGGAGGCCCCATTAGCTAAAGTGGTGCTTCAGGTTCAGAACAGTTTCAGTTTAAGAACGGACTTCCGGAACGAATTAAGTACGTAACCAGAGGTACCGCTGTATAATCATGACTTCATTCCATTGGGTTCTGTTGAACAAAATGGGATGTAAATTCATGATAAAGTTTGGAATCATGTTGTAATAAGGAACTTATAAGATGCCAATCACCCATCTCCTACTACCCTTCTCAGAAATACCCCACTCCACCCTTCCACTATATATAAGGGTCTGGTGACTTCTGTTTCAGAGTATCTGAAGAAGTGTGCATGCACACGAAAAGCTTATACCCAGAACAAACGTGGTTGGTCTCTAAGGTGCTACTGGACAATTTTATAAGATGCTGTTATTCATGTGAAAAGATCCAGGTTGAGCTTCTTGGCTTTGTAGAAGAGCTCTTGAACAAATTCTCTGTAGAAGTTGAATGAAAAAGTGGTAAGACAGTTTGCTTATACTTAGTATAATCTGGTTAGAAGTCAAATAAAGTTTCCAGGGGGATTGGTAGCTTTGCAGGGGGTATAAAACCTGCTGAACCGTAGGTGATTTCAAACGCAACCTGCATGTCTTGAAACCTTTCTCCATAAAGCCTGGCCAGTCTCATCCTTTCATTAAAATAAAGATAAAAAGGGAGTTTTTCTGGCATCCTGGTCCGTTCTTTGTTTGGAAAGCCCAGGCTTTTTTTCCTGCTGTATACCGTATTTTTCGCCCTATAGGACGCACCGGCCCATAGGACGCACCTAGTTTTTTGGGGGGGAAATCAAGGAAAAAATTTTTATCCCCCCCCCCCAGGTTTGCGCAGCCATCCCCAAGCTAGAAGAGGGAGACGGAACGCTCCGTCTCCCTCTTCTGCCTTCAGGGACAGCCTCTCTAGCCTCCGTGGGGCAGCGGCTTGCCCCGCTGTCCCCCGAGTTTGTGGGGCTGGTGGGGGGAGAAGCAAGCTTGCTTCTCCCCCCCGCCAGCCTCCAGATCAGGTCAGGGAATAACGGGGTGGCGGCGCTGCGCCTCCCCGCTGTCCCCCGAGCTTTTGGGCTGCAGGCTGCTGCCCGCAAGACTTGCGGATAGCTTCCTGAAGCCTGGATAGCGAGAGGGATCGGTGCGCACCGACCCCTCTCGCTCTCCAGGCTTCAGCAAAAGCCTGCATTCGCCCCATAGGACGCACACACATTTCCCCTTCATTTTTGGAGGGGAAAAAGTGCGTCCTATAGGGCGAAAAATACGGTAAATGAAGAAAAAACACAGCTCTTAACATTCCTGAGAAGTTTTAACAAGTCTTTCTTACTGAAATACATGGTAACTTATAATGGCACGTCACCAACGGATACGGTCTCTTTCTTCCCCAGATCCAAAAGAACTCAGGCTGAAACAGTGAAGTTGAAGCGGATTCAAACCCAGCTCCAAGCTCTGGATGACATGGTGTCTGCTGATATTGGGATCCTGAGAAACAGGATTGACCAGGCAAGCCTGGAGTATTCATGCGCTCGGTAAGGACTAAGCACAGAATAAGAGATTGACGCGTGAGGAAAGTATTCACTTCTACAGCAGTGGCGACAAATACACGCCCTGGGTTTTTGGTTGTCATCCCAAAAAGACACTTTAAAGTTCCATTAGTATATGGACACTTGTCTGTTTAGCTGGACTTAGCCTCCTTCTCTGTTCCCACTCCCCCAATCTGCTCTTCATTTCCCTGGAGCAGGTTTTTTTGGGAGGGGGGCAATGGGAGAGGAGCAGGAGAGGGAGAGGAAGTCTCATGTACAAATGGAAGTCCTTGTGCTTTATTGTGCACAATCTATATTAAAATCATTGATTAAAATGGATTTAAAATTCTGTAGAATAGCTGATGGGAAACAGCTTGGGAAGGCAGCCTTGAGAACAGCAGCTCTCATCACACCCACATTTGCACGAGGGTTGACCATGGGTCAGTGTGGCTCATGGCCTGAGAAAGGTGGGCGACCATGGGGTCCTTTCTTACAAGGATAGTTGGAGGAATAGTGATAACGGTCATACCTGTTTGCCTTTCAAAGCTTTTTCTTAGCTGGTCCCGCATGTAGTGCTTCAGATATTCAATTCCAGTCTTGAATATACCAGTTATGAGGCTTTAACATAATAGATTTGATTATGTTGTCTCTGCTTCCAGTTTTTATCCCATTTTCTTCAGTCTGCTGAGTAATTTTCTTGTGCAGATCAAGTAGTTTTGGTTTTGAGTAGTTTTGTCGGAGAGCTATTTAATAGTGGAATGAACTACAGTCATACCTCGGGTTGAAGTTGCTTCAAGTTAAGCCTTTTCGGGTTGTGCTCCACGGCGACCCGGAAGTAACGGACCGCGTTACTTCCGGGTTTTGCCGCTTGTGCATGCGCAGATGCTCAAAATGACGTCACGTGCATGCGCAGAAGCGGCGAATCGCGACCTGCGCATGTGCAGATGCACGGATGCAGGTTGCGTTCACTTCAGGATGTGAACGGGGCTCCAGAACGGATCCCGTTCCCATCCAGAGGTACCACTGTACTTTGATGCTGCTGCTGCTGCTGCTGCTGCTAATAATAATAATAATAATAATAATTTTTATTTATATCCCGCCCTCCCACAGCCACAGCCAGACTCAGAGCGGCTAACATCATACAAGGAAAACAATGCATAAAAACAAGTGATCAATAAATTAAGATACATCCCACAATTACTTCAAAAAAATTAAAATTAAAACTGGACAAGTGGCAATCTTCAGGTTAAAACTGAAGGCGGTTACCAACTGTTTCCACTGATGTTATAAGCACCTGTGAGCAGGCTGGGAACCTCCTTCGTGCTTGTTCTTATACAAGGAGAAAATGAGTCAGACTGAACCCTGACCAAAGGCCTGGCGGAACAGCTCCATCTTGCAGGCCCTGCAGAAAGATGTCAGATCTTGCAGGGCCCTGGTCTCTTGTGAGAGAGCATTCCACCAGGCCGGGGCCACGGCTGAAAAGGCCCTGGCTGTGGTCAAGGCCAGTCTGATCTCTCTCGGGCCCGGAATCTTTAGAATGTTGTTAAACCACAGAGCCTAGGACTTGCCGATCAGAAGGTCGGCGGTTCGAATCCCCGTGACGGGGTGAGCTCCTGTTGCTCAGTCCCTGCTCCTGCCAACCTAGCAGTTCAAAAGCACGTCACAGTGCAAGTAGATAAATAGGCGGGAAGGTAAACGGCGTTTCTGTGCGCTGCTCTGGTTTGCCAGAAGCGGCTTAGTCATGCTGGCCACATGACCCGGAAGCTGTATGCCAGCTCCCTCGGCCAGTAAAGCGAGATGAGCGCCGCAACCCCAGAGTCGGCCACGACTGGACCTAATGGTCAGGGGTCCCTTTACCTTTTTAATGTCCTGTGTGGGGCAAACCAGATAGATGGTAGACTCTCCTTTGGAGGTTTTTAAACAGGGTTTGGATGGCTATCTGCCAGGGATTCTTTAGCTTTGATTCCTGCATTGCAGGGGGTTGGGCTGGATGGGGGTCCCTTCCAACTCTACAATTCTGTGTTCCTGTCCGTAGAGCAGACAAAACTTCCCTATTAAACGGTTGCTCTTTTATCCCGCCTTCAGGAAGCGTTATGACAAGGCAGAAGCCGAGTATGTGTCCGCGAAGCTGGACCTCCAGAAGAAAACGGAAGTCAAAGAGCAGCTCACGGAGCACTTGTGCACCATCATCCAGCAAAACGAGCTTCGCAAGGCCAATAAATTAGAGGAGCTGATGCAGCAGCTGGACGTGGAGGCAGACGATGAGAATCTGGAACTCGAGATAGAGGTGGAGCGGATGTTGCAGCAGCAGGAAGCGGAAGCGGCGAGGCAGAGGACGGAGTCCCAGAAGCCGGCTCTGGTTGGCGAGGAAAATGCAACTTCCCCGGCTGCTGATAAAGGACCTGAGAGTGAAGGCCGCACAGATTCAGAAACATTAGCAGAGCAGCCCACCGCTTCCCATTCAAATGGCGAAGGCCAAGCGGTAAACTCTGCTCCAGGGGAAACGACGGTTCAGGATGGCACATGAACACTGAACCTAATCAGCTAACCTCTGGCTGGCACCATTATCCTATTTAGCCATAGGGTTTAGAGGCTTCTTCTCCATGGTGCTACAAGAGCCCTCTGAAATCTGGCTTTTGACGGCAGCACTATCTTCATTCGTCTCCTGGATCGCCAGTATACTTGCGTGAGCTCTCACATCTTCTCTCTGCCCACCTTCCCCGACTTGCTTTCATTGAGCAAACTGCATGCAGTCCGTGGCAATTGCCTTGATATCAGGGATGGAGAACGTCAGCCTCCTCCAAGCCTTTCTTCCTGGCCTTCAGAACTCCTTCCAGACCGCACCCCTTGCTGGCTGTCCTTTGCACTCTGAATGTTTTTGCCTGGCTGGACTGTGTCTTTGAACTCTGACCATGCCTCTTGTTTGTCTGTGTAGCTGAATGTGTGTAGAAGCTAGCCTGCCGTATGGAGGTCAAGCTTACATTCGCTACTCTGTCCTCCACTGGCATGTTGTCCTCAGAAAATTAGCGGGAAGGGTCTGTGACCCTTTGGCTGAAAAAGGCTCCCCCCCCCCCCCCGCTTTATATTTAAAAAATGCAAGTCAGTATGAGATAGGTGCTATCTAAAACACACTCCAGTATACTATCTAAAACACACTCCAGTATACTATCTAAAACACACTCCAGTATACTATCTAAAACACACTCCAGTATACTATCTAAAACACACTCCAGTATACTATCTAAAACACACTCCTGAACGGATCCCGTTCGCATCCTGAATAGAACATAAGATGCGATGCGTGCGTGCGCGGGTCGCATTTTGCCGCTTCCGTACATGACGTCATTTTGAGCGTCTACGCATGCGCAAGCAGCAAAACCCGGAGGTTATGCGCTCCGTTACTTCTGGGCTGCCGTGGAGTGCAACCCAAAAGCGCTCAACCTGAAGCACATTCAACCCGAGATATGACTGTATTGGCAGTCCTGTCCTGATAGGTGGGTTTTTTCTTTCCATTACAGTGGTACCTCAGGTTACAGACCATAGCTGTCAACTTTCAGATTTGAAAATAAGGGATCAGCAACCTCGAAAATAAGGGATTAGCAGCCTCACCTGTCCCGGGGACAGTCTACAGGATATCTAACAATCCGGGATAGCAGCGGGAAGCAGCGAGAAACAGCGCTGCAATAAGGGAATTTCCTGCCAAAAAAAGGGAAGGTCGACAGCTATGTTACAGATGCTTCAGGTTACAGACTCCGCTAACCCAGAAATAGTACCTCGGGTTAAGAACTTTGCTTCAGGATGAGAACAGAAATCGTGCAGTAGCAGTGCGGCAGCAGCGGGAGGCCCCATTAGCTAAAGTGGTGCCTCAGGTTAAGAACAGTTTCAGGTTAAGAACGGACCTCCAGAACGAATTAAGTTCAGAGGTACCACTGTCCTGAGCTACAGAGGCTGGTGGAGAGTTGACTGCATGCCAGAGCCACACAGTATATTAGTGGAAGACGTTTGAAAGCAGCCCAGCTGCAAAATAAGATACATTCATTTCATTCCAAGAAGCGATTAGATTTGCACAAACGCATGCACACACTTTGCCATCCACAAAGATCCTTATTGAGCCTTCTCATCCCAAAGTCCACACCCCTTATGACTTAGAAAACCTTGTGTGTGCCACACTCATGGCATTCATAACTCAGACTAGTCAGTCACTCCATAAAATTGGGGACCTTAGTGTTGGCTTCTTTGCGTGTGTTCATGCTCCTGTACTAATGTCTGAAATTTCAACCTCCTTGGCAGAAGTAGGCAACACTTTTTCATACATTGCGGCTTGGTCACTCTGTAATCCCTTCATTCCACACCCCTCTTCCCTGCTCCAGTAGCAAGCAAGTGCCCCCATTTAGCCAAAACAGGGCCGATGTGAAACAAGGAAGAGTTACTACTATGCTTGGGGGAACCCCAAAGTTTGCCAAATTACAAAAATAAAACATTTCTTGAATACCCAAAGGGGGCAACTACCCATAAAACTGCCCAGTGAGGTGGGATATCATTAATAAATATTTCTTATTCATGTAGCAAACATATTTTCACATTTTCTTCCTATTTTATAAAGTTACAAAAAGGTGCATTACTACAGATTGACAAAACGCTGTCAACTTAATTCATACTGCTAGTAAACAGTAGGCAAATAGTTTTTTAGCAAACACAACCTGATTTGTGCAAGAAAAAAATAAAATAAGTATAGTCACTGTTAAAAGAACAAAATATAAGTAAGGCCTCACTGTAAGCACTGGGCAAATATTACTTATCAAACAACAGCAATAAATGTTCCATATGAGATTCTTCATTTCACTTTTTATTCCGGCAATAAAGAGCAAGAAGGTCTGAGTGCAAGGCTGGGTGGCAGGGCTTTCTTCTCTGTGCAAAGGGTCATAAAAATGTTTTTCATATACTGTTTACCATGAAGAAATGTTTATGGGACGCATAAAGTAAATCATTGTTAGCCATTTCCTCCTCTCCCGCCATTCCATCGGGCTGCCTTAGTGGCAGAGGCGTGAAGCAAGGTTCATCCATCAGCTTTGCCAAAAGACCAGCTCTATCAGGCGCCTCTTTCCCCTGCGCTATCTCTGTGCCAGGTGGCCGTGATCAAAGTCACTATTTAAGAATCGGTGCTTGAGCTTGTTTCACCCCTCTCCCTCCCTGTCCTCGTTCCCTTATGTGTCTTTTTAAAAATAAAAATAAAATTGTAAGTCTGTGGGCAGGGATTGCCTTGTTTTAACGACTGTACACTCTGGAAGCCCTTTCGGCTAAAGAGCAAGGTATATAGAAGCTATAAATAAATAAGCACTCCAATTGCTGATTTGGACTATTGGTTCCAGTTCTTATCTTTTCTGTGTCTTGCAGTTTGACTACCTGATGGGGAAAAACGGTGTTGACTTGAGTGGATTTAATGGACATTGAACAAAAAATGTATTGATTTCCTTTTTTTGAGGTGTTCATGCCTGTTTTTAGCAAGACTCAAAAGTGCTCAGTGTAGTAGTACATACCATCTAAATCAGTTTACTACATCCTGTATGGGATCTGTATGGAGCAGCTGCATTCTTCCCTTAGTTTAGATGAAGAATAGAAGGTGGTGGACTCTCCTTCCTTGAAGGTTTTTAAACAGGAGGTTGGATGGCCATCTGTAAGGGTTTATTCAGCTGCAATTCCTGCACTGCAGGGGGTGGGACTCGTTGACCCTTGGGGGGGGGGTTCCTTCCCAACACTACAATGGTTGTATGAAGAGCTGTAGGAATCTCAAGAATCAAGAATGCAAATAAAAACCTTTCCCCCCATTCATTTAAGGATATAACCCTAAAAACACATGCATCTATATTATTATTATATTTATTTAAACCCCGCTTTTCCCCCTGACAAGGACTCAAAGCAGCTTAAGAATAAAATAAGAGCATAGTAGGAAAAAACCTTATTTAACAACAAACTTTAATACATGTACTGTATTCATACACGATGCACATATACACACACACTATATATGTGTGTGTGTAAAATAAGAGCATCCAAGCATAGAAGAGAAAAACCTTATTAAAAAAGCAATTAAGCATTAATACATGTATTCATACATGATGCAAATATACACACACACTAAATTATATATATATAATTTTATTTGTATGCCGCCTTTCCATATTTAAAACAATGGTCAAGGCGGCTTACAACATTACAATTATGATTTACATAATTACCAACATAACAAATGTCACAAACAAGAAATAAAACACATCAAAAGGTACACAGCCAAATGGAAAACAATTTCCACATGTCATAAAATCTAAAAAGACATTAATCTCAATAACAATTGAAAATGACATAGATAAAAAATAAATTTTAAAAAGGAGCCCTCTCTGTCGAGCAGCAGCAGCAGCAGCAGCAATTCTTTATATATATTACATTTGAAACAGAGATATATTTGTAATAAAAGCACCACGGCCCCAGCACCAGCGCCCGGCCACAACTGCAGCCGCACAGCTGAATCACCAGCCATGTCGACTCCTGGCTCCAGATCCTACTTCCGCCCGGCCAGGAAGTCCCGCCCTCGGACATCCGGACGGCCCGTCTCTCCCGCCCAACTCCATGGTCAGTCAGCCCAGCCCGCTTCCGGTTCCTGCCAGGCAGAGGAGCCTCCAGGTGGGTCGGGAATCAGAGGACGGTAGGGCTGGAATGGGATCCCCCAAAGGTCCTCTAGTCCAGCCCCCTGCAATGCAGGGATCCCAGCTAAAGCCTCCATGGCAGGGGGCCACTCAAGCTCTGCCTAAAAGCCCCCAAGGAAGGAGAGTCCACCGCCTAAATAGAAAATATAACATATTTTCATGCCACTGCCAAGCAGAGAGTTATTCCTGGGCTGGAAGCTCCTTCCTTGTGACTCGAAGTCTTGGGTTCGAGTCCTGCCCTCCAGAGCAGGAGAAAACAAGCTTGCTCCCTCTGCCATGTCACAGCCCTTGAGATATTTGAAAGTGGCTCTCGTATCCCCAGATGAACCATCCTTTAATAATAATAATAATAATAATAATAATAATAATAATAATAATATATTATTTATACCCTGCCCATCTGGCTGGGTTTCCTCGGCCACTCTGGGCAGCTTCCAACAAAATATTAAAATACAATCGTCTGTTAAACATTAAAAGCATCCCTAAGCTCTTCTAATGCAGAAAGATTGGAAATCTAAATCTAATATAAGAAACGGTGTGAACTCTTTTTTTTCATCAGAGGCTGTTTTTTATTAGATTTTGTGTGTGTGGCTGTATTATTTTTTTTGTAATTGCGGGGTTGTTTTTTAAAAATGTAACATGTTTTATTTTTTTTAAGTTATGATTTTCAATTTTCTACCTTTCAATAATTTTACAGTCATTTAAACGTTTCGAAACTTCCCCCTCTTTCTACGGTTCCTTAATTAAAAAAAATATATTTTCTGCATATTCCAAATTAACTCAAGTTACTCCTTTGTTCATCTACTTTAAATACATACCCTTATAAAACTGCAGGGTTTGTAACGTGTTTTAAATTGTTTGCAACCTTCCCTGGGACCTTGCATGAAGAGTGGGTGGGAATCGTAATTATTGCTATTATTATTTTAATTTAACAGTCAGTCAGATGTCCACTCTCCCGTCTTTCGCTGTGCTGTTCACCGTGCTGGGACACCCATGGGAGCCAGAGGTCCTTCCGATATCTTGGGCCTAAACCGTTTTTGCTCTTTTGCTCTATTCTCTCAACTCCACTGAATGATAAAAATGGGACCTTTTTTTTTGCCAGGAGCATGGATGGCATTGTGTCATCACAAAGTCGCCTGAGTTTGGAGCAAGTTGAGCCCGGGTTGCCCCTACAAAGCATGGCTGCTGGCACAGAGAACCCTGCGAAGAAGATGCTTCTTCCCTTCGCTGTGTGGCTTGGAAATCCGGTAAGATTACAACAGAGCGGAATATATTATTATTATTATTATTATTATTATTATTATTATTATTATTATTTGTACCCTGCCCATGCCCATCTGGCTGGGCCTCCCCAGCCACTCTGGGTGGCTTCCAACAAAGATTAAAAATACATTAAAATGTCACACATTAAAAACTTCCCTGAACAGGGCTGCCTTCAGATGTCTTCTATATGTCAGATAGTTGTTTGTTTCTTTGACATCCACAGGGTGGGTGCCACCACCGAGAAGGCCCTCTGCCTGGTTCCCTGTAACTTGGCTTCTCGTAGGGAGGGAACCGCCAGAAGGCTCTCGGAGCTGGACCTCAGTGTCCGGGCAGAATGATGGGGGTGGAGACGCTCCTTCAGGTATATTGGAAGATTGAAGCTCCTTGACATCAGGCAGGAGACGGGTGCCACCACCGAGAAGGCCCTCTGCCTGGTTCCCTGTAGCCTTACTTCTCGCAGTGAGGGAACCACCAGAAGACCCTCAGCGCTGGACCTTAATATCCGGGCAGAACGATGGGGGTGGAGACGCTCCTTCAGGTATACAGGACCGAGGCCATTTAGGGCTTTCAAGGTCAGCACCAGCACTTTGATTTGTGCTCAGAAACGTACTGTGAGCCAATGTAGGTCTTTCAAGACCAGTGTTATGTGGTCTCGGCGGCCGCTCCCAGTCACCAGTCTAGCTGCCGCATTCTGGATTAATTGCAGTTTCCGAGTCACCTTCAAAGGTAGCCCCACGTAGAGCGCATTGCAGTAGTCCAAGCGGGAGATAACTAGAGCATGCACCACTCTGGCGAGACAGAACCTGTGCAAAAGCAATTTTCGGTGTCTGGGCATGCGCAGAAGCAGTTTTCGGTGCCGTGAACATGTACAGATGCGATTTCCTGCGTCTGGGCATGTGCAGAAGCGATTTTCAGAGCCGTTGAAGAGAGTCCCTGCACCGCGCTGTGCTGGTTTAGCGTAGCGCACGGGGACTCACTGAGCAGGTGGCTCAGTTTGGGGTCGGCTCATGGGCCGATTAAGCGACCCTCTTGGGTCACATCCGGCCCATGGGCCTTAGGTTGCCGACCTCTGGGTTATGCAGTCCAGCAGACACATGGAGAGTTTGTCATCAGGGCCGGATTGAGGTTTGATGAAGCCCTGTGCTACTGAAGGTAATGGGGCCCTTTCTATGCCCAGCTGTACTTTGCCAACAACAATTTTTTGCTGTTTTTTGTGTTGAATATATGCTATATGGTAATTTGTGGACCTGATAGGTATCTAAAGCCATTTGCACATAACAAATTATGTATTTTATCAAAGTGATTGTTGAACTGAAATACAATTAAGAAGAAGTATATTAATAGTGAAATACAACTTAGAAGAAGTATATTAATAGTGAAATAATTATTAAACTCTAACTTAAAATGACTTTTTAAATTCATAACAAACTTAGTAATGCAAACAAAAGTTCCTTTAGAAATACAATTTCCAAAGACTCATAATGTAGTCTCTAGAAACTTGCTATGACATGAAATAATACAAAGAAATAAACTTAAGGTTACACCTGTATGACTTCCCTCCACCTCAATTCGACTTTCTTTATATATTAGAATCTTATTATCATTGCGTCCCATACATATTATTCATTCCAATCCAAAATTGATTTTTTCAATTGTCTCTTAAAATCAATTTACATACTTAGTCTATGCATATCAACATATTACCCCTAGAACAGTGTTTTATTATATAGTCCTCAAAACACTGCCATTCCAACCTGCGTTTCTGATTTGTCTGGTGTCTTATGGCTGCCGTTAATTTAGCCAGGTCTATGAATTCACATAGCTTGTTTATCCAATCTTCTTTTGTGGGGATACTGTCTCCATTCCAAATTCTAGCAAATACTAATCTGGCTGCTGCTGTGGCATATAAAAATAACTTTTTTTTATCTTGTGGGATGTCCTTTCCTAAAATCCCTAGCAAATATGCTTCTGGCTTCTTTTCAATGGATAATTGAAACTTCTTTTTTAACTCATCGCGGACTCATCCCCAGAATTTTTTTTTAAGTTTTCTCACAGCTGCAGATCTGAGGGTTTTAATTTTACCAGAGGCTCTTGGCTTGCTATCTTGAAAGTACCGTATTTTTCGCACCATAGGACGCACCGGACAATAGGACGCACTTTGTTTTAGAGGGGGGAGAACAAGAAGAAAATTCTCCCCTCTCTGCCCAGCGCCCTTCAGCGAAGTGGCAGGAGGCGCTGTGCAGAGAGGGGAGAACTTCCCCTCTTGTTTTCCCGCTCTAAAACAAGGTGCCGTTTAAGGTGCGTTCAGGCGGCTGACCTTGGAAGCCTGGAGAGCGAGAGGGGTCGGTGTGCACTGACCCCTCTCGCTCTCCAGGCTTCAGGTTCTCGACCTGCTCTTTGGGGCTGGCGGGGGGAAGCCCACCACCAGCCCCAAAGAGCAGGTCAGGGAGCAGCGGAAAGGCGCAGCGGAGAGGCTCCTGCCATAGCCGTGCGTCACCTCTCCAGCCGGGAGAGGGTCGCGGGGCTATGGCTTCTTTAGCCCCGCGCGCGCTCTCCCGGCTGGAGAGGTGACGCGCGGCTATGGCAGGAGCCTCAATAGCCGCGCGTCACCTCTCCAGCCGGGAGAGGGTCGCGGGGGGCTGCTTTAGCCCCGCGCGCGCTCTCCCGGCTGGAGACGTGACGCGCGGCTATGGCATGAGCCTCAATAGCCGCGTCACCTCTCCAGCCGGGAGAGGGTCGCGGGGCTATGGCGTCTTCGCTCCATAGGACGCACACACATTTTCCCTTCATTTTTTAAGGGAAAAAAGTGCGTCCTATAGAGCGAAAAATACGATAATTGGTGACATTAAATTGTCTGATAGTTTTAATATTGAGAGAAGAGATAGCCAGGGAAATGTTTTTTGAATTCCTGTTCCACTATGAAATTTGTCCGCTTTCCTGAAGGAGTCTTGCCACTCTGTTTCACGCATAAAATGTTTTGTTTCCCCGCAGTGTGAGCGAGTTTCTTGCCCTTATGATCCTAACCACCAAATGCCCAAATCTTCCCTGGAGAAGCATATGGTGTCCTGTAGGCTGAGAAAACTGGATTATTCCAAAGAGGAGGAGGTAATACTCTTTGCTAGTCTCCTTTTTGTGGGGATTATTCATATTCTAGAACGGGAGGGAAACTCCTTAGTTTTTCTCAAAAACAATAGTCACTTCCTATTTTTCAAACTTCTGAAGTTGCCACCCAGGGTGTGTTCTTCAGAATAGGATGAAAGAAAACCGAGTTTTTAAAAACTCGCATGAGATGATGATTAAAATTCAAGCTCAGTTTGGAACTAAATCTGAATGTTATACAAACTCTGCCTTTACTTTGGTCTCGTTTCTTGAGGAACCTGCTTTCTTCAAACATTGAACTGAAGGTCGCTTTGCAAAGCAGAGGAAGAAGAACGCATGGGGGGAAATGTGCAACTTAGGTTCAGCATAATAAATGGCATAGTTAAAGTAATGTGTTAGTATTTATTAATGTACTAATGTGTCTACTAGAGCCAAGAACTTTCAAATCAGCACAAGCATTCGGATTTAGGAGGTGATTTTGCATTGTGTCGACTGGGTTTGATTCATTGACAATAATTTCTGATCGAATCCCACAGGCCTCTTCACCTTGGCCATTTGCTTTCTCTACGCCTGACAGGCACGTATAAGCATTGTGGAACACAGGCCAGTTGCTTCATCAGGCATCCTCAGTACATAAAGATGATAGGTAGCTTTGATGTAGTTTAATCTTTAGATAGATCTTAAGGGCCAGGAAGAGAGTTCACAAGAAGATGGTAAATACTACCCATCCTGTCTCTCCTGTTTATGACCTCCGGGGTTTTGCTGAATGCATTCCTCCTTTTATTCCTATTTTATTTACTCTGGACTACTATGCATGCTCAAGTAGGAAATAGTTTCTTTGTAGTTTTAACTTTAACTTTGTCCCACGTGGGTTTTTTTTAAATGCTCAGAGGAAATCTGATTGGTTCTTACGAACACTGTGTAAAAAGTTCTTTTGTGAATAAAACGACCTGGGCCGAGGGGTGAAGAGGAATTATTATTATACACACTCCTCCCAGAGTTTTGCTGGTCAAGCCTCCTGTGTATTCTGTTAATCAGAGTCCAATCCTTCCTTGCTTTGGGAACGCTACATACAAATGAGGAGGACTGGATTAGCCACATTGGGGAGAGTGTTGAGTTCTGTTCCACTTCTGTAGCTGAGAGAATATCCACTGGTGACAATCATTGATTACTGAGCGGCTTCATCTTTTATTTGCCTTTTGTCTTGCAGGCTGCAATGTACGATTCTGCTTTTTTCTTAGAGAAAGCAAAGATCCCTCACGTGCAGATGGGTGAGTGCGAATGTGGCAGTGAAGATAAAGTAAAATATTGCACAGCCGACATGGTTCTTATTGTATGTTAGCAGAATAATCAAGCTCTGGGCCAGTGTGTCAGTGCAGCTGTGGACTGAATGAGGGCCAATAAACTGAGTTTGAATCCTGGGGAAATTGAGGGTCTGTGAGTAGGTGGTCTCTGTGCTTGAAAGATAGGCCTATTTCCTTGTTCTGGATAGGTTGCTCTCCCCCTGAAAGGGCAGGTACATAGCTTCGTGGTTCTCCTGGATACATCTGTGTCCTTAGAAGCCCAAATGACCTCTGTGGGTAGGAGTCACATTTATAAAAACAGATATTTTTATAAATAAGACAAATAGCTTATCTGAAATTTGGGTGCTATGTTGTTCACTGATTTTGTGATCATTTAGTCCAAGGAGCCTAGAATAATAATAATAATAATAATAATAATAATAATAATAATAAATTAATTTATACCCCGCCCATCTGGCTGGGTTTCCCCAGCCACTCTGAGTGGCTTCCAACAAAGATTAAAAATACATTAAAATGTATATTAAATATTAAAGAATATTAAAGATATCCATAGGGAAACAGGTCTAGAAAATCTTTTTTTATATGCTGCATAATTAAAATTTCTGATCTCAGAATGTGAATGGCTTTTAAAACCGTGTCAGGTGCTGCTTAATGTATATTGGGTATTGCAGATTGAATCGTCTGTCTTTAGACTTCCAAGTGTCCTAAATATAGTTAGCATTCTTATATGTCCTCCTTTATTTTGCTGCAGACAAGAATCTGCAATTTGACATCATTAAACAAGCCATTGCTAAAGAGAGTGGAAGTTATGGTTCAGGTAAGTAGGGATTTGGAAGTGACAATCATCCTTGGTTCCTATTGGGTCTTGTCTGCTTGTATGCAGGAGAATGTTTTTATACAGCGATTTCTGGCTTTCCCATTTTATCTCCGTTTCTTGGAATGCCCTGAAAACGCTTATATTCTTGAGGCTCAGTCATTCCTTATATAAGCCTTCCCTTTTGGCTGACATGCAGCCTGATCTATGGAAGCGAGCCAGATTCTGAACCACCCAGCATTATTAGTTCTGCTAAATGTACATACAGTGGTACCTTGGTTCTCAAACGCCTTGGTTCCCAAACGTCAAAAACCCAGAAGTAAGTGTTCTGGTTTCCAAACGTTTTCCGGAAGCCAAACATCCGATGAGGCTGTCGGCTATTATTTCTGGGGCTCCTGCACCGATCTGAAGCTGCGCCTTCGTTTTTAACATTTCGGAAGTCAAGCGGACTTCCGGAACGGATTAAGTTTGGCGCTTTCGTTTTCGCTCTTTATTTTGCGTTTTTATTTTGGGAGCTTTTTTGGTTGATTTGTTTTTGTGACTGTGTGGAACCCAGTTCAGCTACAGATTGATTGATTGTGTGACTGTGGAAATGGATAAAAGCCCCCCATCCAAACAATGACTCTCATCAGAGCAAGTAAGTAAGAAAGTTAATTTTAATTTTAATCATCTACAGTACTGTCTTATTTTATGGTACTGTACATTGATTCTTGTGTCACGAGTTCCATGTGTTCTTCACAGCCCTCCGCTTCAGATCATGTGTCTGTTTTGAATGCTCCAGGTACCTATTCCTTCCTGCCCGTCGAAGTCCCACAGAACCACAAGCGCTACGTCTGCGACCTGACCCAAGCCGACCGCCTGGCCATTTACGATTACGTCCTCGCTGAAACGAAGAAGCAGAGGTCGAGATCCCAGCTGGCAGAAAACGACAGCGATCTCTTCGTAGACCTGGCAGCAAAAGTCAACCAAGGTCAGGGGGAAACCGTTACAGCTGTACTCTGCGTGACATTTGAAAGTCACAAAAGGTGGGGTTGGATTTGGTACGCTTTTGCTCAGGCAGGTTCCCCTGATTGAATTAGATCTCTCCACCTACAGTCGAGTCGTTTACCTTATCTCGGTCTTTTTGAAGTTGTATTTTCTTTCATTTCCCCCAGTGATATTTGTAGGAATAACGGAGACGGCAGGAGGTTGGATGCAGGTGAGCTGTGCGTGAGCAAGCTGGCAAGCATTCTCCAAGCAAGCTGCCATCTAGCTCGGCCGCGGCTCCTTTTATTAGCAGAAGTCAAAAATTGGAAACAGTAGTGAAACCGCCCTGAACTTAATGTATTTCCATCTAAGCACATTTCCAGCATTAGCAAATACACGTGTTAGCAGGTGTTTCCCTGAGATGTTCCCCCCAATACTCGATTACGTCTGCGTCCCCCGCCATGCTCCAGCCAAGCGATATGTCTAACAAACAAATTGAAAAGAGAAGAAGATAGTAAATTGAAGGAGTTAATTTTATTAGAAAGGGGATTTTGGAAAACTGTTACAAGGTGATAGAATGAAATTCAGTTAGAGGGGATTTGAGGAAGTCAGATAACAATGAAAGTTAAAATGGGTTCTAGAAGTAATAAGTGCTTATATTTTTATTTTTATTTTCTTTTAGTATTGTAATGTGCTTTCTTTTGTGTGTATTATATGTTATATTTGTCATAAATGTGGAAAATCAACAAAAAATTTTTTTAAAAAAAAATTGTGAGAGGACAAAAGGTCAGGGGGAAAACCCTGTTTTCAAGCCAAGGGGGCAAAAGGTCAGGGAAAGCAGGTGCAATGTTCCTTGACATATTGTTGCACGTCTGGTGCGAGGTTTGCCTTCGCAAAGCGGAGCGTTACCTCCACAGATATTGTACACCATCTGTGAATTAAAGCTGATGTTTCTAATGCAATAAAATAACCTCTTCTTCTTTTGACTTCAGATGACGGTCAGAAAGGTCCAAAATCCCACCTTGAAATTCTCGCAGAGATGCGGGATTATAAAAGACGACGTCAGTCCTACAGAGCGAAGAATGTCCACATTACCAAGAAATCCTACACAGAGGTGAGTTCCGGGGAGATGGGGAGACGGTGGGTATCCTTGCAGGAATCAAAACACTTCTCAGTTGGCACAAAACATCCAAGTTACAGGGAACCAGGCAGAGGGCCTTCTCGGTGGTGGCGCCCGCCCTGTGGAACGCCCTCCCACCAGATGTCAAAGAGAACAACAACTACTAAACTTTTAGAAGACATTTGAAGGCAGCCCTGTTTGGGGAAGCTTTTAATGTTTGATGTATTACTGTATTTTAATATTTGGTTGGAAGCCGCCCACAGTGGCTGGGGAAGCTCAGCCAAATGGGCGGGGTATAAAAAATAATTTTTTATTTATTAAACGCAAGTGGTTTATGATTTCTAGTATACCCAATGTTTTAGGCTGAGCTGCCTTATAAATGTGCATTTTAAGGAAGCGTCCGATCACCTTACTGTTTGGCAAGCTCTCCTGCCCAGCTGAGATTTCACTGTTTGCCTGATTTCCACTCCTGTCTGTGGACCCTGCCCAGGTGATCAGGGATGTGATTGGCGTGCACATGGAGGAGCTTGCCGCTCACTGGCAGGAGGAGAACAGGAACGCAGAATCTTGCGAAGACGAAAACTCCTCTAAGTCTGCAGGGAGGTAAGAACCGTCGCTACAAAACACTCGCGGGGACACTTGTACCTTGTGAACTGATGCAAATGGTCTTAGGATTGCAGCTTTGCCAGGTCAACTCTGGAATACAGGAATTGTACGAGCTGGAAGGGAGTCAAATTACACGGAAGGAGATTCCAATTAACCTGAAAAAGAACTTTCTGACACTAAGAGCTGTTTGACCCCCTCAGTGTCAGGAGCTCAGCCTACGCTCGAGTAGGACTCTGGCAGAGACACATGCCCGACTGGCGTGTTCCCTCCCTCCTGGTCGATCGTTCGGGAACTTCAAAAGCTTTCTTCAGCCTGAACATCACAGCGACCGATGCCCACAGACATTGGCACATTTAGGGACCCGCAGAGTTTGCGCAGCTGCGTAACAGACCTCGGCAACTCAGCATTTTGGCTAATCTACTTTATTTACATATAAACACACACGGAGCACTGCAACATGGCTCCCTCTCTCTCTAGCATCAGACAGCAAAGAGAAAAAGAACAAAGGACAATAGTCCCACTTCACAGAACACAGTAAACATCCTGTCTCCGTCACTTCCCACTCTGTGGAGTCAAAACATATACCGTCATGTGATAGACAAAAATCCCATGACTGCAGTCATGGAGCAGGAATTCTAACACTCAGAAGGTGGAACACTTTCCCTCAGAGCTTTTAAAACAGAGGTTGGGTGGCCATCCATCAGGAATGCTTTAGCTGTAATTCCTGCATTGCTGGGGGTTGCGCAAGATCAGGGGTCGGCAAGGTTTTTGTGGCTTGGGCCCGTTCACGGTCCCGCAGACGCCACGGTGGGCCGGACTGCGCGCACACACGCATGCGCAAACGCTCCTTTCGGCGCGGAGGAGGCGTGTGCAGCTTCCCATTGGCTGCAGGAGCTTCCTGCAGCCAATGGGAAGCTGGCCAGCGTCACGGAAGGCGGTCCCTGCTCTGCTCCGCACCGGTTTAGTGTGGCGCACGGGAGGCAACCCCCCCCATCGGGCGGCGCGGGTCCAGGGGCCGGTTAAACTGTTGGGAAAATGCCCACCCAGAAGGCTTGCCAGCTCCCAGATCCACCAGGGCATTTATCAGGAGGTCGTTCTCTGGCTGGAACCCAGGAATCCTCCTCAGTCCAGAGAGGCCATTAATAAGTGACTCCTCCCTTTTGAGAGAAGCACACTCACTTTCTCCTGGCAATCCATCACAGAAGAAAGAGGCAGTCTGTAGTCTCCAGCTACTTTATTCGACTGTACACACAAACACACATGTCTGCGCTCTCTGAGCAGTCCAGCCTCAGAGTCTGTGACTCAACACTGCTTCAATCCAGAAGCGGAAGACCTAACTCTAACTCCACCCCAGTTACACTCAGGACTGTCTGAGAACTGGCTCAGACTTCCTTTCTCACGCTGAGAGACATCACCTGATGCCAACAACCTTGCTGCTCTTGCTACTTCCTGGCAGCTTGTGGGAACTGAAATCCCAACATAAACGACCCCCATAGGCCCTTGTGGCCCATGGGCCTTAGGTTGCTGACCCCTGCGCAAGTTGACCCTCGGTGTCCCTTCCAACTCTACAGTTCTGATATTCTATCTCTAGGAGTTCAGGGACTTTTAGGAGTCTTCCAGAAATCATCTGTGCTGCCCCTTCTTTGTGCACTAATGCCCCACCGTTTCATGAATCCCTTAGCTGATTTCTCCCCCATTTCTCCTTAAATGCTAAATTCTCTAGGGCTGCCTTGTACAATCTTATTTACAACTTTCCTGTCTTCCACAGCGAGTGGCAAACACAAGATTGTGCAGCAAAAATGTTCTCCTCCTCTTCCCACTAAATCCCCCATTGTGATTTGAGGGATATACCATGCTGGTGAAAATGGCTTGGGGCTCATATGTTGTGCCAGGGGAAAAATCTCTCTCCCGTTGTAAGGAGGTGTTTTGCAATTTTTCAGAGGAAGACAAGGCTGCAGTATTTTGCAAACGTGATTGTTAACCAAGTCAGCATCTTTTCCAGATTATTAATTACTGACTTGCTGACCATACAAAAACAGACATAGCAGTTTATTTCCCCTAAATTAAATGATCTGTACTCTAATAAAGCAATTATGCACCCGCGCTCTTTATTAGAAAAGAAGAGCGAAGATCTACCTCGGCTGACTCAAGACAGTCTAGTGGAAGTTCAAAGGATGCTGATTCTTCTCGCCATAAGAGGAATTCCAGCCGAAGTCCGGGCAAACGGAAAAGGAGTCGGGGAAGAGAGAGAGGCAAGGAGTCCCGAAGGAAAAAAGCGAGGCGAGTACTTCCCTTGGTCTCTTGACTTCCAGTGATTGGCACCGTGTTCATCAAACATTATATCAAGGTTCAGCTGAATGTGCCACAGAGTGGCTTGCAAATACATGCAACCCGCAGAGGACCTTAAGGTCCATGAATAACCATAGTTTAGAGGTCCCGGGCCCTAAGGAAGTCAGACTATCCTCCACCAGGGCCTTCTCAGTGATGGCTCCGACCTGGTGGAATGCTCTGTCCCAGGAGACCAGGGCCATGCAGGATTTAACCTCCTTCCGTCAGGCCTATTCCACCTGGCCTTTAATTTGAATTCAGCCTGATCTTTTATTTCCCTTCCCTTCTCTTCCCTCCCCCTCCCCTTTTATGAAGATCACCCGCTCTGAGACCCCACAGCTAATTCTCCCCTGGTCTCCTCGCTGGCCCAAGTAGGACCAATTCAACCAGCTAGCCCTGGGGATTATCTAATTGATTTCTGAACTTTGAATTTTATTGTTATTCATGTTTTTATACTGCATTTTATGCTGCTTTTATAATTAAGTGTTTTAAATTTGTTGTTAGCCACCCTGAGCCTGGTTTTTGAACCGGGAAGGGCGGGGTATAAATAAAAAATTATTATTATTATTGTTATTATCTCACATGAGGGTTTGGTTCCTGGGATCCACACGTAAATGCAAAAATTCATGAAGCCAAGAACCCCTGGATCTGGCTCCCCAATCCTTGCAAGGTAGAGATATGCTTACCCAATTTCGGGGAAGGAGATGCAAGGGCTCTGGGACGCTGTTAGAGCTCTTGCACCGTCTTCCCTAAGCTGGGTAAGTTTGCAATTGCAGGGAGAATAAATAAATGGAGAGTGGATTTTCTCCAGTCTTCCTTCCTTCCTTCCTTCCTTCATTCCACCCACACAAAGCTGAGATTGCATATGTCAAATAAGCATAAGATGCGAGTTACCTGTCACACCGTCTATTGCTTAAGCACTGCTTAAATCCCCAGACCTAACCCAACAGTTTCGCCCGACAGCTGGGGTTTTGTTCGTTCAGATACTCTTTATTTTACCCCTCCTAGACTTGTCTGTAACATCTGCACAGCTCTTCAAGGGCTAAGGCACATGTTATGCACTTTATTGCACTATCCTAAATATGTGCAAGGGACGCGGGTGGCGCTGTGGGTTAAACCACAGAGCCTAGGACTTGCCGATCAGAAGGTCGGCGGTTTGAATCCCTGCGACGGGGTGAGCTCCCGTTGCTCAGTCCCTGCTCCTGCCAACCTAGCAGTTCGAAAGCACGTCAAAGTGCAAGTAGATAAATAGGTACCGCTCCGGCGGGAAGGTAAATGGTGTTTCCGTGCGCTGCTCTGGTTCGCCAGAAGCGGCTTAGTCATGCTTGCCACATGACCCGGAAGCTGTATGCCGGCTCCCTCGGCCAGTAAAGCGAGATGAGCACCGCAACCCCAGAGTCGGCCACGACTGGACCTAATGGTCAGGGGTCCCTTTACCTTTACCTTTCAAATACATGTACCTATCTCGTGTGTGTGTCTCAAAATTTTGTACACCATGCTCCAGCCGTAAGTTGTTGTTGTTAATGTATTTATTACCTGACCTTCATCCCAAGGTTCCAGGGCAGGTTGCAACAAGAAAAACAACATTAAAAATAATTCAAAGCAAGTTTGCCCTATTAGAGAAAAATACCATATTCTCTCTCTCTAAGGTGCAAACAGCAATTTGTGTAGGAATTGGGAGCGATTTTCTAAATGGCATAGGTGTCAAAGAGTTTAAAGCTTACCTCCATGCAGCCGAAAGCAAGTTCAAATTCCTGCAGTTGCAATTGGGTTAAAATGGATTTTCTGTGTGATATGTAGCTTGGCCTAAGAATAGCCAAAAAGGGAATACCCATACCTAAAATATCTTACTAACAGAATATTTACAGTTGTTGGGTGGAGTTTGTGTGATGCAAGAGTAACAAGGAATGGAAGTGGAGGCGGTGCTGTGTATCTCAGCTTCATCTCAATGGGGATGAGGATAGAAAGGTTGAGCCACAGTCCTCATGGAAAATAAGGGTAGATTTCTGTGGGATTTGGGTCGCTTTGTATCGGGAGTGCTAAAGACTTACATAATGGTGTTTTTCGTTTTCTTTCAGACATGAAGGCAAGCATCGCAGTCACAAAAGGAAAAAATGAAACCTGTGTAGTAAAAGTCTGTCGGCAGTGCCAATTATAGAAGTCAAGCTGTGCTCTGTCAATTGTTTCATCCATTAATAAATGCCGTGCAAAAATTCCCTTTTCCAGTTTAGCTTCCTTTACTGAGGAGTAATGGGAGCGAGATGCAAAGGTTACTGTTTGGTCAGACAGAATGGTGTTTATTTTATTTTTATTTCTTTTATTAAAGATTTTCCTGATTTACAAAAGTGTGTGCAATGTCTCTCTCTCGTATTCCCCTCCCCCCGTAACATTTTTACAAATCAGTTTCATTTGTTGAAACATTAGGAAGAAAAGGGGGGAAGAGGTGGAGGGAGGGAAAGATGAGTGGGGTCGGGTGGTGATGTTTCTATTTTACTTACTATATGTAAGGTTTGGTGTCAGCATTGCTTGTGCAGGTTCTGTGCTGTTTGCTTGTGTTCCTTTGGTGGTGAGAGAGGTTGGGGTTGGCCGAGGGTGTGGTTGTTCATTTGTGGTTGGCTGTGGTGATCTTTGTTTTCGTGTGTGAGTGGGGTGGGTGGGTGTTTTGGATCAGCTTAGCCATATTGATTTGTATGCTGTCGGTGGATTTTTGTCGTTGTCTTGCTGGGCTGTGTATGTGATAAAGGGGAGCCAGACCGGGGCGAAGGCGTCTTCTTCTATTTGTCCCCGTGTCAGTTTCAGTTTATTAGTGACTTTTTCTAGTAGGGCTGTTTCCCAGACTATTTGGTACCATTGGTCCATGCTTACTCCTGACAGGTCTCTCCAGTTTCTGGCTATGATGCTTCTGGCTGCTGAAAGTAGGTGGGTTATGAGTTCTTTGTGGTGTAAGTGGGCATTACTGTCTTGGAAGATGTTTAGTAGGGCCAATTCTGGGGTGATTTCTAATACTTGCTTCGTTATTTTACTTATTTCACGTATGAATCATAGAATCATAGAATCATAGAGTTGGAAGAGACCACAAGGGCCATCGAGTCCAACCCCCTGCCAAGCAGGAAACACCATCAGAGCACTCCTGACATATGGTTGTCAAGCCTCTGCTTAAAGACCTCCAAAGAAGGAGACTCCACCACACTCCTTGGCAGCAAATTCCACTGTCAAACAGCTCTTACTGTCAGGAAGTTCTTCCTAATGTTTAGGTGGAATCTTCTTTCTTGTAGTTTGGATCCATTGCTCCGTGTCCGCTTCTCTGGAGCAGCAGAAAACAACCTTTCTCCCTCCTCTATGTGACATCCTTTTATATATTTGAACATGGCTATCATATCAGCCCTTAACCTCCTCTTCTCCAGGCTAAACATGCCCAGCTCTCTTAGCCGTTCCTCATAAGGCATCGTTTCCAGGCCTTTGACCATTTTGGTTGCCCTCCTCTGGACACGTTCCAGTTTCTCAATGTCCTTCTTGAACTGTGGTGCCCAGACAGTTGTAGACAGAATGGTTGTAGACAGAATGGTGTTAATAGTAGAAATTAGCTCCAACACCTGCAATTCCTTTTATTGTTCTGCAGATATAAAATGTAGTGGCAAAGGTCATGAGCTAAAGGCGACACATAACTCATTGAGTCAGCTTCTAGAGATCGATGAAAATGGTGTGATTGGTGCTCTCAAATTAGTTAGTAAACTCACTTCAAACTGAAATACAGTCGTACCTTGGTTTTTGAACAGCTTAGTTCTTGAATCGTTTAGCTCCCGAACTCCGCAAACCCGGAAGTGACTGTTCCAGTTTGTGAACTATTTTTGGAAGCCAAATATCCGATGGGGCTTCCGCAGCTTCTGACTGGCTGCAGGAGCTTCATGCAGCCAATCAGAAGCCGCGTTTTGGTTTTTGAACATTTTGGAAGTCGAACGAACTTCCGGAACGGATTCCACTCGACTTCTAAGGTACAACTGTAGTGTTAATTAGAGAATCATAGAGTTGGAAAGGCCGTTGAGGGTCATCTAGTGATGCAGGAATCTCAGTTAATAATACACGACAGATGGCTATCCAACTTCTTAGAAATCTCCAAGGATGGAGAGTCCTAAGGGAGTCCGTTCCACTGTTCGTACCCTCAGCTCTTGACCTCAGAAAGTTCTTCCTGTCGAGTCAGAATCTCATTTCTTGTAACCTGAATCCATCGGTTCAATATCATGCATGTTTCAGAGAGACATCCTGCCTTGTGCTGTTTGCCTGTGATAGCTGGCATGAGTTAAGGCACATTACTCTGTGGAAGTGGGACGCAGGTGGCGCTGTGGTCTAAACCACTGAGGCTCTTGGGCTTGCCAATCAGAAGGTCAGCAGTTTGAATACGCGTAATGGGGGTGAGCTCCTGTTGCTCTGTCCCAGCTTTTGCCAACCTAGCAGTTCAAAAGCACACCAGCGCGAGTAGATAAATAGGTACCGCTGCAGTAGGAAGGTAAACAGTGTTTCCGTGTGCTGCTCTGGTTTCTGTCATGGTGTCCCGTTGTGCCAGAAGCGGTTTAGTCCTGCTGGCCACATGACCTGGAAAGCTGTCTGTGGACAAACGCCAGCTCCCTCGGCCTGAGAGCGAAATGAATGCCACAACCCCATAGTCGCCTTTGACTGGACGTAACCATTCAGGGATCCTTTACCTTTTTTACTTTACTCTGTGGAAGTACATGTGTAAAAATTAACACTGTGGGTCTGTATCTAATATCAGGTGATAGTACAATGAGTTCCAAAAAACAGGAGCTCAACATGTGTTAACATTACATTGCCCCAAGAAATGAGTTTTCCTTGCTTTTGCTGCTGCGGATCCCTGTTCTAAAATTATGCAGGTCTTCAGCTTCATATAAGCTCTTCTAAGCGTTCTCAAAGGGAGGCATCTGCACCTCTACTTTAATTCCTGCTTGTATAGTTGGGCATTTATTTATTCTATAAAATAATAAGAGTATATTTTTATTTTTTTTAAAAAATCAAATGTACAAATCAGGTTTCAAGCAAAAGAAAATATTGTGAATGGTTTTACAAAGTGGGTTGTTCCAAAAAGAAAAGTGGATCATCTTTCTGTAAACCTGTTGTCGTACTGTAATAAACGAAAATCTTCCCTTATTCCCTTATGGGGGACACAAGCCCTTTGCAGGTTCTCCATCAGTCGGGGAAAATAACACAGGCCATCCAGAGAATATTGAGAAGCAAAGCAGCTTGTAAGCCTGGTCTTTATTGAACTGTTGCAACAGGGTGCTTCCCTCACACACGGAAAAGGAGGAGGACCCAGAACAAAGGTGTGCCTGCCCTTTTATAGAAATTTTAAATTCCCTGCCCTGGAGTCCAAGACCACCCCCAGAAACATACATACATCACAGAAGGAGTGTAGCTCAAGACCACCCTCCAGATACATCATATCTACATCTCAGAAAAGGCGGTCTACGGCAGAAATCTGAGTGCGTTGTTTATCTCCTGTCTGGCAGGTTACCTGTTAATGCTTACTTGATTGGATACCCTGGGGAGCCTGGCCAGTCTTTTGTAATGATAAATACTTAGTTCCTGAGCCAGGTCACAGGCTCATCCTATTCAAACACAGACATACCCCTTAAGACAGGATTTGTGAAGGAAAAGACAATGGGGAGGCTCTTCCATTGGACCTTGCAAACACCTGGTCAGCCTGGGAGTCAAAATGGCTCCATGGCTGCTGTGCTGTGCAGCTTCAGACATGTGGCCTATATATCTATGTATGTGTTTGCTTGGTACATTTATGAACCTTTATTATATACATAAGACCTTAATTTATTTATTTCAGTACATAGCACGGTTCATTGCTTATACACTATTATTGTTGTTGTTATTTATTAAATTTGGATGGTGCCGTTACCTGCAGGTCTTAAGGGCAGTTTGCAGGAGAAAATCACAACATGAAAACATGAAATAGACAATAAAATAAATATAATAACAGGCAATAAAAACAAAAACAACCCAATATGATTATATCATCTAGCCTACACTGTACAGATGAGTGGCGGCTGTTGAAATTCAGACTCAAGAAGTGCATTAAATTTTATTTATTTATTTTTTTTAAATGATATTTATTAAAGTTTCAAAAAAATACAAAAAATACAGAATACAGAAAGAAAAAGAATAAAGTTTTTTTTAAAAAATATAACCAAAGAAGTAAAAAATAAAAGAAAACATACCAAATAAAACAATTAAAAGGACATTAAATTTCCATAACCTATCTTCCTTATACTTATTTCCCCGGACCTCCTCATACATCCCTTTTTGTATTCCAGTTCAATTTGTTGATTCAGCAAATCCTTACCATTAAAATTACCCAGTTGCAAACCTTTTTTCATATCTCTTAAAGCATTACAGCTAAAAAAAACCTTAGTTTCTATCCAACATCCTTCTAAGATCCCTAGAAGTGCATTAAATTTTATGAAATAAAATGAATGAATGAATCTTGGCTATGTACTGCTATTTCCTGGGAGATCTGGCGCCCGCTTCCGCCCTGTGGGCAAGAGGGGAGGAAATGGCTTCGAAAGCAGCCCGGAAGTCCCGCCTCCGGCTTGGGAAACGGCCCGTCTGCGCCTTTGAACTCGGTGGTAAGCAGCCCGCCCCGCTTCCTGCGCCTGCGCCCCTCGCCTCCTGGGCTGGAGAAACGTGCTTGGAGGGCAGCTGCGTCCAGGTGAGCAGGAGGGGATCTTTGGCTCTCTTTTTTGCAAAAAATAAAAATGGGGATTTAATCCCAGATGATGGAGCAAAGTTGCTGGAGGGGGCAGAGCTGGGAGGGGGGCAGCCTCGGGCATTGCAGATCTGGTGCATTGCAAATAATAATAATAATAATAATTAATAATAATTTATTTATACCCCGCCCTCCCCAGCCAAGGAGACTGAGAGGAGATACGAGAGCCATCTTCAAATATCTTAAGGGCTGTCCCATGGAAGATGGAGCAAACTTGTTTTCTCCTGCTCTAATAATAAATAATAATAAATTTTATTTATATCCCACCCTCCCCAGCCAAGACCAGGCTCAGGGCGGCTAACACCAAGTATAATAACCATGGATCAAAATGCAACTTAAAGGTGTCTGAAAGAAAGTAATAGAAGTGGAAAGAAATTGCAATTGAGTAGATTGGAAGTCTAGCACAAAGGTGGGGTGAGGGGTGGTGGATGGTGATGGGAAAAGGAATGATCTGTGGGATTGAGTGTAGGTATGTTTGAACATTTTTAAGGATTGTATGAAATGTATGCTTGTATATTCGCAATATGTGTGTATTAATGCTGAATTATTTTAACAATAAAAACTTGTCACAATTAAAACAACAACAACTTAAAACCAGATTAAAATGCAACATTCAAATGCAGCCTCATTTCAGTAGAAACTCAAATCAAAAACTTTTTTGGGGATGAAAAGGTCAAATCTTCACCAAGGCCAACTATCCAGATGGGTCCTACGTGGGCCAGAAAAAAGCCAGGTCACTTGCAAGGTCACACACCCCACCAGTTAGGATAAAGTTTAAAATGTGGCTGCGAAGGTACCCTTTTAAAAGAAAAATATATGAGGGTTGTTTTTTTTTGCTAAGGTAGACTGCGCCCGAGGCAGGAAGCTCTCCTGCCTGGGGAGGCAAGATGGGCCCCTCCATTGCAAGCAGCGCAGTGGATGCAAAACAGATCGTGGCCTCGTCTTTCAAATGCAACAAAAGATGACCAGGCTCTTCCTGGAACTGTTAAAAGAAAAGGCGATGGCCTAAAATGCCCCTTTTCCCCATCAACACGCCCCCACCTCCCAGTGACTCAACAAGAAGTTTCTTTTTTTTAATATATAAAAATTTGTATTAGTTTTTTTAACATACCGTTTTCAACAGTAATTAAACATACTTTTACATCCTATACAATTCTTTTGACTTCCACCAATCCTGTCTGAAAATTCTCCCATCTAATCTCTCAGTATACATTTCTTACTTTCCCTATTACATCTCATAACTGATATCTCTATTCTTTTTCTACTTTGTAATGTTGCATATATTTCTCCTTGCAAAACTTATTGTAGTGACTCAACAAGAAGGTTCAGTGGCTTGAAGATCCCTCCAAAAAAGCCCCAAAGCTAAGTTAATTTCTTAACCCTCCCTGCCCCAATAAAGCAGAATAAAGACGTCTTCTCTACACCCCAAGGCCTTTTCTCATAGATTTAGGACAAACTTTTTCCTGCCTAGCACTTTAAAAAAACCCTCAGTAGCTATCAGGAAGACAAGGTTTTTTTTGGTGTGTTTTAATATTTTGTTGGAATCACCCAGAATGGCTGGGGAAACCCAGTCAGATGGGTGGCTAATAATAATAATTATAATAATAATAATAATGGTTTTCCAGCTCCGCTTTTATTGTATTTTTTGGCCACAAAAACTGCTTCTCCCCGGCTCAGTTTTCCCCAAGGGAGTTGCTTGCAGATCCTATCACTTGCTAATGTTGCAAGTGGAGATCAGGGCCAAATTCTGGTCCGGTTTGGAGATTAATGGGCCGGTGGCAACTTTTTGCAATAGCTATTCTAGTTTCACCTCCACCCTGGAGGTAGGAGGTTCCATTATCGCCCACTGGGTGTCTTTCACAAGCCTTGGGGCCAAAGGTGTTGTAAGCAAAATCTGCCCTTTTTCCTTTATGGGGTATAGAGTCCTTACGTACCAGGTTCCAATGTTGGCTGGGCAGACAAGAATGAATGAATATTTATGTCAGCCATCAGCCGTAGCAATAAAACAACAGTGCAATATACAAAGAATAGAAATAAAAGTCAAATACGTTTTGGGGTTTGGAATCAACAGTCAAATGGTGGATCTTCTTCTGATTGCCCCAGCTAAGAACCTTGCAACTGTAATAAATGAAAATCTGCCCTTATTCCCTTATGGGGGACACAAGAGCCCTTATAGAGTCCTTTGTAGGTTCTCCATCGGTCGGAGAAAATAGCAGAGGCCAACCAGAGAATATCGAGAAGCAAAGCAGCTAGTAAGCCTGATCTGTTGCAACAGGGTGCTTCCCTCACACGCAGGAGAGGAGGGGGAACCCAGAACAATAGCGCACAAGGCCTTATATAGACATTTTAAATGCCCTGCCCTGGAGCTCCAGACCCACCCCTCCATGTATCATACATACATCACAGAAGGGGTGTAACCTAAGACTACCCCCCAGATACATCATACCTACATCTCAGAAAAGGCGGTCTACAGCAGAAATCTGAGTGCTTTGTTTACCTCCTATCTGCCAGGTTACCTGTTTAATGGTCACTTGATTGGATACCCTGGGGAGCCTGGCCAGTCTTTTGTAAAGATAAATACTTAGTTCCTGAGCCAGGTCACAGGCTCACCCTATTCATACACAGACACTTAAGACAGGATTTGTGAATGAAAAGACAATGGGGAGGTTTTTCCGTTTTCCTTTGACCTTGCAGAGAAAACATTTGCTCAGTTTGAGAATTGCTGTAAACAAAAATCTGCCCTTTTCCCTTATGGGGTATGCAAGAGCCCGGATAGAGTCCTTACATAGGTTCTCTATTGGTAGGAGAAAATAACAGAGGCCAACCAGAGAATATTGAGAAGCAAAGCAGCTAGTAAGCTTGATCTTTATTGATCTGTTGCAACAGGGTGCTCCCCTCACATGCAGGAAAGGAGGAATCCAGAACAATGGCGCGCAAGGCCTTATAAAGACTGTTGAAATTGCCACCCTGTAGATCAAGACCAAATGGGACATGGGTGGGGCTGTGGGTTAAACCACAGAGCCTAGGGCTTGCTGATCAGAAGGTCGGCGGTTTGAATCCCCGCGACGGGGTGAGCTCCCGTTGCTCGGTCCCTGCTCCTGCCCACCTAGCAGTCTGAAAGCTCGTCAAAGTGCAAGTAGATAAATAGGTACCGTTCCAGTGGGAAGGTAAACGGCATTTCCATGCGCTGCTCTGGTTCGCCAGCAGCGGCTTAGTCATGCTGGCCACATGACCCGGAAGCTGTATGCCGGCTCCCTCGGCCAATAAAGCGAGATGAATGCCCCAACCCCAGAGTCGGCCATGACTGGACCTAATGGTCAGGGGTCCCTTTAGATGAAGACCACCCCCAGAAACATCATGCATACATCACAGAAGGGGTGTAACCTAAGACCCCCCCCCCACCAGATACATCATACCTACATCACAGAAAAGGCTGTCTAAAACAAAAATGTGAATGTTGTTTTTCCTGTTTGCCAGGTTATCTGCTTGCCTTTCCTGATAGTCTGTCACCCATTAAAATCCTGATTAATCAATTCCTGAGACAATGGGAAGGCTCCCTGACCCCCCTTCCTCCATGCAGGGAAAACATTTGGTCAGTTTGGGAATCAAAAATGGTTTCAGGTCAGTCTTCCTGTGCTGATCTATGTACATGTTTGGCTAGTAGACTTATGAACATTGAACATATATCTAAGATGTGGGTGGCGCTGTGGGTTAAACCACAGAGCCTAGGGCTTGCTGATCGGAAGGCCGGCGGTTCGAATCCCCGCAACGGGGTGAGCTCCCGTTGTTCGGTCCCTGCTCCTGCCCACCTAGCAGTTCGAAAGCACCTCAAAGTGCAAGTAGATAAATAGGTACCGCTCCGGCGGGAAGGTAAACGGCGTTTCCGTGCACTGCTCTGGTTCGCCAGAAGCGGCTTAGTCCTGCTGGCCACATGACCCGGAAGCTGTACGCCGGCTCCCTCGGCCAGTAAAGCGAGATGAGCGCCGCAACCCCAGAGTCAGTCACGACTGGACCTAATGGTCAGGGGTCCCTTTACCTTTACATATGCCTGCTCAAGTAGGAAATAGTTTCTTTACATTTAATATATCTAAGACCTTAAAATTCCTATCACAAGGCCAGGAGTGGGTGTGTGGGTCAGAGATCATGAGTCTGGCTCCAGAATGCAAACAGGCCAGGATCATGTGCTCAGCTGCAGCCGACTGCTCTCCACGCCTGCAGACAGTGCTCGCCTTGTGCAATGCACCCGTCTCCTGCCAATTGTGGGATGATCTGATCTCTGCCTATCTCGCACGCCTCTTGTTTGCTTCCAATCTTGCTTCCTCCTGCAGGCGGAAAACCGGGACACAAGGACACGAGAGTGAAGGAGGCAATCTCTGTAGCGTCTGGATTTGGGGAGGACATCAGCATGGCCAGCAGCTACCCTAAGCCGGAGGAGAAGACCTTGCAGACCCTTCGGGATGCTGCCAATCGCCTTCGGATTCACTCCATCCGCGCCACCTGCGCCTCAAACTCTGGGTAATTCACTGGGACCCTGTAATTTTTCTAATTGTGGGAGATTTGGGGAGGTATCGAGGGCAGAATAAGAAGGGTCTGCTAGATCAGGCTACAGACCAGCAGTTCGAACCCCTGGGGTGCAAGGAAGAGGACTTTCCATCACTTCCCTCCCAGACATTTCCCCTTAGTTCCTATGGGTCTCCTCTGGAGGAGGAAAGGGGGAGCCCCCTGTGAGCTACCTAGCCTGTAAGAGAGGACCTCTCCCCACTCGTAGCTGGAATTGCATATTTGGGCAGCTTTGAACAATTTGGGGCAATTAAAATGTTAAAGGTTAAATCTTGTGGAGGGAGGAGTGTTAAGGTATATAGAATTGTCCATATGGTTGATTTGAATATTGATTATGTATACCCAATGTATCAGCTGCCTGGGGGTTCTCACTGTTTGTTTTCACTGTTTGTGTTTTGGTTGTTGGTTAAAATATATATATATATATTTTAATAATAATAAAAAACTTGCAACCTGGGGCTTGGCATACACTATGCTTAGGACGCAGGCGAGTCCTTGCTTCGCCATGGACTGACTTGGGCAGGTTTCCCTGACCAGCCTTTGACCAGCGCGGCTTCTCCCTCCTCCTTCCGGCTGCTGCTGTTTTCTCACCGTTTGCCTCCTGCCCTCTTGCTCCAGCCACCCCACCTCCTGCTGCAGTGCGGCCGAGATCATGTCTGCGCTCTTCTTCCACACCATGCGCTACAAGCCGGACCAGCCAGGCCACCGCAGCAACGACCGCTTCGTGCTCTCCAAGGTAAGGAGTCTCTGATGCCGGCCTCTCTTTCGCCCGCTGGGCACTCCTCCAGATGTCTTGGACTACAATTCCCGTGAGAGAGGAATAATAATAATAATAAAAATAAATATTTTTATTTATATCCCGCCCTCCCCAGCCAAAGCCGGGCTCAGAGCGGCTAACAACAATAAAAGTAACACAGTTTACATAAAATCACACTCAAATAATTGAAATATATTCTAAAATCAATTCATTCTAAAATCAATTCAAAAGCGAATTAATGGCAAGCATTGGGTTAATGTGGATTACCAGAGGAGGGGGCCAGACTGTGCCTTGGCCAAAGGCCTCGTGGAACAGCTCTGTCTTGCAGACACTGCAGAAAGATGTCAGGTCCCGCAGGGCCCTAGTCTCTTGTGACAGAGCATTCCACCAGATCGGGGCCACAGCTGAAAAAGCCCTGGCTCTGGTTGAGGCCAGCCTAACTTCTCTGTGGTCTGGGACCTCCAAGATGTTTTTATTTGAAGACCGTAAGTTTCTCTGTGGGACATACCAGGAGAGGCGGTCCCGTAGGTATGAGGGTCCTAGGCCATAAAGGGCTTTAAAGGTTAAAACCAGCACCTTTAAACCTGATCCTGTACTCCACCGGTAGCCAGTGCAGCTGGTATAGCACTGGATGAATGTGATCCCGCAGCGAAGACCCCGTAAGGAGTCTTGCCGCGACATTCTGCACCCGCTGGAGTTTCTGGGTCAGTCTCAAGAGCAGCCCCACGTAGAGCGAGTTACAATAATCCAGTCTGGAGGTGACCGTCGCGTGGATCACAGTGACTAGGTCAGGGCGAGAGAGATAAGGGGCCAACTGCTTAGCTTGGCGGAGATGAAAAAATGCTGCCTTTGTTATAGCTGCAATCTGCACCTCCATGGAAAGGGAGGTGTCAAAGATTACACCCAAACTCTTAACGGACGGTGCTGGCACTAATTGTGCCTCCGCAAGAGATGGGAGTTGCCCCCCCCGCAATCCCATATCGTCCCAACCCAGCCAAAGGACCTCTGTCTTCAAAAAAGAGAAATGAACAATGGTCATCCTCTGCTGGACGAGGCTGATGGGGTTTATAGTCCAAGACATCTTGAGGGGCGCCCAGCGGGCAAAAGCTGACCCTGGCACCGTCCAGGGAAGAGAGTGAGCTAGCTGCAAGCAGGTCCCCTCTTTCACCGCCCCAAAGCCCAAGCGGTCCCTGGGTTCACCTGCGATTCCTTGCCCTTTGAACATCTTGACCACCATGCCTCTGGCCTTCCCCTTCTGCTGCCTCGCTTGCCACAGCGCCTCCCCATTGTTTGTTAATTTATTTTCATTTATTAAATTTGTCCGCCGCCCTTCATTTGTAGATCTTGGGGCAGTTCACATCGTAAAAATGCAGTACAAAACCAAACAACACCACAATGTATTATGGGGGTTGCAAGCAGGAGGTTCCTTCCTCTGGGCAAAGGGTGACCCCTGCTTTTTCTGTGCTTCCTCAACCCCTGAGCAGGGCCACGCTGCTCCTGTGCTCTACGCTGCCTGGGCTGAGGCCGGTTACCTCAACGAGTCCGATCTGCTGAAACTGAGGAAGATCGACTGCGACCTGGAAGGCCACCCAACCCCGGTAAGCGCTTTCCTTCGTACGGCTCTGGCTCTCGGTAGTCGGTGCTGCGTAATGGGCCCAGCGCTAGAAATTAGCTGGGTGCCAGGCACGTTTTGCAACTGGTGCACATCCAACTGTGGAGATCGCTGGACGCCAAGTCGGCGACTGACATCTCCCTCTGGCTTCCTTGAGCCAGGTGAGCAGAAGAGCTTAGTTATTGAATCCTTTTCCTCCAAGGACTCCATGGTTCATTCGCCTCCTTGGTTAATCCCCACAACAACCCTGTGAAGTAGGTGATGAGGTTATGGCCTCCTTGCTTCAGAACAGGGGTCAGCAAACTGGGAACCAGATGCGGCCCCCCAGGCTCGTAAATCCGGCCCATGGACCCTGCCACCCGCTCAATCAGTCCCCACGCGCTGCGGATGCCTTGCCGCGCGGGGACTGACTTATGCAATGCTGGCACGGCTTCAGATTGGCTGTATGTGCTGGTCCCGGGGGCTAACCGAGAGGCGAGGTCCGAGTCCAGTCCAAGGTCGAGGGTGCGGTATGGAGGCTGTCCGTCAAAGCTGAAGCTGGGTCCAAGGCAGGGAGTCGGGTGAGGTCAGGAACTCTGGCAGAAGAGCAGGTCAGGGTGCAGGCAGAAACAGGCTACCAACAACATTGCTCCCGCAACTTGGGACTGGGGCTGGCCGGCTTTTATCTGCCTCGAGGCATAGGGCGGCCCTGGTCCACAGGTGACTCGCCTCTCCTGGCCTGGAGGCGAGCACTCCTCCTGCGGGAACTTAGTTCCCTCTGCCTCTCTGCCCTGAGCCTCTGCAGCTCAGGAGAGGCTGGAGGGTTACCGGACCCAGAGGCAACCACCTCTTCCCCTGACGGGGCTGAGAGTGAAGCACCTGCAGGCAATGGGTCCTCCATCACCTCCGGAGCCAGAGCAGACTCAGCTGGTGCCTGCAGCTGAGGATCCAGCACAGGTGAGGACCCTTCAGGCTCAAGCCCCAGCCCCGGCTCAGCTGGTTCTGGAGGCGGGGAATCCTGTGCAGGCTGGGATTCCTCACGTTCAGCCTCTGAGTCCGAATCCCAGGCAATCACACTGTAGGAAGTTCCTGCAACCAACCCGCAGCCTTGCTGGCTGCATGCTGAAGTAAACCCGGTGCAGCCATGGACAGAGAGGAGGGCGCCGGGTCTGGGCTGCGCCATGGGCATCTTGGCGGGCGCGTCGCAGGGCTTCAGCCGGAGGTTGGCGTGCCTGCTGGCCCTGGTGCCCAGCTCAGCGCTGCTGCTGGTGGCATGCTCGGCGGCCGCGCTGGAGCAGATGGAGGGCGAGCTGCGCGCCGCCTGCCCGGCGCTCCACGTGCGCGGCCTGCCCGCTGACAGGCTGCAGTGCGTGGTGCACGCCACCTGGGAGCTCTGCAGAGACGGGCCGATGGAGTGGCTTCTGCTCGTCAACAACGCCGGTGAGTGGGCACCACCACGACGTGCTCCTGAGCGCGTGCAGAGTTCGTTCCTCCTCCAGGTCCAGAGGCTGCTGCAGGACCGGCTTGCAGGGTATTTATTGCGAAGTGTTACCAGTCTCACCTGTTGAGTGAAACTGGAAACTGACTTGTCTGTTTTGATTGTCGGACCCATCTTCCCTTGGAAACGCGATGGTGTCCAGCACGCTCCTGCTGCGCGGCTCTTGAGTCATTCCGCTTCTCCCGGCTACAGCAGAGTTTTATCAGCAGTGGTGTGCCAGTGTGTAAGGATTTATTAGCATGGCAGTAAAGCTGATAACGCGGGTGGCGCTGTGGGTTAAACCACTGAGCCTAGGACTTGCCGATCAGAAGGTTGGCGGTTCAAATCCCCGCGACGGGGTGAGCTCCTGTTGCTCGGTCCCTGCTCCTGCCAACCTAGGTAAACGGCGTTTCCGTAGCTCTCAGACACAGCTTCTGCTATCCTAGGTAAAGGTAAAGGGACCCCTGACCATTAGGTCCAGTCGTGGCCGACTCTGGGGTTGCGGCGCTCGTCTTGCTTTCTTGGCCGAGGGAGCCGGCGTACAGCTTCTGGGTCATGTGGCCAGCATGACTAAGCCACTTATGGCAAACCAGAGCAGCGCATGGAAATGCCGTTTACCTTCCTGCCGGAGCGGAACCTATTTATCTACTTGCACTTTGAGGTGCTTTTGAACTGCTAGGTTGGCAGGAGCAGGGACCGAGCAACGGGAGCTCACCCTGTCGTGGGGATTTGAACCGCCGACCTTCTGATCGGCAAGTCCTAGGCTCAGTGGTTTAACCCACAGCACCACCCGCGTCCCTTTTGAGGCTCTGTGGTTTACAGCAGCAAAAACAACAAAACAGCCAGGAGAAAGCGGCGACATGTTGCTTCTCCTTCGCAGCCAAAACAGAAAATAAAAGTAACTTCCCCTTTGTGCGTGCAGCACAACCCGGAGACAGGACGCCATGTCCCTTGAGCTATTAACCCTGTGAGTTCTGGGACTCCTCACATTTATATTTTTCAAAATATAGTCCGGCCCCCCACAAGGTCTGATGAAAAAGTTTGCTGACCCCTGCTTTGGAATCTGTTGGGTATGTGTTGCTGGTGGAGCGGCCAGGAAAGCGCCTTGCCCCCTGATCCAGAACAGTTGGGGAACAAAAGGATCAGGACCTTGCGGGGCTAATTGGTTTGCGATGTTATCCTCACCCCACGTTCCTCTCCCTTTTTTTCTCCCGCGTTTACAGAGGCTGCCTTTTGTGGACGTGGCCACTGGCTCACTGGGACAAGGCCTGGGAGCTGCTTGTGGCATGGCCTACACTGGGAAATACTTTGACAAGGCCAGGTGAGGAACTTACTGGGGAAACTGGGAAGATCCACCCGGCTGGAGCGCCGTGTGCCAATTCCAAACGCTTTCTGTGGTTCGGCACGAGTAAACAGTTGGCGTAATTGATATAAACTGTGCGTAATTGATATAAACAGCTCCCCTCAGTCAGATACAGTGGTACCTTGGCTCTCAAACTTAATTCGTTCCAGAAGTCCGTTCCAAAACCGAAGCGTTCAAAAACCAAGGTGCACTTTCCCATAGAAAGTAATGCAAAATGGATTAGGGAAGTTTTTAATGTCTGACGCTGGATTATTTTTAATATTTGGCTGGAAGCCACCCGGATGGGTGGGGTATATAATAAATTATTGTTATTATTACATTAATCCATTCCAGACTTTTATAAACAACCCCTAAAACAGCAATTTAACATGAATTTTACACTCTAACGAGGCCGTTGATCCATAAAATGAAAGCAGTAATCAATGTACTGTACTATAAAATAAATAACACAGTAACGTAGGGAGTCTTCTCTTCTCATGAGGTGGCCAAAGTCTTGGAGCCTCAGCTTCAGGATCTGTCCTTCCAGGGAGCACTCAGGGCTGATTTCCTTCACAATGGAGAGGTTGGATCTTCTTGCAGTCCATGGGACTCTCCAGAGTCTCCTCCAGTACCAGAATTCAAAAGCATCCATTCTTTGGCGATCAGCCTTCTTTATGGTCCACCTCTCACTTCCATACATCGCTACTGGGAAAACCAGAGCTTGAACTATACAGTGGTACCTCAGGTTGAGAACTTAATTCGTTCCGTAGGTCCGTTCTTAATTTGAAACTGTTCTTAACCTGAAGCACCACTTTAGCTAATGGGGCCTCCTGCTGCTGCTGTGCCGCCGCAGCACGATTTCTGTTCTCATCCTGAAGCAAAGTTCTTAATCCGAGGTACTATTTCTGGGTTAGTGGAGTCTGTAACCTGAAGCGTTTGTAACCTGAAGCGTATGTAACCTGGGGTACCACTGTACGGACCTTTGTCGGCAAGGTGATGTCTCTGCTTTTTAAGATGCTGTCTAGGTTTGTCATTCCATCCTCCATTATATCCAGAATCATTGCAAAAGTTATTTGAAGCCTGCCAAAGACCTCAAGTGTTTACAGTGATCTTTCAAGCACGTTCTATATTTGTCCCCTTCTTCGTTGAAGTTTTGACCCTCCTGATTTCTGATTTTCCCGGTTAATCCTGCCACCTCTGCGTAGTCCGAGAATTTCATATGCCAGGACCTCTCTCCCTTCTCGCCTCCTTAAGAATAATAACGTTATTGTGCGAGTACTTGGAGCTTGTAAAGCTGACAGCTGCAATAAGAGATAAACCTAAAAAGATGGTGAAAGAAGAATGGGAATGTTTAAATAATTATCTAGGGGATAAGGGTTCATCAAGAAAGACCTGGCTATGTTTAGAATGATACCACATAGGGAAATGTTCCCTGATACCAAGATGAGGGATTCTATGGAATGCAGATAGAATTGATAAGAATAATGATCTATTGTAACCTTGATGGAAGCGTACAAATGGCTCATCTTCCTCTTTTTTCCTTTTTTTCCTTTTTTCCTTTTCTTCTCCCCCCCCATCCTCCTCCTTCTTTCCTTTTTCTTTTTTTCTTTCCCATAATGGCTTATGTTTTATGCTGTGTACTTTGATATTTTTGTAGTTTTTTAGCTTTTTCCATTATTATTATTAAGGAATTTTTTTTTGTAATTTTGGTTGTCTATATTTATATGTATTTGTTTAAAGCAAAATAGAAGTATATAACAACAACAACAACAACAACATTAATTTAGTTATTTATATCCCCGCTTCCTTGGGCCCTGACCTGCCTCCTTCTCCCCCCAGTTACCGCGTGTACTGCCTACTGGGCGACGGCGAGAGCTCGGAGGGCTCGGTGTGGGAAGGTCTGGCCTTTGGCTCCCAGTACCAGCTGGACAACCTGGTGGCCATCTTCGATGTCAACCGGCTGGGGCAGAGTGAGGCCGCCCCCCTGCGCCACGACATGGAGGTCTACCGCAAACGCTGCGAGGCCTTCGGGTGAGTAAGCGCCGCCGGCTGCTTCTGCCTTCGAACCTCCTCTTTGCGGCAACGGCAGGCGGCGGTTCCCAGACTTCCTTCTCCTGGCTGCCCTTCCAGAACAAAATTTTGCTTGTGACTTTTTTATTCATACGAAATGGTTTGGAATGCACAACTCTGGTTGTCCTTGGTATCGCTTGATTTCTTGTTTTGAAAAGATACCGATCCATATTCTGCCAATTTTTCAAAGCACATGTTTTAATATTACACTGAAAAGTTTTTTTAAAGTTTCTTTGAATGCCCTTGAATCTTGAATTGAAGATTAAGGTAGAAGGTTGATAGAATATAAAATTTTGTGCCTGTGTTTCTTTTTCTCTTCTTGTCCCCCCCCCTTCTTTCTTTAAACGTACAGCCCCTTACTTTTTAGGAGGGAAAAAGTGTGTCTTATAGAGCGAAAAATACGGTATTTTCTTCTCTTGGGATATTAGCTTTGTTTGGTTTTTATTGTACTACATGTTGAAAACCTTTAATAATAATAATAATAATAATAAAGAATCTTCCTGCCAGACTTGGTGGCTCACAGATTGAGGTTGAATCCTGACAAGACAGAAGTACTGTTTTTGGGGGACAGGAGTCAGGCGGGTGTGGAGGACTCCCTGGTCCTGAATGGGGTAACTGTGCCCCTGAAGGACCAGGTGCGCAGCCTGGGAGTCATTCTGGACTCACAGCTGTCCATGAAGGCGCAGGTCAATTCTGTGTCCAGGGCAACTGCTGACCAGCTTCATCTGGTATGCAGGCTGAGACCCTTCCTGCCCGCAGATTGTCTCGTCAGAGTGGTGCATGCTCTAGTTATCTCCCGCTTGGACTACTGCAATGCGCTCTATGTGGGGCTACCTTTGAAGGTGACCTGGAAACTACAACTAATCCAGAATGCGGCAGCTAGACTGGTGACTGGGAGTGGCTGCTGGGACCACGTAACACCGGTCCTGAAATACCTACATTGGCTCCCAGTACGTTTCCGAGCACAATTCAAAGTGTTGGTGCTGACATTGAAAGCCATAAACGGCCTCAAAGGCCCAGTAGACCTGAAGGAGCATCTCCATCCCATCGTTCAGCCCGGACACTGAGGTCCAGTGCTGAGGGCCTTCTGGCGGTTCCCTCGCTGCGAGAAGCCAAGTTACAGGGAACCAGGCAGAGGGCCTTCTCGGTAGTGGCACCCGCCCTGTGGAACTCCCTCCCACCAGATGTCAAAGAGATAAACAACTACCAGACTTTTAGAAGACATCTGAAGGCAGCCCCATTTAGGGAAGCTTTTAATGTTTGATGAATTATTGTATTTTAACATTGTGCTGGAAGCTGCCCAGAGTGGCTGGGGAAACCCAGCCAGATGAGCAGGGTATAAATAATAAATTGTTATCATTATTATTATGACTATCCTCTCCTGCCACACCTTTTGGGAACCGCTGAGTTAAGGAGAGCTCGGCTGCTGGATCTGGTCAGTGGCCCTTTTGGCTGCTGGATCCGGCCAACGGCATCCTGTTCTTGCAGCTGCCAGCCAGATCTGGGAAGCCTAAAGCCGACCTCCTTCCCTTCTTCTTCCAGGTGGAATACGTACGTTGTGGATGGGCATAAGGTGGAGGAGTTGTGCCAGGCCCTGTGGCAAGCCAGCCAGCAGAAGGGGAAGCCCACCGCCATCGTGGCCAAGACCTTCAAAGGGCGAGGAATCGCAGGTGAGCCTGTGGCCCCTTTGTCCTGTGGGGGGTGAAAGAGGGGACCTGCTTGCGGCAGTCATTCTGGTCCCTGGACGGTGCCTGGGTCAGCCTTCGCGCTCTTGGCACCCCTCCAGGTGTCTGGGACTACAACTCCCATCATCCCTGACCAACGCAGTGTGACTGTTCCTCAGTTGGATCTTTTTTTTACATAGCGGTATTTTATGTATTGAGGGACGTGGGTGGCGCTGTGGGTTAAACCACAGAGCCTGGGGCTTGCCGATCAGGAGGTCGGCGGTTTGAATCCCCGCGACGGGGTGAGCTCCCGTTGCTTGGTCCCTGCTCCTGCCAACCTAGCAGTTCAAAAGCACCTCAAAGTGCAAGTAGATAAATAGGTACCACTCCGGCGGGAAGGTAAACGGAGTTTCCGTGCGCTGCTCTGGTTCACCAGAAGCGGCTTAGTCATGCTGGCCACATGACCCGGAAGGTGTACGCCGGCTCCCTCGGCCAGTAAAGCGAGATGAGCGCCGCAACCCCAGAGTCGGCCACAAGTGAACCTAATGGTCAGGGGTCCCTTTACCTTTATTTTATGTATTGTGACGTGGCTGTTACTTCTATTGATCATGATCCAGTAACGCTTTATTGTAATCGTTGGGAGTGATTTCCTGCTGATTTATGACCAGTTGTTCTTTTGAGACTTAACTTTATGGTGTAATATTATATATTAAATGCATCGTGGACCATCACCTTCTATGATGGAAGTTGCTTGTTTTAAAGTCCTATTTATATTATGATTTATTTGTGGTTTTTTAAAAAATAATTTTTATTAATTTTTCCATTTAAACGTATCTAATCACATCATTATTATCCAGTTTACTTCTTTGGCTCTTTACAGCCTATCGACTTCCTTCCCTCCCACCTCTTGGCTTTCAAAAGTAACCGTTATATCACAGCATTTTATACATTTTCCAGTTCTAATATAACTCATTGCAAAATACCTCAAAATTTAAATAAATGTAGAAAGGTAAAAAATTCCTCATTACAAGTCTTCAGATAACCCTACTAGTCTTGTTAATTGCTTACAGTGGGCTTTTATTTTGACTTATTTGCATCATCGTAGGGTGCGTTGGTCTTTGTTGTATGTTTCGCTGTTTCTACCGCCTTGTCTATAGCAATGCAGAAAGGCGGCGTACAAATTGAGAGTGAAATGCAATGGAAAAACAACGATGGGAGTTGTAGTTTAAAACACCTGGAGGGCGCAAGGTTGGCAAAGGCTGACTCCCGGAGTGTTCTCTTGCCTCAGGTGTGGAAGATGCGGACAACTGGCATGGGAAGCCCATGCCCAAGGAGAAAATGGAGTCCATCATCAACGCTCTCCAGGGCCAAATACCGGCCAATAAAGTTTATACCATCCTGCCGCCGGCCGGAGACGTAGCCCAGGTGACCAGTGAGGAGATCAAGATGCCGTCTCCACCCGCTTTCAAAATAGGAGAAAAGGTACTGCCGGGGCAGCCGGTTAGAATCATAGAACTATTGAGCACTTCCATCCATGAAAGACTGGCAAATTAAATTTTGTGAATATATACCGTATTTTTCGCTCCATAAGAGACACTTTTCCCCTCCTAAAAAGTAAGGGGAAATGTGTGTGCGCTCTTATGGAGCGAATGCAGGGGGAAGGCGGTGGGGGGAAGCCCCCAAGAGCCGCACACACGCTCTGCGTGGCTTGTGAACGGGACCACTGAGCAGAGCCTGGGATGCATACAGGCTCTGCTCAGCGCTCCCTTTAAAAATATTTTTTTCTTGCATACCCCTAAACGGCCTCGGTCCTGTACACCTGAAGGAGCGTCTCCACCCCCATCATTCTGCCCGGACACTGAGGTCCACCACCGAGGGCCTTCTGGCGGTTCCCTCCCTGCGAGAAGCAAAGCTACAGGGAACCAGGCAGAGGGCCTTCTCAGTGGTGGCGCCCGCCCTGTGGAACGCCCTCCCACCAAATGTCAAAGAGAACAACAGCTACCAGACTTTTAGAAGACATCTGAAGGCAGCCCTGTTTAGGGAAGCTTTTAATGTTTGATCTATTACAGTATTTTAATATTTTTTTGCAAGCTGCCCAGAGTGGCTGGGGAAGCCCAGCCAGATGGGCGGGTTATAAATAATAAATTATTATTATTATTATTATTATTATTATTACTACTAAAAACTAGGTGCATCTAACGGTCAGGTGCATCTTATGGAGCGAAAAATATGGTATATAGTACATCTGGCAAGACTCATAGCATTCATAAGGGGACAATCGGACCAAAAATTATTAAAAGAATGGGGATGTGCTAAAGAGTATATGAAAAAAAACATTGTTCTGGAGTAAGCATATGTAACGAATGAAGCTTTGCAGGGTTAAAGAAAGAGAAAAATGGTGCAAAAAGTATAAAGATAGAAGTAATCCACATTAGACACAACAATTTAGAAAGAGTAAAAATTTTGAGGTCTTAGAACAAAGGAAGTAAAAATGTGTATATGTACATAATGATTAGAACAATGATATGGTTTTATTTGTAGATGTGTGTTTTTGTTTTTTGTTCGTGTTTTTTCCCCCTCTTGTGTTTTGCTTTTTTTTCTTGTTTGTACAGTTTTATTTTGGATTCAATGTTTTTATTTTTTGTTGTAATTTTGCCTTGAAAAAAAATTGGGGAAAAAAGAACTATTGAGCACTTATGGCCTTCCTTGCCGTCTAACTCCACAATTCCCACAGTTATAAAAAGTCCCAAACGCTGTGCCCTTTCCTCACAGGAAAACACCTCTGTACCTTCTTAGAGCAGGTGGGTGCCTTGACGGCGGAACGCTGGTGCCTTTCAGGGGTCTCTAACGTGGTTAACCACCTCCTGTTCCTCCCCGCAGATGGCCACTCGCAAGGCCTACGGCTTAGCCCTGGCCAAGCTGGGCAGCGCCAGCCCTCGCGTGGTGGCGCTGGATGGTGACACGAAGAACTCGACGTTCGCCGAGCTGTTCAAGCAGGCCCACCCAGAGCGCTACATCGAGTGCTTCATCGCTGAGCAGAACATGGTGAGCCTGCAAGGATGGGCCTCCGGGGGAAGAATGCGGGTGCCGACACCTTAATTTTTTTATTGCCCACCCTTCACCCTCGGATCCGGGAGGCGGGTGACAGCATTAAAACGCACGGAGGTCCAGTGGTTCCCCCACTGCAAGAAGCGAATTTGCAGGGCCTTCTTGGTAGTGGCACCTGTCCTGTGGAACACCCTCCCATCAGGTGTCTAGGAGATAAATAACTACACAGGGGGCGCTCGGGTTGCGAACGTGCTCCGTATGGGATGCACGTACGTTCGCAACCCGCAGCGTTCGCAACCCGCGTCTGTGCGTCTGCGCACGTTTCAATTTGGTGCTTCTGCACATGCGCAAAGCACGATTTAGCGCTTCTGCGCATGCACGACTGCCGAAACCCAGAATAACCTGTTCTGGTGCTTCCGGGTTTCGGTAGTCCGCAACCCGAAAAATCGCAACCTGAAGCAGCTGTAACCCGAGGTATGACTGTATAAGTTTTAGAAGACATCTGAAGAAGGAAGTTTTTAATGGTTGCTGTTGAACAGTGTTGTTAATATTATATGCAGCCAGATGAGTGGCATATACCGCGTTTTTCCGTGTATAAGACTAGGGTTTTTTATCAAATAAATTAGGTTTAAAATTGGGGCTCGTCTTATACACGGGTAATGCTGAGGGGTGTTTTCTTAATTTGGAGTCCCCAAAAATAGGAGGGGGCGTCTTATACATGGGGGTGTCTTCTACACAGAAAAATAGGGTAAGTAATAAAATGAATTATTATTATATTATATTATATTATATTATATCCCACCCATCTGGCTGAGTTGCCCAAGCCACTTATTATTATAGCATTAAAAACAATTCCAAACAGCATACAGCCACAGAAACAAGGTGGGACCTGCCATAAAGGTAAAGGGACCTCTGACCATTAGGTCCAGTCGTGACCAAATCTGGGGTTGCGGCGCTCATCTCGCTTTATTGGCCGAGTTTGCCGGCGTACAGCTTCCGGATCATGTGGCCAGCAGGACTAAGCCGCTTCTGGCCAACCAGAGCAGCACATGGAAACGCTGTTTATCTTCCCGCCGGAGCGGTACCTATTTATCTACTTGCACTTCGACGTGCTTTCAAACTGCTAGGTTGGCAGGAGCAGGGACCGCGCAACGGGAGCTCACCCCGTCATGGGGATTCAAACCGCCGACCTATTGATTGGCAAGTCCTAGGCTCTGTGATTTAACCCACAGCGCCACCCGCATCCCTGGGACCTGCCATAGGTCAGGGCAAAGAGGTGCTTCTTCAACACGATCCAGAAGCTGTCCAGTGACAGCGCCAGGCTCACCTCTGTGAGGAGGGAGTTGAGTAGCTTTGGGGCCACCACAGAGAAGACCCTCTTCCAGGCTGCTACTACCCTGAGCCTCGTGAGGGCGGAGGAATTGTCAAGAGGGTCCCTTTCACCAAACTCAGCACCTGAGAGGGTCTGTCGGGAAGGAGATGGTCTTTCATATATCTGGGGCCTTGATGGGTTTCGGGCTTCAGACACCAGCCTGAGACCCTTGAATGGGACATGGGAACAAACTGACAATAATAAATTCTGTTGGAAGCTGCGCAGAGTGGCTGGGGCAACCCTGTCAGATAGGTGGGGTACAAGTAAAAAAATATTATTATTACTACTTCTTTGGCGATCCCTCGTAGCTGAGTAAGATTGTCTTCCATAAACACGGTCTTAACAATGAGTCCGTAAGTGACTTCAGAGGCCAATTCTGGATCCGCACGTCCTTCCACAGTGGGGACATTGGTTTCTGCGTGGGAGTTGATCACAGTGTGGATTTGCCAAGTGTGCCTTCCTCTAAGCACGTTTCTCCCTTGCGTCCTGAGTTCGAGTGTCTTCAAAGCCCGTGACACCTTTGGGAAAGGCTGTTCTCCAACAGGAGCGCTCACAGCAAGAGTTTCCCAATTGTTGGTGTTTATACTACATTTTTTAAAATTTGCTTTGAGACAAGTCTTTAAACCTCTTTTGTTGACCACCAACATTACACTTTCCATTTTTAAGTTTGGAATAGAGCAGTTGCTTTGGAAGACGATCATCAGGCATCCGCACAACATGACCAATCCAACGAAGAATGTTGAAGAATCATTGCTTCAACACTGGTGATCTTTGCTTCGTCCAGTACACTGGCATTAATTCACCTGTCTTCCCAAGTTACTACTACAGTCATACCTCATGTTACGTTTGCTTCAGGTTGTGCGTTTTCAGGTTGCGTCCCACAGCCATCTGGAAGTAACGGAATGTGTTACTTCTGGGTTTTGCCGCTCGCACATGCGCAGATGTGCAAAATGACGTCACGCGCATGTGCAGAAGCGGCAAATCGCGACCTGCGCAGATGTGGGTTGTGTTTTTTTCAGGTTGCGAACAGGCCTCCAGAATGGATCCCGTTCGCAACCAGAGTTACCACTGTACTCTTATTATTACTCTTATTATTATTATTACTGCTGCTGCTGCTAACCTTGTTTTGCGCTGCGCAGGTCAGTGTGGCCCTTGGCTGTGCCGCCAGGAACCGCATGATCCCCTTTGCCAGCTCCTTTGCGGCGTTCTTCACCCGGGCGTTCGACCACATCCGGATGGCAGCCATTTCCCACGCCAACATCAAGCTCTGTGGGTCCCACTGTGGGGTTTCCATCGGTATGTATGGGGCCTGATGCGCAAGGCCTGCCTGCCTTACTCATAGCACTTACGGCCTTCCTTGTCTCAGAGGAGCCTGAGGGGGGCATTCGCGGTTCTTTCTTCTCCCCACCACTTTTTCATTACAACAACCTTGCTTTTTTAAATTTTTAAATTTCTTAAAAAAATTAAATATATTTATTTTATCAAAATAATTCAACATTAATACATACATATTACGAATATACAAACAAACATACATTTCATACAGCCCTTAAAAATATTCATACATACCCACACTCAATCCCACACATACTTCCTTTTCCCATCACCTTGTGTTAGACTTCCAATCTACTCAACTGCAGTTTCTTTCCACTTCTATTACTTTCTTTCACACACTTTTAAAACCAACTTTCTGCTTCTTTTTCTGTCACATTGTTATCCATCTTATTTAGTGTTTCAGCATTTATAACGGAACTTGTTTATTCTAATAGGAGTTCTGTTTTTTCAATATGATTTTGCAAATATCCTTTAAACACCTTCCAGTCCTTGTCTATCTTCTCTTTTGAGATCCTTCCGATTTCTCCCATTGTTTCGGATATATTGTAATACTCCAGTAATTTGGCAAGCCACTCTATTTTTGTCGGTATTATACCACTTTTCCAATTTTTGGAAATTGGAAAAGTCGTTACAACAGCCTTGCGAGGTAGGTGCGGCTGAGAGGCGGTTCCTGGTCAACAACGGCCCAGCGAGCTTCATGGCGGGCAACCGACAGCTCAGGAGCTGCATGCGGCCCCCGGCCTCACATTATGTGGCCCCCGGTGCCCCATTCCTCCACCTAAGCAAGAGTTCCTTACTCCCATCCTGTTTTTTCTCTCGTTTTCCCCTTTTAAGGTGCATCCCCTTCTATCTTCGTAGTTTCAGAAAAGCACAGGGGCATAAATGTAATTTGGTCTTTTTTATTTTAATTGGAATATTATGATTGGATATATTAATTGGATGTTTTTGTATTGGAAAATCAATAAAAATGATTTTTTTAAAAAAAAGAAAAGGACTGGGGCGAAAATTATTTTGCCGTAAATGAACTGACGTTGGTTATCAGTGACTAGCTTTTGAGGGGAGAAGCCTCTTGTGGCCGGGGGTTTCTCTCGTGTGCTCTCCCCTGTTTCGTATTTTTTAATATATATATCTCCTGGGTTGGCAAACTGATTTATTTGCATTTTCCTGTGAAAAACATCAGGAGGGCACCATTGACCGGAAAGTACAGTGGTACCTTGGTTTGCAAACGTCTTGGATTACAAACACGCCAAACCCATAAGTGCGTGTCTCGTTTGCAACCTTTTTTTTGGATTACGAAAAAACAAATTTGGGACGCCCTATTAGCGAATGCTTGCCTTAGGTTACAACCTGTTTTGGTTTACAAACGGACCTCCGGAACGGATTACAGTTGTAAACCAAGGTACCACTGTATTTATTATTGCTTTCTTCATAAAAAGGATACACCGCTCGATTGTGGAAAAACCTCAAAGCGGTTTGCAAAAAAATAGAAAGCAACAAATTTATCCATCAGAAGAATTGGGAACGGTAGTTTGAAGATTTTCAGAAGTCGCAATAACAGCAGAACAAAACTTTAGACAAGCACCTGAATAGGCTTGTCTAAAGAAAATTGGTTTTGGCAGCCACCAAAAAAGAGTACAGTGAAACCTCCTGCCTGACATCAATAGGCAGGGAGTTCCGAAGTCTATGTGCTTCTGCACTAAAATGTCTTGTTATTACAAATGCAGAATTGGCACCTGTAAGAGTGCCAGTCCCAGCAATCAAATTGGGGGCATCTCTGGGGTATGGCAATCTTGGAAGTAAAGTTAAAGGGACCCCTGACTGTTAGGTCCAGTTGTGGCCGACTCTGGGGTTGCGGCGCTCATCTCGCTTTATTGGCCGAGGGAGCCGGCGTACAGCTTCCGGGTCATGTGGCCAGCATGACTAAGCCGCTTCTGGCGAACCAGAGCAGCACACGGAAACGCCGTTTACCTTCCCGCCTGAGCGGTACCTATTGATCTACTTGCACTTTGACGTGCTTTCGAACTGCTAGGTTGGCAGGAGCAGGGACCGAGCAACGGGAGCTCAGCCCATTGCGGGGATTCGAACCACCGGCCTTCTGATTGGCAAGTCCTAGGCTCTGGTTTAAACCACAGTGCCACCCGCGTCCCTTCTGGTTCCAATAATAATAATAATTTTATTATTTATACCCTGCCCATCTGGCTGGGTTTCCCCAGCCAATCTGGGCAGCTTCCAACAAAATATTAAAAATACATTAAAACATTAGTCATTAAAAACTTTCCTAAACAGGGCTGCCTTCAGATGTCTTCTAAAAGTCAGGTGGTTGTTTATTTCCTTGACATCTGATGGGAGGGTGTACCACAGGGCGGGCGCCACCACTGAGAAGGCCCTCTGCCTGGTTCCCTGTAACCTCACTTCTTGCAGGGAGGGAACCGCCAGAAGGCCCTCGAAGCTGGACCTCAGTGTCCAGGCAGAATGATGGGGGTGGAGACGCTCCTTCAGGTATATTGGAAGATTGTAAAGCTCCTTGACATCTGACAGGAGGCGGGAGCCACCACCGAGAAGGCCCTCTGCCTGGTTCCCTGCAACTTGGCTTCTCGCAGGGAGGGAACCGCCAGAAGGCCCTCGGCGCTGGACCTCAGCGTCTGGGCAGAACGATGGGGGTGGAGACGCTCCTTCAGGTCCCAAGTTGTTAGAAGTAGGGTGGCTGATTCCCTGGTTTACGTTCCTGGTTGCTTCTCTCTCCATCTCCTCTTCTTGGCTGTGAAGATTAAGCTCTTGTTCCCTTTGTATCCTGCTTTCCCCCCCAGGGGTCCAGGGCTCTCTACTTTGCCATCTCCCCCCATCTCCCCTTTTATCTTCACAACGGTCCTGCGAGGTAGGTTAGGCTGAGAATTGCGAAACTGCACCTGCTCGGAGTGTTTTTGTGCATTGCCTCTTCTGGTTTGTATTTTGCTTTGAACTAATTTGGAGTGGAGTGGAGCAGTTAAAGCGCTGGGGTGAGGGGGGGCCTAACTCCTGCTATCCCAGCATGTTAACACACCACCTCGGGGGGGGGGGGCCTGCGGATGCTACACTTGGCTTGTGTTCTGCTTCAGATGCTTAATAATAATAATAATAATAATAATAATAATAATTTATTTATACCCTGCCCATCTGGCTGAGTTTCCCCAGCCACTCCCAATCAAGTGTTAAAAACAGTACAGCATTAAATATTAAAACTTCCCTAAGCAGGGCTGCCTTCAGATGTCTTTTAAAGATAGGATAGCTGCTTATTTCCTTCACATCTGAAGGGACGGCGTTCCACAGGGTGGGAGCCACCACCGAGAAGGCCCTCTGTCTGGATTCCCTTGATTATGGTGGAACTTCGGTTCTCGAATGTCTCCGTTGATTAACAGTTCGGAACCCGAACGCCGAAAAGCTGGAAGCGATTGCTTCCGTTTTCGAACGCGCCTCGGAAGTTGAACGGCTTCCATGTTTCTCCGGTTTTTTCAATGGATTTTGGCAACCGCCCTTTGATCTTCGCCTTTCAAACGTTTCAGAAGTTGAATGGTCTTCCGGAACGGATCAGGTTTGAAAACCAAGGTTCCCCTGTACAGTCATACCTCATGTTACGTTTGCTTTATGTTACGTTCTTTTCAGTTTACGTCCCGCGGTGACCTGGAAGTACCGGAAAGGGTTCCTTCCGGGTTTTGCTGCTCATGCATGCGCAGAAGCGCTAAATCGCGCTTTGTGCATGCGCACAAGTGCCAAATCACACTGCGCACCTGCGCAGATACGCCACTTCAGGTTGCGCTCTTTTCATGTTGTGAATGAACCTCCAGTACAGATCCCATTCACGACCAGAGGTTCCCCTGTACAGAGGTACCTCGGGTTAAGTACATAATTCATTCCGGAGGTCCGTTCTTAACCTGAAACTGTTCTTAACCTGAAGCACCACTTTAGCTAATGGGGCCTCCAGCTGCTGCCGCGCTGCTGGAGCACGATTTCTGTTCTCATCCTGAAGCAAAGTTCTTAACCTGAAGCACTATTTCTGGGTTAGCGGAGTCTGTAACCTGAAGCGTATGTAACCTGAGGTACCACTGTACTTGGTTGAGCAGCCATGTACTAAATCCGAGTTTAGGTACAGAGCCGGAGGCTTGGGCTCCATTGCACAATTTGCGCAGAAGCATAAGGTTGGAAGGGAACCCCAATGGCCATCTAGCCCGACCCCCAGCAATGCAGGAATCGTAGCACCAGGAGGCGCTGTTGTGGTTGTCTTTCCCTCCCTGGCATGGCATGGGCTCCTGAGCTTTCTCTGGCATGCGGCTGGAGGGTCACGCTGTTCCCGCTGCCTCCCCAGGTGAGGACGGACCTTCTCAGATGGCCTTGGAGGACATCGCCATGTTCAGGACCATTCCGGGCTGCTCCGTCTTCTACCCCAGTGACGCTGTGTCCACTGAGCATGCTGTCCTTCTGGCTGCAAACACCAAGGTAAGTGGGGCTGCCTACGTCTGGTTAAAACATTGTCGCCGGGAAGCGGAAGGGGAAGCCACAGCTCTCCGAAATCCCAATTTACAGTGGTCCCTTGGTTCTCAAACGCCTTGGTACTCAAACGCCTTGGAACCCAAACACTGCAAACCCGGAAGTAAGCATTCCAGTTTGCGAACTTTTTTCGGAAGCCGAACATGCTCCGTTTTGAGTGTTACTCTTCCGATTTGAGTGCTACACTTCTGTTTTTGCTATTTATTTTGCGTTTTTGTTTTTGTGGCTCTTTTTGTTTGTTTTTGTGACTGTGTGGAACCCAGTTCAGTTACTGATGGATTGATTGTGCGACTGCAGTACATCGTTTATTGCTTTCATTTTGTGGATCGGTGATCTCGTTAGATAGTAAAAACCATGTTAACTTGCTGTTTCAGGGGTTGTTTTTGAAAGTCTGGAACGGATTAATCCATTTTGCCTGACTTTCTATGGGAAAGTGTGACTTGGTTTAAGAACGCTTTCGTTTTGGAACGGACTTCCAGAACGGATTAAGTTTGAGACCCAAGGTACCACTGTATCGCCATTGGCACCTTCTGACAAGTGTGTCAAGCGTTGGCTGTCGCAAAGCACATTGTGCAAAGCTGGGGTCTTTTTCAGCCGAGGGCCGCATTACCTTCTGGGGCAGCTTTTCGGGGGCCGCACGCCAGTTGTGGGTGGGGCTGGAGGCGGAAGTGGGTGGAGCAAGGGATGTTAATTTTGCAAGAGGCTGGTTTGTGCGTGTACTGACACACCCCTCTCTACCCAGGGAAGCAAGAGGCACGATCAGAGTTCAGGAATGCATCCCAGCCAGGCAAAAGCACAAAGCAATGTTTGGGGGTCCCCATTTGGCCCTGAGCCCCCCCACTCCTACAATGAAGCCACAACGATACCATACGATAATCTTTATTGTCATTGTCCCATACAGAACAACGAAATTGAAAAAATCTACATCGGACATTCAAAACCAACAAGCTTGTTATCCCAGCTATCGCAGCCTGGTTAGCCCCCTAAAAACTCTGATACCCCATAATTAAATACAATATACTCCCATCGAGACTACCTTACACTGGGTTTAAAACCAAAATCGCATTTGGGTAGAAGCTGTTTCTCAGGCGGCTAGTCCTAGTCTTTATAACCCTGGACCTTCTTCCAGAAGGCAGAAGCTGAAAGAGATCATTTCCAGGGTGCACACTATCCTGCCCTATCTCTGCAGCTTTCTTATGACACCTGAAAGCGTAGATTTGATCCAAGGTGGGAAGAGGGCACCCAATTATTCTCTCCGCAGTCTTTACAACCCTGGACAACGTTGTTTTTTCCCTGACCGTGCAGCTCCCAAACCACACACACAGACCATAAGTTAATACATCTCTCCACAGTACAATGGTAAAATGTCATCAACAGGTCCTTTGAGAGATTGTTTTTCTGGAGGATTCTCAGAAAATATAACCTCTGCTGTGCTCTCTTCATCAGGTCTTTGCTGTTTTCTCCCCAGGTTAGGTCATCTTTCAACTCTATTCCCAGAAATCAAAACGCCGAGACCTGTTCCACACACTTCCCCTCAATAATGAGCAGCTGAATATTCAATTTACATTTCCTAAAGTCCACAATGGGGCGCGGGTGGCGCTGTGGGTTAAACCACAGAGCCTAGGACTTGCCGATCAGAAGGTCAGCGGTTCGAATCCCCGCGACGGGGTGAGCTCCCGTCGCTCGGTCCCTGCTCCTGCCCACCTAGCAGTTCCAAAGCATGTCAAAGTGCAAGTAGATAAATAGGTACCACTCCAGCGGGAAGGTAAATGGCATTTCCGCGCGCTGCTCTGGTTCGCCAGAAGCGGCTTAGACATGCTTGCCACATGACCCGGAAGCTGTACGCTGGCTCCCTCGGCAAATAAAGCGAGATGAGCGCCGCAACCCCAGAGTCAGCCACAACTGGACCTAATGGTCAGGGGTCCCTTTACCTTAAAGTCCACAATATTCACTTTTGTTTTCTCTAAGTTAAGGAGTGAGTTGTTTTTCCTGCACCACTCCCCCAACTGCTCAACTTCCTTCGTATCGGCTGCCTCCCCCTCTCCAGCCGTGATTAAACCAACCACCGTTGTATTATCTGCGACAGCTTGCTGGGGTGGAGGTTGCACGATAACATTAGTCAGATCTCCAGGCGTCTTCTTCCAGTTTCTGGAAGTGCATCGTTCTTTCTGCGCTTTTGCACAGTCCAGGCAAACTCTGTGTTTTTATCAGCGCAACCCTGGAGCTTCTGCAGATCTTTGACCCCTCGTGCCTGACCCTGTCGTGCCCCAGGACATGTGTAAACACAAAGTGGGAGCCCTGCTGCCTCCCTTTCGTTGAAATGTGATCTTTGCTCCTCCAGGGGATATGCTTCATTCGAACCAGCCGCCCAGAGACTCCTGTCCTCTACTCTCAGGACGAAAAGTTCGGGATTGGCCATGCCAAGGTAAAGGGTGTGATTTGATTTTTCATCGGTTTCGCCGTCTGCATTTTGAAGGGAGAAGAGTCGTTCCGAACAGGACCGTCGTCAGCTTTCGTCCCTCAATTTAAAAGCTGCTCTGCCCCATTAATAATAATAATAATAATAATAATAATAATAATAATAAAAATAAAAATTTAGGGAAGTTTTTTAATATTTAATGCTGTGTTGTTTTTAACACTCGACTGGGAGCCGCCCAGAGTGGCTGGGGAAACTCAGCCAGATGGGCGGGGTATAAATTATTATTATTATTATTATTATTATTATTATTATTACCCTGCCCATCTGGCTGCGTTTCCCCAGCCACTCTGGGCGGCTTCCTACAGAGTATTAAAATACAATAGTCTATTAAACATTAAAAGCTTCCCTAAACAGGGCTGCCTTCAGATGTCTTCTAAAAGTCTGGTAGTTGTTTTTCTCTTTGACATCTGGTGGGAAAGCGTTCCACAGGGCTGGTGCCACTACCAAGAAGGCCCTCTGCCTGGTTCCCTGTAACCTTGCTTCTCGCAGGGAGGGAACCGCCAGAAGGCCCTCGGAGCTGGATCTCAGTGTCCGGATAGAACGATGGGGGTGGAGACGCTCCTTCAGGTATACTGGGCCAAGGCCGTTTGGGGCTTTCAAGGTCAGCACCAACAACCAACCATTTTGTTTTTAAGTGCCAACGGTCTGGTTCAAGTGGAGCTCATCCTTTTGCGCCGGTCCCGCTCGCCCCAGAATATTCCCCAGTGCCTAAAAAAATTCAAACCCCTCTTCTCCACACTGTTGTCTCATTCACACATTGACACCACAAAGCTGTGCCGGTCCAGAATCGTGGAATTGTAGAGTTGGAAGAGACCCAGGGGTCACCTAGTCCCCCCGCCTGCAAGGCGAACTGTGAATTTTAGAGGCGATATTGTTGCAGGCAGCATAGGACTTAATTGGCGGGGCATTGTCTCCCCATGTTCTAGGGCAGGGTTTCCCAAACTTGGCCCTCCAGCTGTTTTTGGACTACAACTCCCATCATCCCTAGCTAACAGGAGCAGTGGTCAGGAATGATGGGAATTGTAGTCCAAAAACAGCAGGAGACCCAAATTTGGTAAACACTGTTCTTAGCACCAAGGCTGCAACAAACAGATCTTCTGAAGCCTAATAACAATAACAATAACAACAACAACAATAATAATAATACCATCGTATTTTTCACTCTATTAGACGCACGGGACCATAAGATGCACCTAGTTTTTAGGGGAGGAAAACAAGAAATAAGAAAGCAATGCAAAGCCTCCTGAGCTAAGAGGGAGCGCTCCTCTCTCTTCGCTCTGGAGGCTTTGCGGGGCTATCCCTGAAGCCAGGAGAGCAAGCAGGATCGGTGCGCACCGATCCCTCTTGCCCTCCTGGCTTCAGCGAAAGCAAGCCTCCTGGCTTTGCCCCCACCTCCCGCAAGAGCCGCGCGCTCTTTAAAGGGAGCGCGGCTCTTGGGGGCTTTTCTGGGACGTGGGGGAAGGGACAGAGCCGTGCGCTCTGTCCCTTCCCCCACCTCCCGCAAAAGCCAGGGATAGCCCCGCAAAGCTTCCGCAGGGCAGCGGGATGAAGGCTCCCCGCTGCACTGCGGAGGCTTCTGGCTTAGCCTCGCAGCCTACATTCACTCCTTAAGACGCACACACATTTCCCTTTACTTTTTAGGAGGGGGAAAGTGTGCCTTATAGAGTGAAAAATACGGTATTCTTTTTCCCCAGCCACTCTGGGTGGCTTCCAACGAAATAATAAAATACAGTGGTCTGTTAAACATTAAAAGCTTCCCTAAACAGGGCTGCCTTCAGATGTCTGAAGCCCAAAAGTGTCCATATGACAGACCGAAAAGTGTATGCAGGAATACTTGAATTACGGAGCCATGCATGTGTCAACTACTAGTACCAGACTTCACCAGCCTTCTGCCTTCCAGATGTTTTGGACTTCAGCTCCCATCAGCCCTAGCTGGCATGACCAATAGCCAGGAATGATGGGAGTTGCAGTCCAAATATCTGCAGGGCTAAAGCTTAGCCATCTCTGTCTGGGGATATAATAGTTCTAGTTTGTTGGCTGACAAGTCGTTTTCCGTGTCCCTATAGGTTGTGCGTAAGAACGATGCGGACAAGGTGACTGTCATTGGGGCAGGAGTCACCCTCCACGAGGCCCTCACAGCTGCTGATGAGCTGGCCAAGCAAGGTAATCGGAACGGTAGCGTTGGAGAGGACCCCATGATTCCCCTAGTCCAGGGGTGTCTGATTGGTTGACCACGATCGACAGGATCCTTATCTCTCACGTCTATAAAAATGTCTCCGTCCCGCTCAGTCTTCCCCTGTGCTGTGTTTAGTGTCCCTTCCTTATTAATTTGCTGTAGCGCTGTGTTGGTCTGTTAGCGGTTGTGTTGATGGTGAGCGATTTACCGTATTTTTCGCCCCATAAGACGCACCTGGCCATAAGACGCACCTAGTTTTTAGAGGGGGAATGCAAGGAAAAAAATATTCTTTAAAGGGAGCGGTGCGCAGAGCCTGTATGCATCCTGGGTTCTGCTCAGCGCTCCCTTTAAAGAACGCTTGCAGGCTTTTCCCCGAGGAGGGAGAAGGGCAGTGACGGGCTGCCCTTGTCCCTCCTCGGGGGAAAAGCCCCCAAGAGCCGCACACACGCTCCACACGGCTCTTTAAAGGGAGCACTGAGCAGAGCCTCCCGCCTGCATTCACTCCATAAGACGCACACACATTCCCCCTTACTTTTTAGGAGGGGGAAAGTGCGTCTTATAGAGGGAAAAATACGGTATTTCAATTCTGCACCCTTACTGCGTCAACAACTTTGACCTGCCTCCCCTAAAAAAAGATCAACAATTTTGGTTTGCCAGCCGTAAAGAAAGCTCAACAACTCTGATCTCCCCCCTCAAAAAAAATAAATGGGTAGATTACTGCCACGTTTTTTTCTGGGAGTAGATCTCTTGGGAGTTGGACGTCCCGGATCTAGTCGAAGCCACCTGCGATGCAGGAATAACAGACGGCTGCAGGTCTCGCCGGAGGTTTGGGGTGTTGATGGCATCTCTCCTCTCCGCCCTGCCCCAAATGCTCCTTCCCACAAGCCTTTTGCTTCCTTTTTAGGCACCCACATCCGGGTCATCGACCCCTTTACAATCAAGCCCTTGGACGCCGCCACCATCATCTCCAATGCCAGAGCCACCGGAGGCCGAATCATCACCGTGGAGGACCACTACAGGGAGGGTAAGCGGGTTGCGGCTGTGGAGCAGGGCACCTGGAACGGCACATTTCCCATCAATTCCTGGCGCGTTTCTTGACTTTCTCCTGCTGCCCTCCTTCGACGGTCGTGTGCCCTGGATATCGATTCCTCCCTCCCTCTCTCTTTTCTTTCTTTCTTTTTTAATTTTTTGATTTTTCAACAAAATTTATTAGTAATTTATTAGTAATTTCCACACAACACCACGAAAGATATCAAAAAACAACAATACACAACACACAAAAATCAACATTCGAAAACTAAAAAAAAACAACCAAAACAAAACACCAAAAAAAATCCATATCTTACAAGTTAATATTATAAACACTAAAACAACAACAACAACAAGACATTGACTTCCACCAATCCCACAGCACCTCCTTTATCTCTCATTGTGCCTTCCTGTTTTCTTTATCATCTCTATCCTAACATCTAGATATAAACCCTTCTTTCTTATCCTTTCGCTTCACAAGGTTATTCCAGACTCAGCCAGATTTCTGCCCTCGAACCTTGACTTTTGAGGTATTCTATTAGGCACTCCCATTCTTTTTTTACTTCACTTTTTGGTTTTTGTCTTATTATGTCTGTCAATTTGGCTAATTCTAAGTATTCTGAGAGCTTACATAGCCACTCTCCCCTAGTGGGTAACTGATTCCCTTTCCAGTACTTTGCCACCAGGATTCTTGCTGCAGACGTTGCGTATAAGAAAAAAATAGTTTTGTCTTTTGGAATAGTGTCATTTAAAATTCCTAAAAGGAATGCCTCTGGCCTTTTACTATATGATATTCTTAATATTTCCTTTATTTTTTCATGGATCACGCTCCAAAATTCTCCCTCTCTCTTTCTAGGAGGTCTTGGTGAGGCCGTGGCGGCGGCCGTCTCCGGAGAACCCGGCATCTTGGTCCAGAGCCTGGCTGTGTCGGCCGTGCCACGCAGCGGGAAGCCCAGCGAACTCCTGGATGCGTTTGGGATCAGCGCTAAGCATATCGTGGCCGCCGTGAAGAGCACTTTTGCCAACTGATTCCTCTTGAGGTTGGTGGGGAGGGCAGGAGAGATTTGAGAGAGGCGTTTTCTGAAGAGCCAAAAGTGTCTCCCCAAACACACCCTTGTCTGACTTCTCCGTCCCGGTTTTGACAGACATGCTGCTAGCATTCCCTTTTGACCTTGTGCCGAGTGAGAATGGAGCTTTTAACTGACCAAATGACCGTCCTGTTCCCATTTCCCCTCCATCCCCAAGCCATCCTATTTGCTCTCAAACTTCTCTAGGCCCAAAAAGTGTCCCGGTCGTCCTATTGGAACAATAAATAGTGCTTGTCTTACTTAAACCTTTTTACCCTTGTGCCTGACGCCTAACTTCTGTGGCTGTTATTTTCTCGAGCCTGACATTCCATGGGCAGCTTGGGTAGAGTTTCCTACCAGGAAAGGTTACTGACACATGAGCAAATGTTGACTGTGGAAACGCATATAGCTCTGACAAAAAGATCCGTTTATGAATTCTGTTGTCTTAGTCGGAAACGGAAGGGGCCGTTTCCCTGTTTTTCCTTGTACTGTAACTGCTATCCACAAACAGTGTTCACCCGGCGAGTCAATAAAAAACAAAAGTGCTCATCTGTTGGCTTCGTGAAGTGTTTGGTATCTCTGCAGTAAGGGGCAGCTCTGAGGGATTTCTTCAATAAAACACACCACTGTGACATTTAAGAACGCATCACTTGGCTGCAAAATGGAGTCCACAGGCTTAAGCTTCTAGAGACATTCTCTTGCCTTAGCTTTTATGCGTACGTAGAAATTAAGTCACATAAAAAACAGAGTTACCATCTGGTAACTAACCTGCGGCCTTATCAGGCAAAGCAAAAATAACATCAGAGGCAAGAACAAAGCTATACATTCATCTGTTGGTGTCAGCAAATTCCAAGATGGGCTCCCTTCCCAAGCTGACGATTCCCACCTACAGCCCGTGCAGAAACCACTGTTCTAAGAAAAAACGGCTCCTTTTCCCTTATGGGGTACCCAAGAGCGCGTACGTGGGTTTCCTATTGGTAGGAGAAAATAACAGAGGCCAACCAGAGAATATTGAGAAGCAAAGCAGCTAGTAAGCCTGATCTTTATTAAACTGTTGCAACAGGGTCCCCACTCACCACATGCAGGAGGAAGGAGAACCCTGAACAATGGTGCGCAAGCCCTTATATAGACTTTTGAAATTGCCCACCCTGTAGCCCAAGACCCCCCCGCCAAAAAAATCATACATACATCACATAAGGGGGCGGTCTACAGCAGAAATCCTGCCTGCCAGGATACCTGATAATGGTCACTGATTGCATAACCTGGGCAGCCCGGCCATTCTTTTGTGATGGTTACTACTTTAGTTCCTGAATCCAGGTCACAGGCTCGCCCTGTTCATACACAAATATGCCCTTAAGACAGGATTTATAAGCAAAAAGACAAAGGGAAGGCTTTCCCCATTTTCTCCCTCCTTGCAGAGAAATATATTGAGGTCAATTTGGGAGAGTCAGGATTGCTCTCCTGTACTATAATTTCAGGCACATGGTTTATATACGTATGTTTGCATTGTACATTTATGAACATTTATATTTGGGACCTTAGAATTCTTAGAACACCACCTTCTTGACCGTTGAAGGGACGCGGGTGGCGCTGTGGGTTAAAGCACAGAGCCTAGGACTTGCCGATCAGAAGGCTGGCGGTTCGAATCCCCGCAACAGGGTGAGCTCCCGTTGCTCGGTCCCTGCTCCTGCCAAACTAGCAGTTCGAAAGCATGTCAAAGTGCAAATAGATAAATAGGTACCGCTCTGGCGGGAAGGTAAATGGCGTTTCCGTGCGCTGCTCTGGTTCGCCAGAAGCAGCTTAGTCATGCTGGCCACATGACCTGGAAGCTGTACGCCGGCTCCCTCGGCCAATAAAGCGAGATGAAGCACCGCAACCCCAGAGTCGGCCACGACTGGACCTAATGGTCAGGGGTCCCTTTACCTTTTCTATTTCAGGTACGTGGTTTATATACTTATGTATGTGTTTGCCTTGTACATTTATGAACATTTATATTTGGGACCTTAGAATTCTTAGAACACCACCTTCTTGACCGTTGAACCCACTGCTGACCTTGTCAACTCAATCTGCTGGAGCTGTCTTTGCGTGCAGGGGAAATCCCTAACTTAGAGGGTTTGAAACCAATTGGCCTCCCTCGCCTGGTTTTGCTGGCCAGTCAAAGCCATTTCCTGGGTTGTGGCTGTTGCATGCTGACGACAACTAGGACAAACAGGTGGGAGCTGAGTGCTGGGTGGGGATCAAAGGTGGACAACTACCCCAGAAGGGGAATGGCTACCCCTCCCCTAACACCCCATAACTAACCCCATAAAAGCTGTTTTGGCTGGCTGGACAACAGTCATAGCCTTTGAAAGTGAAAACAGAGTCTGTGGTGTCACAGTTTAAAGAAACCACAAAGACAGCAAATGCAGGGATCTGGGCCCAGAGCAAAAGGACAAGTTTAATCATTTAAAAATGGTGACGAGAGAGTTAGCGCTCTGTGTAGTGGAACAGGGGAATCTGGCCTGCAGGGGTAACCTTCGTTTGCGTGGAGGAGTTTGATGTGATTCCTTTCTTAACAGATTGGCTCAACTCTTTAAGCGTGGACATTAAGTAGAACGACTTCCCTGGAGATATAATTAAGAAGTTTGAAAGATTTAATATCAAAGACTAAATATATAGAGCGTTGCACAATTCACGCACACTTAAATATAATTACTCACAAATTGAGGTTTTCCAGGACCTTAAGTCCTGAGCTCATTCTTTGATCAGCAAGTCGTGGCAGAAGGAAGAAGTATTACGCTCAAAGGCAGGGTCTGAATATCTGTGTCATATGCTCTGACCAGTCAGTGAAGGGTCTCGCAGTGACTAAAGACCTTATTTGCTGGAATCTTTCTAGATCAGTTGGCAGAGACTCTTAATCTCTGGGTGGCAGGCTTGAGGCCCCACGCTGGGCAAAAGATTTCTGCCTTGCAGGGGGTTGGAATAGATAACCCTCATGGTCCTTTCAAGCCTACAGTTCTACAACTGTGGATGTTGTAAGATTCAAGACAGAGAAAAGAAAATGCCACCAACTTGGACAATTTAAAAGATTAGACAAATTTATGGTGGAAAAGGCTATCCAATGCTCATGGCCAGAATTCCTGTGCACTACCTGCAATAGGTGGGACATGGGTGGCGCTGTGGGTTAAACCACAGAGTCTAGAACTTGCCGATCAGAAGGTCAGCGGTTCGAATCCCCACAACGGGGTGAGCTCCCGTTGCTCAGTCCCTGCTCCTGCCAACCTAGCAGTTCGAAAGCACGTCAAAGTACAAGTAGATAAATAGGTACTGCTCCGGCGGGAAGGTAAATGGCGTTTCCGTGCGCTGCTCTGGTTTGCCAGAAGTGGCTTAGTCATGCTGGCCACATGACCCGGAAGCTGTACGCCGGCTCCCTCGGCCAGTAAAGCGAGATGAGCGCCGCAACCCCAGAGTCGGCCACGACTGGACCTAATGGTCAGGGGTCCCTTTACCTTTACCTTTTTACCTGCAATAGAGAAGGCAGTCTTCATCTGAAAACCACAGGATGGGAGAGGGCTGTTGCACCCAGTCCTGCTTATGGCCTTCCCAGTGGGGCAGGGGTTGTTGTAAGCCGCTCCGTTTCTGCCCCAAAGCTGCCACCTATAGCTTTACTCATTACTCAAAAAGTGCTTTTTCCAAACTGAAAGAAACAACCTGACACTTACAGAGACATACGGAGACAGTATCATATAATACATACTGTACAGTTCTTTAAATATTTTTGTGGGAGAAGGTGGGGTTACTGCTTTGTTTTGGCTCTTGTTTTTATTAAGTATACCTGAAGGAGCATCTCCGCCCCCATCATTCAGCCCAGACACTGAGATCCAGTGCCGAGGGCCTTCTTGGTGGTTGCGCCCGCCCTGTGGAACGCCCTCCCATCAGATGTCAAAGAAATAAACAACTATCTGATGTTTAGAAGATATCTGAAGGCAGCCCTGTTTAGGGAGGTTTTTAATGACTGATGTTTTAATGTACATATTTTTAATCACTTGTTGGAAGCTGCCCAGAGTGGCTGGGGAAACCCAGCCAGATGGGCGAGGAATGAATGAATAATAATAACAATAATGAATGGGGTAACTGTGCCCCTGAAGAATCAGGTGCGCAGCCTGGGAGTCATTTTGGACTCACATCTGTCCATGGTGGCGCAGGTTAATTCTGTGTCCAGGGCAGCTGTTTACCAGCTCCATCTGGGATGCAGGATGAGACTCTCCCTGCCCGCAGACTGTCTTGCCAGAGTGGTGCATGCTCTGGTTATCTCCTGCTTGGACTACTGCAATGCGCTCTACGTGGGGCTACCTTTGAAGGTGACCCAGAAACTACAACTAATCCAGAATGCGACAGCTAGACTGGTGACTGGGAGTGGCCGCCGGGACCACATAACACTGGTCTTGAAAGACCTACACTGGCTCCCAGTACGTTTCCGAGCACAAATCAAAGGGTTGGTGCTGACCTTGAAAGCCCTAAATGGCCTCAGTCCAGTATACCTTAAGGAGCGTCTCCACCCCCATCGTTCTGCCCAGACACTGAGGTCCAGCGCTGAGGGCCTTCTGGCGGTTCCCTCGCTGTTAGAAGCCAAGTTACAGGGAACCAGGCAGAGGGCTTTCTCAGTGGTGGCACCCACCCTGTGGAATACCCACCCACCAGATGTCAAAGAGAACAACAACTACCAGACTTTTAGAAGACATCTGAAGGCAGCCCTGTTTAGGGAAGCTTTTAATGTTTAACACAGTATTGTATTTTAATATTCTGTTGGAAGTCGCCCAGAGTAGCTGGGGAAACCCAGTCAGATGGGCACGGTATAAATAATAATTTATTATTATTATTACAATGTATTTTGTGCCTTTATCTTGTATTTTTATGGTGCGAACTACCCTGACGCCTATGGACGAAGGGTGGGATACTACTGCTGCTGCTGCTACTACTACTACTATTACTAATACAGAACTGTAGCGTGGGAAGGGACCCCAAGGGTCATCTAGTCCAACCGACTACAATGAGTCTTGGTTGACCACAAGCTTGACATGAGCCAACAGTGTGACGCGACAGCTAAAAAAGCCAATGCAATTCTGGGCTGCATCAATAGGAGTATAGCATCTAGATCAAGGGAAGTAATAGTGCCACTGTATTCTGCTCTGGTCAGACCTCACCTGGAGCACTGTGTCCAGTTCTGGGCACCACAGTTCAAGAAGGACACTGACAAACTGGAACGTGTCCAGAGGAGGGCAACCAAAATGGTCAAAGGCCTGGAAACGATGCCTTATGAGGAACGGCTAAGGGAGCTGGGCATGTTTAGCCTGGAGAAGAGGAGGTTAAGGGGTGATATGATAGCCATGTTCAAATCTATAAAAGGATGTCACCTAGAGGAGGGAGAAAGGTTGTTTTCTGCTGCTCCAGAGAAGCGGACACGGAGCAATGGATCCAAACTACAAGAAAGAAGATTCCACCTAAACATTAGGAAGAACTTCCTGACAGTAAGAGCTGTTTGACAGTGGAATTTGCTGCCAAGGAGTGTGGTGGAGTCTCCTTCTTTGGAGGTCTTTAAGCAGAGGCTTGACAACCATATGTCAGGAGTGCTCTGATGGTGTTTCCTGCTTGGCAGGGGGTTGGACTCGATGGCCCTTGTGGTCTCTTCCAACTCTATGTATACGGCCTCGGCCCAGTATACCTGAAGGAGCGTCTCCACCCCCATTGTTCTCCCCGGACGCTGAGGTCCAGTGCTGAGGGCCTTCTGGCGGTTCCCTCATTGCGAGAAGCAAAGCTACAGGGAACCAGGCAGAGGGCCTTCTCGGTGGTGGCACCCGCCCTGTGGAACGCCCTCCCATCAGATGTCAAAGCGATAAATAACTACCTGACATTTAGAAGACATCTTAAGGCAGCCTGTTCAGGGAAGTTTTTAATCTGTGATATTTTACTGTATTTTTGGTTTCTATGGAAGCCGCCCAGAGTGGCTGGGGAAACCCAGCCAGATGGGCGAGGTACAAATAATAAATTATGATGATGATGATGATGATGATGATTCTATAATGCAGGAGTCCCAGATCAGCATAAGCCAGGCAGGAACCCCTGAAATTGCTGTCGCGGCTGGGGGGGATGCTGCTGGAAGGGAACTTTGCAAGAATCCTGTCTAAATTAATAATAATTCAAGTCTGAGTCGGGCAGCAATTCCTGCCTTCGCTGCCCTCCATCTCCATTGACCTCCCTTGGGAGGGGAGGCGGCACTTCCGCCCTTGGGAGAAGAGGGCGGAAGTGGCTTCAAGCGCAGCCAGGAAGTCCCGCCTCCCGGAAGCGGACGGCCGCTCTGCCCCTGGGCGCTCGATGGTGCGCGGCCCCTCCCGCTTCCTGTTGTTCCCGGACTCTCTTCCGGGTTTGGGGTCCGGAGGTTTGGCCGGAGCTGCGCCCGGTGAGTGGAGGCGCCCCGGGGGGAGAGGGAAGAGGGCCGCCCGGGGAAGGGGCGAGGGAGGCCTTCCCTTAGCCGGGAGAGGTAGGATCCTGACCCTGCACCCGTGTTCTGCGCTTGCGGGTCGCCCTGCACGTCGGAATGCGCCCCAGGGAAACTCGCAGGCAGGCGGGCGGGCGAGGAGGAGGAGACCCAGTTCATTGCGGCGCCTGGATCTCTCCCAGGAATCTGCCTGCCCCAGAGTCAGGCCCTCCAGCTCAGGGCTGCCCACACGGGCTGGCAGCAGCCGGGGACTTAATAATAATAATAATAATAATAATAATAATAATAATAATAATTATTTATACCCTGCCCTCCCCTGCCAAGACTGGGCTCAGGGTGGTTAACACCAAGTATAAAAACAATTGATTAAAATACTGTACAACATTAGAATGCAGCCTCATTTCAGTAGAAACTCAAGTCAAAAACTTTTTTGGGGATGAAAACGTCAAGTCTTCAGGGGTTCAGGCCGCCCTGGAGCTGCAGCCGACGGTCCCAGGTGCCAAAGGGGATGCTCTGCCCCTGGGCTGTCTGAATGTAAGATTATGGAGCGTAGTGATTAATGGATATCCATGAGCATGTACAGTAATGCACGATATACATATATATTCTTAAGTCAGATAAATAGGATATAATACTTAAATAATACTCGTATTGTATATAAGATTGTGCACAGATAGTTAATATGTATTACGTAAAATTTATAGTAGGTAGTATATATTATAATATTCATGCGGCCCCTCCAGGTGGCATAGCTGTCAACTTTTCCCTTTTCTTGCGAGGAATCCTATCCGGAATAAGGGAATTTCCCTTAAAAAAGGTGAAACATTGACAGCTATGCCAGGTGGCGCTCAGCCTTCTCCGTTTCTGTACTTGCAACAGCCCTGCGAGGGAGGCAAGGCGGGGACTGGCCCAGGGTGGCACCCAGTGAGCATCAGGATTCGAACCCTGGTCTCTGCCAGGACCTAGTCTGGCATCTGAACTTCCGCCACCACTGACTCCTCAGAGCCAGGGAACTGGAAGATTCATTCTCATGTTTTGCTTGTTTATCCAGTAATAACAGCCCATGGTACCAAATAGTATGGGAAACAGCCTTATTAGAAAAGCTAACTAATAACTGACACGGGGAGAAATGGAAGAAGAATTTCTACTACAGTGGTACCTCGGGTTACATACACTTCAGGTTACATACGCTTCAGGTTACAGACTCCGCTAACCCAGAAATATTGCTTCAGGTTAAGAACTTTGCTTCAGGATAAGAACAGAAATCGTGCTCCGGCGGCGCAGTGGCAGCAGCAGGAGGCCCCATTAGCTAAAGTGGTACTTCAGGTGAAGAACAGTTTCAGGTTAAGAACGGACCTCCAGAACGAATTAAGTACTTAACCCGAGGTACCACTGTATTAACACCATTCTGTCTACAACCATTTGTGAAATAAGTAAAATAACCAAGCAAGTATCACCCCAGAATTGGCCTTACTAAACATCTTCCAAGACAGTAATGCCCACTTACATCACAAAGAACTCATAACCCACCTACTTTCAGCAGCCAGAAGCATCCTAGCCAGAAACTGGAGAGACCTGTCAGGAGTAAGCATGGACCAATGGTACCAAATAGTCTGGGAAACAGCCCTACTAGAAAAAGTCACTAATAAACTGAAACTGACACGGGGACAAATAGAAGAAGACGCCTTCGCCCCGGTCTGGCTCACCTTTATCACATACACAGCCCAGCAAGACAATGACAAAAATCCACCGACAGCATACAAATCAGTATGGCTAACCTGATCCGAAACACCCACCCACCTCACTCACACACGAAAACAAAGACCACCACAGCCAACCACAAATGAATAACCACACCCTAGGCCAACCCCAACCTCTCTCACCACCAAAGGAACACAACAGCAGAGATCTGCACAAGCAACGCTGACACCAAACCTTACATATATTAAGTAAAATAGAAACATCGTCACCCGACCCCACCCCACCTCTTTCCCCATTTTCTTCCTAATGTCTCAATAAATGAAACCGATTTGTAAAAATGTTACATGGGAAAATAATACGAGAGAGAGACATTGCACACACTTTTGGAAATCAAGAAAATCTTTAATAAAAATACATTAAAAAACAACAACAACCCTAAACCCCCAAAGGATTATAATCTCCACAGTACTGATGATGGAGTGTGCATGTAGTGGGGTGGTGGTCCATGGGTGTTTATTTTATTAAGGATTAGGATTCCCCTCCTGGCAAATTTCCTGTGCCTTTAGCTCAGGGCTGCCACCTTTTCAGCCTGCCACTAGCTGATATACTGACACCAGCAGCCGATTATCTTTCCATGCCATGGAAAAGCTTCACTTGCCAAACCTTATTTATCATCCTGCTGAATAAAACACAAGAGCAGACCAGGCTGCTGCTGTTAGGGTGAGTTGGCAACCCTACTTTAACAGCTGCATGACTGGCAGAAAACTGGCAGGTATGGATTTCTTCCCATGACTGCGTTTCTTAGAAAATGGATCTTCAGAATATCTCTCCCTGTATCATTTCTGCCTGTCATGGGGGCTGTCAGTGGAGACTGATGTGGATTTCCTCCCTCTGCAGCTGAGGACAGACTTGCAGCAAGCTCTCTCACTTTTCTGGCTTGTGGGTTGTTGATGTGGGTGGCGCAGAAAAATGTGTTAGAGACAGTGGTTTTCATATAGAATAAATAGGTAAAGGGACCCCTGACCATTAGGTCCAGTTGTGACCGACTCTGGGGTTGCGGCGCTCATCTCGCGTTACTGGCCGAGGGAGCCGGCGTACAGCTTCTGGGTCATGTGGCCAGCATGACTAAGCCGCTTCTGGCGAACCAGAGCAGTGCACGGAAACGCCGTTTACCTTCCTGCTGGAGCGGTACCTATTTATCTACTTGCACTTTGACGTGCTTTCGAACTGCTAGGTTGGCAGGAGCAGGGACCGAAAGACGGGAGCTCACCCCGTCGCGGGGATTCAAACCGCCGACCTTCTGATCGGCAAGCCCTAGGCTCTGTGGTTTAACCCACAGCGCCACTCGCGTCCCTATAGAATAAATAAAAGTGCTTTAATGGTAACCCATGGCCCTTTTATTGAATTTTCACATGCTGTCTTCTCACCTGACTAGCTTCTGTCTTTTTACGGGAAGTTTGGTCTTTTCAGTGCTGAAGATCAGACACCAGCAGAAAGGAAAATTGCAAGGGTCAGTATCTCCTACTAGGTTAATTTTTATTTATTTATTGTGTTTAGGTTTATAAAGCGCTACTGAAACTTGACAATGTCTGAAGATGAAGAAAAGCTTAACTTGCGTCGCCTTGAGCCAGCCATCCAGAAGTTTATTAAAGTTGCCGTTCCAACAGATCTGGAGAGGTTAAGAAAGCATCAGATAAATATTGAGAAGGTTTACTTTTTTCCCCTGAATATTAAGTTGATATTGTATAATTTTACTGACATTAGCACAACTTAAGCAAAGCAGAGATGCTTTGATTGGAACTAAAGGTGGGCAAGTGTAATTAGCTCTGTTGCACGACAATTTCCGCACCCCTCCTCAAAAACCCCCCTCCACTTTCAAAGGTAGTTAAAAGTCCATTCCTTTTCTTTAAATTGGGGCCTTAAAAAAGGTAAAGGGACCCCTGACCATTAGTTCCAGTCGTGACCAACTCTGGGGTTGCAGCGCTCATCTCGCTTTACTGGCCGAGGGAGCCGGTGTACAGCTTCCGGGTCATGTGGCCAGCATGACTAAGCCGCTTCTGAAGAACCAGAGCAGTGCATGGAAACGCCGTTTACCTTCCCGTCGGAGCAGCACCTGTTTATCTACTTGCACTTTGACATGCTTTCGAACTGCTAGGTTGGCAGGAGCAGGGACCGAGCGACGGGAGCTCACCCCGTCGCTGGGATTCGAACCGCCGACCTTCTGATCGGCAAGTCCTAGGCTCTGTGGTTTAACCCACAGCGCCACCCGCGTCCCAGTTGGGGCCTTACTATTATTTAAAATGAGGCAGCCGAGGCAGCCTGGGGGTGCTCCCATTTGCTACAGAACAGCTGAATGGCTGGTCATTATTTGGGGATGTTGGGAGGGTAGAGGTCTGCCTCCATTGGCCAATATTTTGTTTGATCTTAAATGCATGCTCTGGGTACCCATTCAAGAGTCCTGCTATAAACAGAGAAAAGAGGCTGTCTAAAGGTTTGGATTGAGAGTTGCTTTTCAGTCTATGCATCTGCTGAGATAATAATAATAATAATAATAATAATAATTTTTATTTATGCCCCGCCCTCCCCAGCCAAGACCGGGCTCAGGGCGGCTAACACCAAGTATAAAACAATTGATTCAAATACAACTTAAAAACAAGATTAAAGTACAACATTAAAATGCAGCCTCATTTCAATAGAAACTCAAATCAAAAACTTTTTGGGGATGAAAACGTCAAGTCTTCAACATCAAATGAGGGGACAAATTGGTTGCAATGATTTTCAAATGCAACTGGGGTCAAAATTACCCCCCCAATAAATAACTATTGCTTTCCATGAACTCTGCAGGTAGTTATGACCTCACTTGGCTGGGTTGCAAGTGTGATTCTAAGTGGAAAATATCATTTATAAACATCAGATTTATAAAGAGGGCTTGCAAGCCAGTGGGGGCTTCCCTGGCATAATAAGGAAGTGAGTAATTTGTCGATTATGGGGGGGGGGGTTTTGCCCTCAATGCTCTTTTCTCACAAGAAAGGGAAAGAGGAGGCTCTGGGCTAAGTATCTGTAGACATGAAAACTGTAAAAACCGTAAAAAGGCAAATGGCATTTTGCAAGGTTTCTTTGAGCCCTGATACTTTATGTGTTTCCACCTCCCAGCTCTCGTCAGTATCTCTCTCCTCATTCTCCATCTTCTGCAGAGGGGTTAAGAGTGGCTACATAGCAGGTGAATCTTCCCCTGAAAATGCTCATCTATTTCTCATCTAGCTCATCTACCGGCAGCTAGACTGGTGACTGGGGGCGGCTGCCGAGACCACATAACACCGGTCCTGAGAGATCTGCATTGGCTCCCAGTACGTTTCCGAGCACAATTCAGAGTGTTGGTGCTGACCTTTAAAGCCCTAAATGGCCTCGGTCCAATATACCTGAAGGAGCGTCTCCACCCCCATTGTTCTGCCTGGACACTGAGGTCCAGCTCTGAGGGCCTTCTGGTGGTTCCCTCACTGCGAGAAGCCAAGTTACAGAGAACCAGGCAGAGGGCCTTCTCAATAGTGGCACCCGCCCTCCCACCAGATATCAGAGAGATAAACAACTACTTGACATATAGAAGACATTTGAAGGCAGCCCTGTTCAGGGAAGTTTTTAATGTGTGACATTTTGATGTATTTTTAATTTTTGTTGGAAGCCGCCCAGAGTAGCTGGGGAAACCCAGCCAGATGGGCAGGGTACAAATAATAAATTATTATTATATTATTATTATTATTTTTCATCAGATTGTGGATGGGGACTCAAAGCACCAGATGATGGTTCAAACCTTGTCACAATTGAAGAGTCCCTGGAACAAGGAGTTGTGAATGTCTTGCATAATGGCTTTTGTGACATTTCTCAGCGTTGTTGGGTAACACTGGGCTCTCTTTGTTGATGGAGGCTTAAGCTGGAATTAGAGAGCAAAGTTTGCTGCAATTGAGAGAGTGAGTCTGTCCCTTGGAATGATGTGTGCACATAGCTTATCTTACTGGTTTGTGCCAGCAGGCACTGGGATAGCCTGTTCCCCAAACCCCACCATTTCCTCTGCCTTAAGACAGCACAGGGAATGGGAAATGGCGATTCTTTTTGTCCTTCCTTTCTCTGTAGACCCATAAAAACACATTTTTTTTCTCTCTCGCTCTTTCCTTGCCTTTAGTATCAGAGATGCAGACTGTGGGACAGGTTACATGAAGAGCACATCAATGCTGGCCGTACGGTTCAAGTAAGTAGTTAGAAAAGTGCATTCCAGTGTTTGTTGCTGGTTTTCCCCAGAAAATAGCAGAAGCAAAAATGCAAAGGTCTCCCCTTTCTCCTCATAGGGCACTGTAGCTAACCTAAAGCCTATCCAAGCTTTCCTCCTCCTTCCACTATCCAACCTGTGTTGAATCTTACATTTGTCTGCTCCTTGGGGCAGGGACCTTTTCCCTTGCCTGCAACGATCCTATAACAACACACAACAGAGCTGCGCCGTTCACTCAATTATGATACAACAACTGCAAATGGCTTCATTGTCAGCAACTGAAAATACGATGAGATGTGAAATAAGCAAGCCATTTTGGACTCTAATGTCAAGCACAAATACCTTAGTGTTCTTAACTTGTATGTTCAATTGCTTTAATAGTTTTTAATAGGTGTGGCTGTTTTATGCATGTTTTTGTTGTCAATTACTTTGGCTGGCGATGCCTCAAGGGAAGCGATTCATAAATGAAATAAATAATAATATTTATATCCTGTTTTTTCTAAACCAAAGAATGCACTCAAAATACAGAAAGGGAGGAGATGACAGTATAGGTGGCCATACCTGGAAGATGTAGTCTCACAGAAAATAAAAGGCATTCTCTATGCAGCCTTTAAAAGGTAAAGGTAAAGGGACCCCTGACCATTAGGTCCAGTCATGACTGACTCTGGGGTTGCGGCGCCCATCTCACTTTACTGGCTGAGGGAGCCAGCGTACAGCTTCTGGGTCATGTGGCCAGCATGACTAAGCCGCTTCTGGCGAACCAGAGCAGCGCACGGAAACGCCGTTTACCTTCCCGCCGGAGAGGTACCTATTTATCTACTTGCACTTTGACGTGCTTTCGAACTGCTAGGTTGGCAGGAGCAGGGACCGAGCAACGGGAGCTCACCCCGTCGCGGGGATTTGAACCGCCGACCTTCCGATCAGCAAGTCCTAGGCTCTGTGGTTTAACCCACAGCACCACCCGCGTCCTCCCAAATCTGTTTGGGAATTGCCTGTGACCAGTACTTAAGCACTAGAGCAGTTATCCCAGCAAGGGCCCAGGAGAGATTCAGAGGCTTATATCAGGTCCAAGAACTGAGGCTTTCTGGGCCGGAATGGACCTGCTGTCCCCGGAATTTGCACCTGATACCTGAACTATTCTGTGAGGTATGAAGAGAGCGCTATTCAATGGGTTGTGTGTAACCAAATCCCCTGATGGCAACTGTTAGAGGTCATTCAAATCAGAGAATAACACTGGTCAACAACAAATTTGTTGTCTGCGTTTTTTCAGTTGATTTAGGACGAATCTGATGTGCTGAATCCAAAAATTCCATTGGTTTTGCTCAATCAGGTCAAGTTTTTGAGCTATGGCCACATGTCGTTTTTTTACGTTTTTGTTCACATGTACGCTTGTGTGGAGCATTTTAGAAGAAGTTGGTGGGGGTAAAATGCCATGTCGAATAATTGTTTTGATTGGAAATGATTATTTTAATGACAAGAAGTATTCAGGTCCGATAGCTCTGGGTGATTATGTCGAAAAGGGATCAGTTGTTGAAGGACATGAAGAAGAAGAAGTGGTTCTTGAAGATGATGCTCCACATCCATTTTCCCAAAAGGAGTTGAATGATCTAGTTCGCGACCTCAGCTTGTCAAAGGACTCTGCCGAACTGTTGGCATCCAGATTGAAGGAAAAAAACCTCCTCTCTGACAGTGCTCACATCAGCTTCTTCCACAACAGGTATCAAGAGTACCTCCGTTTTTTCTCGGAAGAGAAGGACTTAGTGTACTGTGCAGATATTGCGCAGCTTCTGCTCAAGCTTGGAGTGCCACAGTACGAACCCAAAGATTGGAGACTGTTCATTGACAGCAGCAAGCGATCACTGAAATGTGTTCTGCTACACAACGACAACCAGTTTGCCTCTATACCCCTGGCTCACTCGACTACACTGAAGGAGAACTATGAAGCGGTGAAGTATGTGCTGGAGAAAATTGGTTATGATCAGCATAAGTGGTTTATTTGTGTTGACCTGAAGATGGTGAACTTTTTGTTGGGACAACAGTCTGGCTTCACCAAGTACCCATGTTTTCTGTGCATGTGGGATAGTAGGGACCGTGCTCAGCATTACACGAAGAAGGACTGGCCTGTGCGGGAGGAATTGGTGCCTTGCAAAAATGGACGTCATCAACGACCCTCTGGTGGACAGAGACAGAATACTCTTCCCACCGCTGCACATCAAGCTTGGCTTAATCAAGCAGTTCACCAAGGCTCTGGACAAGGATGGTGACTGCTTCACTTACTTGTGCCAGGCTTTTCCAGGATTGACCATGGAGAAGTTGAAAGCTGGCATCTTTGACAGTCCTCAGATCCGTCAGCTCATCAGAGATCCAGAGTTCGGAAACTCAATGAACAAAGTGGAACTGGAAGCGTGGAAGGCATTTGTTCTGGTAGTGAAGAACTTTCTTGGCAACAATAAGGCCAGAAACTACGCAGAACTTGTCAACAACATGCTGACTGCTTTCAGAAACCTGGGCTGCAACATGAGCGTCAAGATGCACTACCTATTTTCACATATGGACCGGTTTCCTGAGAACCTGGGTTCAATGAGTGACGAGCAGGGGGGAGATTCCATCAGGACATGAAAGAGATGGAGACCAGGTATCAGGGTCGCTGGGACGCAGTCATGATGGCTGACTACTGTTGGACTCTGAAGAGAGACCTCCCTGCCGCTGAGCATTCCAGGAGTTCCAAGAAACGGAAGTTCAAGCCCTGAAGTTTGAAAAATGGTGAAGCAACATGCAATTTACGTGTACTTACCTTTATCAATGCCCACCATTCAGTATACAGTAATCGATGTTTCTATCAGGTAATCAATATATGTTGTTGGAAATTTTTTTTTCTCTTAAAAACATATTTAGGATGATATTTGTTGACAAAAATCAGCTGATAATGCCACAAAAATGTAATCGATTTTGTCACAAGATCTGATTTTTTTTCAAATTAACACAGCACGAAAACCTGACCTGATGGAGAGAAACGGATGCCATTTCCTGATTCAGCAGTGCAAAAATACCCTAAATCAGTTGTAGAAATCTAGACAACATTCAAATAGTAAAAAATTGTTGCCCAGTGTAATTAAAGAGTGGGAGGGAGTGAAGGAATATATGAAAAAATAGGGTTCCGGGACTGGAATATTAATAGATAACGTGTAAAACGTGCAGGGGTAAGCAAGTAAATAATAAAAGAATCAGCTGAACAATGATTAAATTATAACAACACAACAAGACGGAAGAAGAAGAAGAAAAAAAGAGATCACACCTGGGTGAAGGGGAACGGGGGGTATAGGGGAATTTGAAATATTATTTATAATATAAAAGCTTTAATATGAAATTTCTAACTGTGTTGTATTTGTATACAGCAAAGAGAAGTTTAGAGTAATTAGGTATATTTTAATTTAGTTAATTATGTAATAGGTTTATGTTAGAAAATTAATTATGGATGTTGAATTTGATGTTTGTCATTTTTCTTTTTTCGGTTTTGGAAATAAAAAATTCATAAAACAAAAAAACAAACAAAACAAATCCCCCTTCTTGAATTGTCCTTTCCAGCAGCTGCGAGCAAATATCCGAGAGATGGAGAAGCTCTGCCTACGGGTCCGGAAGGAAGACCTCCACGCTTTGGAGAGGATGATTAACCCGGTGAAAGACCAGGCGTCGGTGGCCATAAAGGAATTTCTGCGGCTCCACTTGGAGTCTGCAGAAGAACTGAAGAGGCAGTTTAAGGAGAAAGAGGCGTTGCTCCAGTCCCCTTTAACCAGATCAACCACCGTAGCAGGGGGTATGAGTGCACCGTGTTCCTTTTTCAAACAAGTATGTTTTTATCGCCAAGATATCTGTATGATCTTTCTGGACCAGAGTTGAGATGTCATTTAACTGTTAAATGACCCAACTGTGACATGCAAAAGGTTGAAAGCTACGGGAATGTTTAAGCCAAAGTCGCACACGTTGAAGGCGCTGGACGTGTTCCTAGTTTCTGCCGCTGAAATCAAAGAGCAAAAAAAGCAGCCAGCTTGCAACTACAGTGGTACCTCGGGTTAAGAACTTAATTCGTTCTCATCCTGCAGCAAAGTTCTTAACCCGAGGTACTATTTCTTTTCTTTTCTTTAATTTTTTTTGGAAAAGTTTTTATTGTTAAAATAATTCAGCATTAATACACACATATTGCGAATTTACAAACATACATTTCATACAATCCTTAAAAATGTTCAAACATACCTACACTCAATCCCACAGATAATTCCTTTTCCCATCACCATCCACCACCCCTCACCCCACCTTTGTGTTAGACTTCCAATCTACTCAATTGCAATTTCTTTCCACTTCTATTACTTTCTTTCACACATCTTTAACCTAATTTCATGCTTCTTTTTCTATTACGCATTGTTATCCATCTTATTTGGTATTCCAGTATTTAAAATGGAACTTCTTTATTCTAATAGGAGTTCTGATTTTTCAATATGGTTTTGCAAGTATCCTTTAAACACCGTCCAACCCCTGTCTATCTTCTCTTTTGAGATCCTTCCAATTTCTCCCATTGTTTTGGATATATTGTAGTACTCCAATAATTTGGCAAGCCACTCTGTTTTTGTCGTTATAATACCACTTTTCCAATTTTTCGCAATCAATAGTCTTGCGGCTACTGTTGCGTATAAATATAATGTCTTGTCTTCTTCCTTTAGTCTTCCTGGTACTATTCCCAATAGAAAACCTTCTGGTGTTTTCCTAAATGAATATCTGAACATTTTTTCGTTTCGTTATATATTGTTTCCCAAAATTCTTTGATGTTTAAACAATTCCACCATATATGTATCATAGTACCTTTTCCAGTGTTGCATCGCAACACCGAGGTGCTATTTCTGGGTTAGCGGAGTCTGTAACCTGAAGCATCTGTAACCTGAGGTACCACTGTACTCCAATATGAAAACCAGGGGAAATGTTTCAATATGCTGTTTCAGCAGCAAAATGCATTGGGCGGAACAGAAGAAGCTGCCCTATACTGAGCCAGTCGGTTGGTCTGTCTATCTCAGTAGAGTCTACACTGGCCGACAGCAGTTCTCCAGGGTTTCAGACAGAACATTCACATCCTACCTGAAGACGCAGAGGGGAGAACCTGGGATCTTCTGCCTGCCAAGCAGATGCTCTGCCACTGAGCTGTGACCCTTCCCTCGTTGCCCCCCCACCACACCTGCACATAGTGCCATTGCTTTTACTTCCTTAAAATCCCCCCTGCCCCACCAGGGCCCACCTTTTCTGGGTAGCCTTTAAATACACATCATCATCATCATCATAACTTGGCTTCTCGCAGTGAGGGAACCGCCAGAAGGCCCTCGGCGCTGGACCGCAGTGTCCGGGCAGAACGATGGGGGTGGAGACGCTCCTTCAGGTATACTGGACGAGGCCGTTTAGGGCTTTAAAGGTCAGACCTAACACTTTGAATTGTTCTCAGAAATGTCCTCGGAGCCAATGTAGGTCTTTCAGGACCGGTGTTACATGGTCCCGGCGGCCGCTCCCAGTCATAAGTCTAGCTGCCGCATTCTGGATTAATTGCAGTTTCCGGATCACCTTCAAAGGTAGCCCCACATAGAGCACATGGCAGTAATCCAAGTGGGAGATAACCAGAGCATGCACCACTCTGGCAAGACAGTCCGTGGGCAAGGAGGGTCTCTGCTTAAGAACTTCTAAGGAATGAGAGTCCACTCCCATTTATCCGACGGCAGTTAAATCGAATTGGGGCAGAGGGCTGGGAGCTCTTTAGTTCTTGATAGGTTAACCCTCTGGGATCATTATGAGACTTTATGATCTTTCCACTCAGAAACGTTTTACGATGCCAGCAACGAAGGACTCTCTCAGAGTTACATCCAGACCTTCTCCCCTCTCCCCGAAATCCCCCAGGATCAAAACGCGGCGGAATCGTGGGAAATGCTTGAAGAGGTAGGCTGGGCTTCTACTCTGAGGGTCCCTTGGACAAATCTAGAGGAGCAGAAGAATAACAGCACATTTTTTTGGCTCTCATTGTAGGACTTGATTGAGCTCAGCAACCTGGTGACGGACTTCTCTCTGCTTGTTAATGTAAGTATGGCAAGATTAGGGTCTTAACGTTCCTTCAGCGTTCAGAAGAAAGGGGGCGAAAGAAAGAAGCTAGCTGCGCAATTCTTACATCTCTGGAGTGAGAAGAGGAATATGCAGAGAGTTTAGTCTGGCTTTCTGCAGGGGCCTGGAGTACGAGGGACCATCTTGTGGAGAGGTGCCTTATTATGCACCCAAACTTAGCAGGATTGACCTCCCCACACCTTGGCTGATGCCTAGGGCATTCAGTCCTGTTTTCGGTATAAATCTCCACTTATAATAATAATAGGCGACACGGGCAGCACTGTGGGTTAAACCACAGAGCCTAGGACTTGCCGATCAGAAGGTCAGTGGTTCGAATCCCCGCAACGGGGTGAGCTCCCGTTGCTCGGTCCCTGCTCCTGCCAACCTAGCAGTTCGAAAGCACACCAGTGCAAGTAGATCAATAGGTACCGCTCCGGTGGGAAGGTAAACGGCGTTTCCGTGCGCTGCTCTGGTTCGCCAGAAGTGGCTTAGTCCTGCTGGCCACATGACCCGGAAGCTGTACACCGGCTCCCTCGGCCAGTAAAGCGATATGAGCACCGGCAACCCCAGAGTCGGTCACGACTGGACCTAATGGTCAGGGGTCCCTTTACCTATAAACAAGAATAATGTTATACAAACCAGCATACCAAGTTTTCTCATGTCTTTTGTATATCGCAAAAAGAGCATAATAAACGTGGGAAAATATCTACAACATATGTTTCATTATTAGCAGTCAATGTAGAAGTTCTTGGTTCATGAATTGGTTTAAACAATTAAGAAGAGAAAGGGGGAAAAGGAGTAGGGGGGAATGGTGAGTAGGGCCGGGTGGTTATGTTTCTATTATTCTACTTAGAGGGGGTTGTGTCAATTGTATGGCCCACCCCCTCCTTTCAAGGTTAATACCAGCAGTTTGAATTGGGCCCCCAAATGCACCAGTAGTCAGTGCAGAATTACGCTCTGCGTTCGAATTTTCTGGCCCACGACCACCTAGGCAGCCACATTGCGCATCGGTTGACATTTCTGCATCGTCTTTGATGGCAGCCTTGTGGTGGTTGTTGTTGCTGCGTCGATTAGTCGTGTCCGCCTCTTTGTGACCCCCTGGACCAGAGCACGCCAGGCACTTCTGTCCTCCACTGCCTCCCACAGTTTGGTCAAACTCATGCTGGTAGCTTCGAGAACACTGTCCAACCATCTCGTCCTCTGTCGTCCCCTTCTCCTTGTGCCCTCCATCTTTCCCAACATCAGGGTATTTTCCAGGGAGTCTTCTCTTCTCCTGAGGTGGCCAAAGTCTTGGAGCCTCAGCTTCAGGATCTGTCCTTCCAGTGAGCACTCAGGGCTGATTTCCTTAAGAATGGATGCGCTTGATCTCTTTGCAGTCCATGGGACTCTCAAGAGTCTCCTCCAGCACCAGAATTCAAAAGCATCAATTCTTCGGCGATCATCCTTCTTTATGGTCCAGCTCTCGCTTCCATACATCACTACTGGTAAAACCTTGTGGAGAAAGTCCATTATTGTGGGTCAGCTTTGAATGGAAAGGGATGGAAATAGGCTTCAGCCAAAAAAGGCTATTTTTAGTTTTCAGAAGGCTCCGCGCTTGGTACTTTGAAGTGGGGTGTGTGCTTTTGTTCTGCCGTTTCGCTTGAAAACCCTTTTGTGTCTTCTAGGCTCAGCAGGAGAAGATCGACAGGATTGAAGATAACGTCAACACGGCCGCCGTGAATGTTGAAGAGGGGACCAGGAATCTGTCCAGGGTAGGGCTCTCTCCATCCATCTCCTGGCAAACCAGTGGCACTCTGCTTTCCAGCAATACTCCATTGAATCAAAACATCATAGAATCTTAGAATTGGAAGGGACCCCGAGGGTCATCTAGTCCAACCCCCGGCAATGCAGGAATCTCAGCTAAATCCCTGGCAGGTGGCCCTCCAACCTCTGCTTTAAAACCTCCATGGAAGGAGAGTCCGCTGCCTCCGGGTGGGAGCCGACTCCACTGTGGAGCAGCTCTTACTGTCAGAAAGGTCTTCCTGATGTTGAGTTGGAATCTCTTTTCTTGTCACCTGAATCCATTGGTTCAGGTTCTGCCTCTGAAACAGCAGAGAACACCATTTTTCATGTGACACGCCTCCCTCATAAGCTACAATGACAACTCAGCCTGGAGCCATAAGAAAGCCATAGGAAAGGCTGCAGTTCAGTGCCTCCTCCTAAGGTAGTCTTTGGCGATCCCTCGTAGCTGACGAAGATTGTCTTCCATAAACACGGTTTTAACAATGAGCCCATAAGTGACTGTGGAGGCCAATTCTGGATCCACACCTCCTTCCACAGTGGGGACATTGGTTTATTTGGTTCTATGTTTTCAAGAGAATTCATCAAGAGTGCATTTTCTGTGACTTTCAGAGATTTAGAATATTTCTGTTTAATATTTATTTATTTATTTATTTATTTATACCCCGCCCTCCCCAGCCAAGAGTGGGCTCAGGGCGGCTAACAATCAATAATAAAAACAAGATTAAAATACAACATTAAAACATTGAAGTGCATTAAAACTCCAACACATATGGATGGAAGACTTTCTACAAGTGTTACTAAGTGGGAATTTCTCTTTCGACTAAAGGATTTTGATTGGATCATTATTTTTTTTAAAAAAATTAATTATCCAATAAGTTATGAAGAAGCATAGGGGAGAGCTGGTTTATTTTGTCTGTTTGTTCTGTTTATTTGCTTTTGCAGAGAGTGCATATTTCATATATTTCATATTGTTTTACCTTTTGTATAGATTACAGTGGTACCTTGGGTTACAGATGCTTCAGGTTACAGACTCTGCTAACCCAGAAATAGTACCTTGGGTTAAGAACTTTGCTTCAGGATGAGAACAGAAATCGTGCTCCAGTGGCGCGGCGGCAGCAGGAGGCCCCATTAGCTAAAGTGGTACTTCAGGTTAAGAACAGTTTCAGGTTAAGAACGGACCTCCGGAATGAATTAAGTACTTAACCCGAGGTACCACTGTATAAAAAGAGTTTATATTGACATTGCATTGTTGTACTTGGTCATCGTGTCGCCTTTGGATATTACTGACAATCTCCGGGTAGCAGGAGCAACCCATCCCACGTCCCACCCCCCGATTAACTACCGCTGTATAAGACGACCGCCCCCTTTTCTGGCAAAATTTTCTAAGAAAAAACCCTTGTCTTCTACGTGGAAAAGTACTTTCTCGCAACACCAGCTCACTCCTTTCTCTTGTCTTCCTTCTTCTCCAGGCTGCCAAATTCAAGCTGGCCGCCTTGCCTGTCGCTGGCGCCCTCATTGGCGGAGTCGTGGGGGGTCCTATCGGGCTCCTGGCTGGGTTCAAAGTGGCCGGCATTGCTGCTGCGCTGGGCGGCGGAGTTTTGGGCTTCACGGGTGGGAAGCTGATCCAGAGGAAGAAGCAAAGGATGATCGAAGGCCTCTCGGCTCCATCCTCCTGCAGCTGCCCAGATCTCCCCAGACCAAGCGACCGAGAATGTAGCTGAAGGGGGGCTCCTCTGGTGAGCCGCCCACCTCCGCTGTGGATCCCCCTTGCGCCCGACGGACCTGAAGAGCAGATCCAGCCCTGGCAGCCTTTGGAAAGGGTAACCCCGAGTCCCTCTCTCCGGCCGGGGCAGAGAAGGCTCATCCTTCCATTTTGAAAACAGAGCCCAAGGGAGGAAGCCAGAGGCAGGTCGGAAGACGTGTGCCAAAGGAGCAGCTTTCTCGTCCGAGAATTAAGGGGGCGTTGTTCGCAAGACACCTTTTCCTGGAGAAACAGACAAGGGAGATTTTAAGTCGTAAATTTTTCAGTGCCTGGTCCATCTTCCCTGCAAGCGTACAAATAAATGTCTCCTTCAGGGTTCTTTGTGGTGGAATCTTTAGCCAAGTTTGAAGTTCAAAGCCTGGACTCTTTTCATACACCTGTTTGGCTCAGGTGAAGTAACTGACCCTCTCCTTTGCCCAAGTGCTGTATTCTTATGATTATTTTTTTTTAAGGTGCAGACTTTCCCTAAACTTAACCTTTCAGGCTTTAGGACAGAAGTCCTGCTCTTCCTCTCTCTCTCTTTATAAAGTGTCGCTTTTAGGAAAATCGGAACTGTGCTTTGCGAACGAATCTTCACAGTGTTTCAGGTTCTCTTCGGAAGTATCCGCTATCGACCACCAAGTGTTGGAGGACTCTGTGGTGGCCAAATTTCTGGATATATTGGACGGGACACTGATCTCCCATAATCCCTTTTCCCCATTGCCACATCGGCCAAATTCTGATGGGAGGGAATCAAAGATGAGCCAAAGATAACGCCATACTGTGCCATTGCTCTCCTGACAGTTGGGGTTTTTTTGCTGGGTGTTGAGTTTTCTGAATACAAAGCCTTTTTCTTTTTAAGTGCTCCAAGGTTTATAGGTAAAGTTTGATACTTGCTTAAAAGGAATTCCATTTTTCTCCGGCACAAAAGAAGTCTTAATTCATCGTCGGAAGACGATGTCTCTGCATCTCAGTCCTACCCAGGGCTGGTAGCAGGAAGGGTCTCCTTGAAATTGTGCGATTGTTTCTCATCAAGGTTTGCATCTTACTTGAAGGCCAAGACCTGTGGCTTCTTCGTTCCTCTGACAGCGGACTCGGGACTTCAACATTGTTGTCTGGCCTGTACAGAACAGTATACAGAAGATTAGGATTCTGGTTTCAGTGGGTCGCCCTGTTGTGTGGGTCACAAGCACCACCCTCTACCTGAAAACCACTATTAAATATTTTGAACTGGCCCACCTCAACCCAAAGATGGTAGTGAGGTTGTGGGGAACGTCCATTATACGCCATTTGTTAAGCAGAGCAGCAAATTGTTTTCCTGGGTGATTGAATTAAAGCGGGAGTTCTTAATGACAGGGGAAATAAAAAACATTTTAAAAATTGTAGTTACTTGTGTGTTCAGAGACCGTCTTTTATGAAAGCAAAAGAAATCGCCACTCGACCGTTTGATCCGTGGAGTTGCCACTGTTTCAGGTCCCACGTAATAGCCACTCTGCATTTATCAGACCTTCGGAACTCCCTGTCTATTGACGCGAGGCAGGGGCCTTCACTGTATTCTTTTTGACACCCGACACTTTTTTTTAGGTGAGCCTAACAGAGTTGATTCGAGTTTTAATCTGTTATTGCCGCTGTTTTGATTTCTGGAGCCTTTAATTATTGTTGTTAATTCTTCCCAATAATTTCATGGTTTCCTGTTTTTTTTAAACCGCTTTGAGGGTTTTTTAAAAAACACTCCAGCAGTGTATAAATTTTTATGAAATAAAGATATCTATATATCTATAAATAATGGAGGGATTTGTTCCCTTGCGCTTAGGTGCTGTAAATTCAGGGTTGTTAAGGAGGTTGGTTCTGTCCCTGATGGCACCTCTGGGAAAGAGACTCTGGAGAGCCGCTGCTGCTGCCAGTCCGTGTAGACAGTATGGAGCTAGATGGACCAGCAGCCTGACTCAGCGTTTGTGACTTTCTGGTTTAGAGAAAAGGTGAGTCGGGGGCAACACAATAGGAGTTTATAAAACTCTTCATGGAGAAAGTGAACAGAGGATAGTTTTCCTCCCTCTCCTGTAGCACTCGAACTCGTGTCCATCCAACGAATGTTGGAAGATTCTGGACCAATGAAAGAAAGCTGTGATTCCTTGCATCGCAGGGGGTTGGGATAGATGTCCCCTGGGGGTCCCTTCTGTGGTTCTAGGAGGGAGTGCAAACTATGTCAGCCTATCCCAAGGGAAAAGGAATAGGAATAAGAATGAGAAACCTGCTGCAAGAGGATCATAATTCTCTCCTCTTGAGACCTTTGGGAATTCACAAGTCTCTCAGTTCTCCCAGAAGGCCAAGAGGGGGCGGCAGTGCACTGCCTAATGTCACAACAAAAGAGTCTTGTGGAGTCTTCAAAACTAAACTTTATTGGGGCATCAGTGTTTATGAACTAGAGTCCAATTTGCCCAAGTCTATGCATGGTTATGGGGACGCGGGTGGCGCTGTGGGTTAAACCACAGAGCCTAGGGCTTGCTGATCGGAAGGTTGGCTGTTCGAATGAGCTCCCGTTACTCAGTCCCCACTCCTACCCACCTAGCAGTTCGAAAGCACGTCAAAGTGCATGTAGATAAATAGGTACTGCTCCGGCGGGAAGGTAAACGGCGTTTCCGTGCTCTTCTGGTTCGCCAGAAGCGGCTTAGTCCTGCTGGCCACATGACCCGTCGCAGGGATTTGAACCGCTGACCTTCTGATCGACAAGTCCTAGGCTCTGTGTCCCTTCAGGGACTCCTTACACTGCGTTTAAAACCAAAATTGCATTTGGATAGAAACTCTTTCTCAGGCGGCTAGTCCTAGTCTTTATAACCCTGTACCTTCTTCCAGACGGCAGAAGCTGAAAGAGATCATTTCCGGGGTGCGCACTATCCTGCGCTCTTTTCTCAGGAGCGAGCCCCAGTAAATTTACCGGAACTTTGCTCTCTCTCTCTCTCTGAAGGTCTTGCGATGGCAAAACAGGCTCACCTCCACAAACAGCCGCTGGAGGGCAGCCCAGACCCGTGTTTGGCAGTCGCTTCTGAGCGCTGCAGTACAGGCAGGGTTAAACCTTCTCGACTGCACTTCCAACATGTGCTTGGTCATCAGTTTCTGAACAGCTACTGGGTGTGTGTGTCTGTGTAGGAAGCAATTGGGCTTCTCCTGCCTTGCAGCTGTGTGAACTGCGTGCCTGCATGCGCAGGTGTGGGGATGTGGGTCTGTGGCTCCTGAGCTGCTTCGAGGGGAGAATCTGCGGCGGCGCAGCTTCTCCCATCATCGCCAGGCAGCGGCCGGGACAAAATGCCTCGGGCGAAACTCATCACCAAATTGCACAGGAGCCCTGTGCCCCGTGGAAGCTGGCAACCCTGCTGGAAAGATGAGTTGCTGATTTAGGCGGCAAGGTGGCAGCGGAGAGTTATTTAAGCTGTTTTAAGCCCCATTGAACTTTAAAGGGATTTCAGGAGCGCAACTGTGTGTGTGTGTGGGATTATTGCCGCTCCCTGGTGGGTTTTGAAAGTGTGCCTGAGTCTCTGCAAAAAGTGGTGCTGAGTGGGCATATATTTCTGTGTGGAGAGAGAGACATGCTTAGATACAGATAAGAGCATCAGAACACACCTGCGCCAGTTCTGGGTGTGGGTCTGTAATACATGGGTACCTTTTCGTATTACAATAAATTCCGATAGGAATAAAACCTTCAGCTGCCCATCACAGCCTACAGCCTATTTGCCAGCTTAAAAGCAGACCTGTTCCCTTCTCAGCTTCTCAAGTGACCTGCTCCCACCTCAATTTTTTAATGAAAGAAATCTCTATTAAAAATTGCGATCCTATGCATAACTTACTTGAGAGTAAGATGAACACAGTGGCACTTACTCCCAAGTAAACCTGCATACAAGTGAGTGCACCTTGCACCTGAGACTTAAACAGGCCTCAGATCAAAACACCCCTTTATCTGAGAAATTACAGACTGTCGGATATTTTAGTGGACCAAAATGGCCAGTGAGTTCTGCAGACGTTTCATGGTTTTAAAACATTTTAATGATTAACTAGGGCATTGAAAATCCTGCTTTTGAGAGCGTGTTTATTTCATTGGATAGGGCAGGTACTGAAAATGTTGCTTGATAGCCAACTCAGCTTAGCTCATTCCAGAAGCTGCGCTTTCTTTAAATGCAAGGGGCAACTTCAAAGCATGTCAGGTATCTGACACTTGGGAACTTGCTGCAGCCTAAAAACCTAATGAGAGCTAGGCAGGATCAGGCCTATGGCCCAGCAAGCCCAGCATCCTGAACTCACTGGCCAACGAGATGCTCCCTTAGGGCAATCGTGCAAACAGGACCTGAGTGAAACAGCAAATCTCTCCCCACTTGTGACCCCCAGGACTCAGGAGCAGACTGCCTGATTCCCTGTAACCTCGCTTCTCTCAAGGAGCAAACTGCCAGAAGCCCCTAGGAGCTGGACCCCGGTGTCCGGGCTGGAAGATGGCGGTGGAGACACTTCTTCGGGTATACTGGTATACAAGTGAGAGATTTCAGATTTGTTGGAAAGGCAGTGCTTTCCTCCTCATTCTCTTTCTTCACCATCAGAAGAGAGCTTCCATGCTTTTCTTCTAGAAAGTGACTTTTTTAAAAAAATAATTGGGCATAGAAAACAAGAATTCAAAAGCAAGTAGCACCTTAGAGACCAACTAAGATTGTTATTGGCATGAGCTTTCGTGTGCATGCACACGAAACCTCCTACCAATAACAAACTTAGTTGGTCTCTAAAGTGCTACGGGAAGGATTTTTTTTATTTTGTTTCGACTATGGCAGACCGGCAGAAGTGAGAGCTGGACCATAAAGAAGGCTGATCGCTGAAGAATGGATGCTTTTGAATTCTGGTGCTGGAGGAGACTCTTGAGAGTCCCATGGACTGCAAGAAGATCAAACCTCTCCATTCTTAAGGAAATCAGCCCTGAGTGCTCACTGGAAGGACAGATCCTGAAGCTGAGGCTCCAATACTTTGGCCACCTCATGAGAAGAGAAGACTCCTTGGAAAAGACCCTGATGTTGGGAAAGATGGAGGGCAGAAAGAGAAGGGGACGACAGAGGACAAGGTGGCTGGACAGTGTTCTCGAAGCTACCAGCATGAGTTTGACCAAACTGCGGGAGGCAGTGGAAGACGGGAGTGCCTGGCGTGCTCTGGTCCAGGGGGTCAAGAAGAGTCGGACACGACTAAACGACAACAACACGGCAGACCAACGTGGCTACCTACCTGTAAATAGTGGTATATGTTGAATTGCAGCTCTGTTTCGAACAGCGTCTTCTCTTTTGCTCTAAATGGATGGTTGCAGTAACGCTCAGCACTTGGCCACAAAGTGGGTCCGGGAGAAGATTCTGCCAGAACCAGAATCCAATTTAGCATCCCTGTTTCATCACTGCAATGGAGCAAATATTTCCTGTACTTTTTAACCGGGGAAGGGAAAAATAATATTTCGCATTTTTAGGTGTCAACCTTGCATGGAAGTAGACAAATATTTCAAACTCCCAGAAGCCGGAATCAAATCTCAAGGTGCCTAGGGAATCCTTTAGCGCCTGTTCTAGCTCTAAGCAGTATTGATTTGTGTTGGACTCTGTGTTTGTCTTTATTCCCTGCTCCCTGGGAAAAAAAATCCAAAAGACTTTTTTCACGTCTCACCAAACCTGATCACAAGTCCGCAGTATGACCTCAAATGGAACAATACCGTGTTTAGGTCTCGTCGCTGCATTTCAACAACAACCTTGTATCACTGGAAAACATTCAGAAAAGAGCAACCAGAAGCAACCAGTATTTTGGCTATACACCAATAAAAACTGTATTTTAAAGAAAGGAAAAGAGCAACCAAAATGATCAAGGGGATGGAGAAATTTCCCTGCGAAGAAAAGTTTAACATTTGGGGCTGTTTAGTTTAGAAGAAGGGGACGCGGGTGGTGCCGTGGGTTAAACCACAGAGCCTAGGATTTGCCGATCAGAAGGTCGGCAGATTGAATCCCCGCGACGGGGTGAGCTCTCATTGCTCAGTCCCTGCTCCTGCCAACCTAGCAGTTCGAAAGCACGCCAGTGCAAGTAGATAAATAGGTACCGCTCTGGCGGGAAGGTAAACGGTGTTTCCGTGCGCTGCTCTGGTTCTCCAGAAGCAGCTTAGTCCTGCTGGCCACATGACCCGGAAGCTGTACGCCTGCTCCCTTGGCCAATAAAGCGAGATGAGCACAGCAGCCCCAGAGTCGTCCACGACTGGACCTAATGGTTAGGCGTCCCTTTACCTTTACTAGTTTAGAAGAAAGGCAAGTAATGGGGCAGGATAGACTTTGTAAAATTATGCACGGCCTGGAGAGAGTGGGTAGAGGGAGGTTTACTTACTTGCACAACTCCAGAACTCAGAAACATCCAATGAGGCTCAGTGTTGGAAGATTCAGGAAAGACGAAAGAAAGGATCTTCACACAGAGCAGAGTTAACCTCTGGAACTCCTTCCCACTGGACGCAGCGATGCCACCAACCTGGACAGCTGTAAAAAAAGGTTTAGACAAATCCATAGAGGAGAAGTTTTTCAAGGACTGCTTCCCCCCATTGGATATTTTCTCCCTCCACTGATGGAGGCAGGATGCTCCTCAAATCCTGGTTTGCTAGGATCCACAACGGGGGAGATGGCTGTTGTGTCTGAGTCCTGCTTGCAGAATTCGCATAGGCATCTGGGAATAGAAAGTTGGACCACACGAACCCTTGACTTAATCTAGCTGCATTCTTCTTAAGTTCTTCTCCT